GGGCCATCGAAGTTCCAATGATAAAAATCTTGCGCCACCTCGGTATCCATCATCTCAATCATCCTTAATGACGACGACGACTACTACTACTCCTACTATGACTGTAACTACTACTAAGTTACTACTGCTACTTTCACCCTGAGTAACACCACCACCACCACCACGACGACGACGACTACTACCCTCAACGGCAACTCAACTGGCGAGCAGCCTAGCGCACGCTCCGCGTGCCATTCCATCGGTGCAAGGATGCACGTTGCACCGCTGGGCGAAAGGGCGTTGGCGACCCGCGAGCAGGAACCTTGGCCAATTGCCGAAGCAAGGCAACGGCCTCGTGGCTGAACTTGCCGCCAACCCCTCGCGAAGGCAAACCGGGCCGCAGCCGAGCCGCGTCCCGGCCCGCCCATCTAGCAGTTTCGGGCAAGCGATAGGCAATCAGCGCAACGGTGGAAAAAGGTCCAGTCCGTGAGAAAACCTAAGCACTACAAGTGTGCAACAACCGGCGACTGCAAGCTCCGGGTGCCTGCGAAGGTGCTTGCCTTTCGCCGACTGCACAAGTGCCGTGCCTGCGACACGATCCGCATTCGATTGCGTGCCGCCGGCCCGCGTGACGGGGGACACCAGTGTGTTGTCGACGGCCGCCTGGGCACCGGGCACCTTGCCAAAGTGAAACTTCCATTCAAGGCCATTTGCCAAAACCTCGTTGCGGCGGCCGTCGGTCAAGGGCACGTCAGAATTCATGTCCCGCAGAAGCACGTTTGGTGCCACTTGTGCCGCTGCTTCGTGGCACGTGCGCGCAGCAGCTCTCTCCAACACTGCCCCGCACATTCCGAAAACACCGGCCTGTCGGCAGCGTGCGGTGGTCGCCAAAGGCATCGACAGCGCCTTCACACCGACAAGGCACAGGCAATCACCGGAGCAGCACTACGCGGAAGCAAGGCGCTCGGGAGTGGGCGCCTCCCGCATCCTCCCGCTGTGCTAAGCGCGGGACATGCCCATCATGATGGGCAACACGTCCAATGGCAAAGATTGTTAAAAAAATATACAACTAATAGCAGCAGTATTCACAGCAGTCGTCGTCGTCGTCATAGTCGTAATGGTAGTAGTCGCCGTCGCCGTCGTAGTAGTTGTAGTAGTCGTCGTCGTCGTAGTAGTAGTAGTAATAGTAGTCGTAGTAGTAGTAGTAGCAGCAGCAGCAGTAGTAGTAGTAGTAGTAGGAGGAGGAGGAGTAGGAGTAGGAGTAGTGATAACTAAGGAGGAAGAGGAGGAGTCGTCGTCGATGGTGTGGTAATAGCATGTAATAGCAGGTTGGTAGCATTCGTAAACACATACTAATGGCACGCGAAAAAGTAGTAGTACCAGACAACAGTAATTGAAACCGTAGTAGTAGTAGTAGTAGTAGTAGTAGTAGTAGTAGTAGTAGTAGTAGTAGTAGTAGTAGTACTAGTAGTAGTAGTAGTAGTAGTAGTAGTAGTAGTAGTAGTAATAGTAGTAGTAGTAGTAGTAGTAGTAGTAGTAATAATAGGACTAGGAGTAGTAGTAGTAGTAGTAGTAGTAGTAGTAGTAGTAGTAGTAATGGTAGTGGTAGTAGTGTAGTAGTAGTAGTAGTAGTAGTAGTAGTAGTAGTAGTAGTAGTAGTAGTAGTACTAGTAGTAGTAGTAGTAGTAGTAGTATAGTAGTAGTAGTATAGTAGTAGTAGTAGTAGTAGTAGTAGTAGTAGAAATAGTAGAAATAGTAACAGTAGTAATGGTAGTGGTAGTGGTAGTGGTAGTAGTGGTAGTAGTAGTAGTAGTGGTGGTGGTGGTGGTAGTAGTGGTAGTAGATGGCGGTAGTAGTACTAGTAGTACTAATAGTAGTAGTAGTAGTAGTAGTAGTAGTAGTAGTAGTAGTAGTAGTAGTAGTAATAATAGTAGTAGTAGTCATCGTCGTAGGCCCTGGCTGGCCTTGACGAAACCTGCGCCTTCTTTCGCGGCATCTTTCTTAAATCTTGTGTGGATCCTTCGCGCAAAACACTGGTTTCACAGAAACCCACAAACTCTGACCCTGCGGCTCGTGGTACGACCGTGATGACTGAGTGCCGCTGACCATTGCATGGGCGCTCGAGGCTCCGCCCCCAGCCCCCGGCCGAGCAGGTGAGGGAGGGTAAAACATCCCGGCATACTAGGACCGTGGCCACGACTCCCCGCTAATGACCTTGCTGCCGTCAGGCAATAAAGGTCCCCCACCCACAACCGTTGAGAAGCACAGCGTTTTTTGGGATTGTTGCAAGCAAAGTCTGTTCACAAATTTGGCTTGATCTGCTCCTACCCTGCCCGGGCCAGCAGATGCCCACACAGGTCCACGATTTCGGGTCTAGAGGGTTTAAGGTTACAGATTGATGGTTCACAGTGCTATTTGGATACTGACAGTGATGGCGATGGTGATGATTGCGACGACGGGGCACACCTGTTGAAAGAGGCTGCCAGCTGTGTCTTTGCGTCTTCGCGCAATCCAGTCAAGCCTGAAACCATGGCCTCGGGCGTACTGCGGCGAACGCACGCGATACTGTTCCCGGCATGTTTCTGTGCAATGTTGCGATAGCATATGTACTTTCCTGCGGTTTCGGTGGGAGCGTAGACATGTCCTCCATAACCTTGCGTGTGTGCGCACGTGTACCAGATATACTGATATGACAGTGATCGAGTCTCGGTATATACATATATATATATATATATATATATACATATATACATCTATACATATATACATATATACATATATACATATATACATATATACATATATACATATATACATATATACATATATACATATATACATATAAACATATAAACATATATACATATATACATATACATATATATATATATATATATATATATATATATATATATATATATACATGTGTAATATGTTTTGTATATTCGTTTGTTTTCTGATACTTAATTACTTGCTGGAAAATGAGCATTGATCTAAATATCCTTGTGTGCAGATGTATGCAACTTTTCAAGATGCATCGCAATGCGTCCGCGAAATATTCGCGATAGGACAACAAGAATGCGTCAGAGTTTGAAAAGAACAACAAGGACTTGTTGCGAAAGCCAGCATTGCAGGCCAGAAGTTCCATTCAACGACAACCTTCAGCATGCAGTCCCAATTCCGCCCTTCCCCTTGCACAAAATGGCAAATCGATCCAGCCTGCGGCAGTTCGACAGCACCACCGATCCTTCAGCTGCTTGCGATGGCCGGCTACCGCTGCTCGGCGAACTACACCGGCGGAGACTGACACGTCGCCGAAATCCCGCACAGCATTTGATTTGACCAAAACGATACTGATTAGCAGCGCTCGTCGTCCAAAGCATGCAAGCACCGCTTTTGCACCCCGGTTCTCGGCTATCGCGATCGCAGCTTCTGAACAAAAGCCGCTGTGGCCCCAAGAGCTCGCCCGCCCGGCGCACGTGGCGATCTCTGGCAGTCCGCCATCACGAACACAGCCTCGGCCGCCTGTGCAATTTTTCCACAGGTCGACAACTCCTGGCCACGTTTCACTGGACACGGCGCCGATCCCGCGCGTCGACTCGCTTGTGCCAGAGACCCAGGACTGGGCACGACCCAACGTCCGCGTCAGGAAAATAGCCCGTCCGGATATGTCGGAGCGTTCCGTTCAAGTTGGCGGCTTGCGTGGATGCAATATGGGCTGTTGCTACCCGATTGTAAAGAAACCGCTGCCCAATCTCTTTCTGCTTGGATGGCCAGATCCGAATGCGCACAAGCCGAGACTACAGCATTGCCTCGACTATAGGGGCAGCTATCGAGGCACAGATTTCGGGCTGAGGATTTTTCGCGCGTCGTGGTAATTTCGTCGCTAGACTCCGACCAGAGAGCAGGATGCGGAGTCTGGGCTTAGGATCGCACACCGGAAACACTTGCAACGCTAGCATCGGGTTGTGCTTTTTTTCACTTCGCTGGGCGATGCGAGGAGGGTAGCAAGCCAGAGAGCCCTCTGGGCCCTCTCTGTCAGCCCCAGCGAGATGCACGGATTGGGGAATTGCTGTTGCAGTAAACGAATTGAAGGATTCTGGGACACATGAGAGATTCCTCGATATCCGTGGCTGACAAAGGCTCTCTGCTTGAGTCCATCGAGACCTGATCTTAGAACAGGCTCGAGTCCCGTACTGCTTGCTCAGCGCTCAGCAGACTTATTATTGATTTTGGGTTTTAAGGGTTTTAGGACTTATAAAGTTTAGGTCAAAACCCAGCAACTGCATGTGGATGTAGTCTTTGCAGGAGCTGTGAAGGATGATTGCGGCATGCTCCACCATGAACCATTGCCATTGTACACAGATGCGGGATTCCACCAACCCTAACAAGAATCGCAAGCCTGCAGCTTGCACCCAAAGCCAATTGGAAGTTTCCGAAAATAGGGTACCTCACATAGTACCCTAAATAGTAGGATCCTTGTTACAAGGACCCCAAAATAAGGTACCCCCAATTTTCGGAAGCTCTCAATCGGCTTTGACCCTGACTTATAGCAAAGACCCTGCAACACTGGAGCCTGAAGCCTGAAGTTGAGACACCTCCTGGACTCCCAACTACCCCTGTTTTGTCGCCGCTAATTACCTCTTAATGAGAAATCTTAGAGCCCTTTAAGGGGTACTTGGGGAGTGCTGGCTTTGGCAAACACCAAACACCAACGCGAAGAAAACGTATGAAACATTTCTGCATACCCCTATCAAGCCCAATAAACACCCATATTACACCCATTTACAAACAGCAAGCGCAACCATTCCCCCCCAGGTTCATTCCTGACCTAAAGTGTCAGGGGACCTATAGTAAGTTTGGCTATCATGAACGTAACTACACGCATTCACGTTTACATCACCCTCGCAAGGGCACCTCTAAACCTACTTACAGTGCAAAATACTGCAAGCCCCAAGAAACTCTTTCCAGCAACCATCTAAGTGCCCTGTAAACACGCTAAACTAAACCCTAAACCCTCTTTAGGGTTTCGGTGCCCTCCGCTTGGGTTTCCCAAGCTGGTCATCGAGACAATCCACGCTCAGGCCGGTGCCGATCGCAAGCATCGCCTCCCAAGGCACTGCCTTAAATTCACATCCTCCTAGGCGCCTTAAGGGTCTATGACTTGTGGTTTGGATACGTGCGGCAACAAACATATGTATAGAGAGAGAGAGAGAGAGAAAGATAAGTACATAGATAGATGGCACTCTACGTAGACATACATATATACAGACAGGCAGGTAACACTATCTTTATAATTGTGCATATATATATATATATGTAAGTATATATGTATAAAGAGAGATAGATATAGACATAGATAATCGACACAGACATAGATATTAACGCTTCATTTTGGGTTGTTAAGGAACAGACCCTGAGCCAAATCACACGAAGGTTCGCTGTATGTAGGTTTGGGGCACCTGTGGGCCAGCGAGGGCATCGGGAGGTCTTGGTAGGGCTCGGGGGGTGTAGGTTCAGGGCTTCAGAGCAGCTCGTGAGCGTTGGGATTTAGGGTTGGGGTTTTGGATGGATTCGGATTCTGATTTGGCTTGGAAAAAGTTGAAGCACCAAAAAACCCCTGAAATCGAGGTCCCCTGCCACAGGGGACCCTCCAGAACTTTTAAACCCAAAGGGCCTGCAGATACTCAAAAGCCAAGATTCGAGAGCTCCAAAGCACCAAAAAAGCTTGAACTTTGCCGGCTCACCATTTAAACCACAGCAATCCGAAGAGAACGCAAGTCGCCAAACCAAATCCGAACCCAAAACCCAAACTCGACTTTCAAGTAAGTACATCGAGTTAAAGTAGCATAGCTAGTGTTGCATAATTACGTTGACTGTACAAGTAGTTGCCATATACAGAAGCACCCTGCTGACTACGTCCCCTGACCCTTTGAGTAGAAGCGGTCCGGCCAGGAGGTTCATGGATAGTTATAACAAGTGGGGTTAGAAGTAAGGCAACTAATTATAGTTAAATGCCATATTAGGGGACTTATAAGAGAAGGGGAGTAATTAAGGTAACTATAGCTATAAAGGCCATGTTGGGGGACTTATGAGATGAGAAGGGGTCCCACCAGGAGGTTCATGGAGACGAGGGAGATGAAAAGGGGCATCCACTGCCCCTGCGTGGTCTCCAGCGTCCAGGAGGCCAGCCTGCAACAGATCCGGCCGACCCTGGGTTTCTTTTGGGTTTAGGGTTTAAGGGTTCAGGGTTTTTTCGGGGTTTTGGGTTTAAGGGTTTGGGTGTTTAGGGGTTTGGGGTTCTTTTGTGGTTGAGGGTTTGGGGTTTAGGGGTTTAAGGGTTTCAGGGTCTAGAGGCTTCGGGTTTAGCTGTTTAGGGGCTTAAGGCTTCAGGGGTTTAGCGGCTCCTGTCATGCTCATTCCGGGCAGAGCTGCAGCCATCCCGCGTTGTCTCACAAGCGTCTTAAGTTGCCGAATTCCTTCGGATCCCATCCCGAGCGGCGATCTAACATAGGGGTCCTAATCATTAGAATATAGGGTTTTGAGGCCCATTCTACTATACTTCTAGCCAGGAAACCCCTACATAGTATAGGCAGTTATGGAAGCACTTGTTTCAAGGCAGAAGTTGGTGGTTTCGTTCGGAGTTTACCTCAAGTGCGCGCCTTGGGAATCCCACGCCGGCCGTGGTGGCCAGGGTGTTGCCCACGCCGGACAGCGCCCCAGAGTACTGCCGAGTGAGGTCCTTGGTGAGGCAAAAGGCAACGGGACAAACTTTGGACATCCAGAACGAATCCCCGAACCCTAAACTTACCTTTGGTTAGTAGGGAATGGAGGAATGGGGTACAATTACAACTACTACTACTTCCATTCTTCCATTCCCTACTGAACAAAGGTAAGTAAAACCCCAACCCCTTTAATCGTTAAGCCTCAGGGTTTTTTGGGCACTCAGTGCGGGGCCATGTAGTTTGCGAAGTATCCGCCTGCATGGAATGCCTGGCTGACCTGCCAGCAACGACTTCCACGGACTTCAAGGTGTAGAGGGTTTTGGGGTTTCGGGTCAGAGCTTACAGTAAACAGACATTCAGCAAAACTCTGAAATCGTCAGCTGCCAAACGTCATTCGGCCCTAAACCCTAATCCGAAACCCACTACACCCTCAAACCTTAACCGAAAACCCGAACTTCGCATCGGCAGAGGCCTTGCAAATGCCGAAAATCGTTGTGAAAGCCCATGGCGACTCCACGCCTCTCTCAGGGCAAACTGCTGCTGCTGGAGGTCCAGGGGAAGTTGGCTTAGGGGTTCCTTTAAAGGGTTTAGGGGTTATAGGGTTTGGAATTTAGGGTTTAGGGTTCCCTTAAAGGTTTGAGATTTAGGGTTCAGGGTTTACCCATAGGCCCCAAAGTAGTTCCTTTTTGGGATCACCTTATAGGATTCTAAATATGATCCCCGAAAAGGAACTGCTTTGGGGGCTTAGGGTATTGTTACTGTTCTTTTGTAACTGATACTAACAATGCTTTAGTACTTCTGCCATACTTTATCACATATTGCAATTACAGTTAGTATTACCATTACTATGGATATTGCAATGACAAAATACTTACTGATGTTTGTTAGTACAGTTACTAGCTGTTCAAAGTAATGATTGCTGGTAAGACGACGACGACGACTACGACTACTACTACTACTCCTACTCCTACTCCCACTCCCACTCCCACTCCTACTGCTACTGCTCCTGCTCCTGCTCCTGCTCCTGCTCCTGCTCCTGCTCCTGCTCCTGCTCCTGCTCCTGCTGCTGCTGCTGCCGCTGCCGCTGCTGCTGCTACTGCCACTGCCACTGCTACTGCTACTGCTACTGCTACTGCTACTGCTACTGCTACTGCTACGGCTACGGCTACGGCTACCGCTACCGCTACTGCTGCTGCTGCCACTGAAAGCCACTGCCACTGCTACTGCTACTGCTACTGCTGCTACTGCTACTACTACGACTACTACGACTACTGCTACTACTGCTACTGCTACTGCTACTGCTACTGCTGCTGCTACTGCCACTGCTGCTGCTACTGCTACTGCTACTCCTGCTACTACTGCTACTACTGCTGCTGCTACTACTACTGCTACTACTACTACTACTACTACTACTACTCCAGCTGCTACTACTACTACTACTACTACGACGGCTTCTTACTACTCTCAAGAATATATTACTAGAACTGCTACGTACTGCAACTGCTGCATGCTATTGCTCTGCATAGTGGATACTGGTACCAGACACGAGATACCACATTGTATAATTACAGTACTGATTTATATACTGCCTAAAACCTATCACCAAACCTAAGAGCTCATGAAAACGTCGGACCAGCTCAAAGTAAAGCCCAATAACCTAACAACACTAAGCAACATGTGGAAACGCTTGACCAGAACGATCAAACATCTTAACGATCCTAGACCAAGGGAACCGTGCCTGAGGCTGAAAGGGGCTGCATTGTGAGGAGACCTGCCAGCAAGCAACTGCAGACCTTGGTCAGGCCAGAACATCAGCGAGTCTAGGGCTTTGGGTTTTGGTCTTGAACCTGGTTCCACTCTTGGCCTCATTGACTAAGGCCTCAAACGGTGGGAGTAGGATGACTCTATTTCATAAATACTCTGGTTTGGAAGTCTTACACATACCTTCGTCCTGTCTTTGGAGCACCTTGAAATCGATGCAGGATTTTAACTTTGGGGTTGGCGGCTTTGTCTTATCATGCTTTGGGGATGCTTGCTTCCTCACAACTTGCTGCGGTGAAGGCTTCGGCTTCAGGGGTGCAGACTTGAGGGTTTTAGGGTCTCGGAGGCCTCAAAAGGTGGGATGAAGGCAGGTGGGATATTCCTCCCAAATAAGAGTCCTTATATAAGGGATCCTTGTTCCTACCTACCTTCATCACACCTGTTGAGGCTTCCCAGGGTCTGGTTCCGGAAGTTCATGTGACGTCGCAATCTGCGCGGCGTGAAATCCCGAAGCCGGCGTGGCCACCAACTTGTCGTGCACAAGCCGAAACAGTACATGACCTGAAACTACTATCTTATACTTCGAAACACTCGTAAATCTGGTTACAAGTTGTTATTAATTATTTGTTGTTCAATATTACAAACATTGTCTATATTCTATGATGTACAAACCTTAGGTCCCCGAAATTGCCTAAGCCCAAATGCTCGATCAAACCCCAGAAAAAAAGCCCTAAAAGGCACCAACAGGCCGCGTGAAACCCTCGAAAACCCCTCTGTGATGAATGCCTTGCAAAGCCCAGACCCATATGTAGGGACCTTAAAAATTAGAATAGGGTTTTGGGCTTCTTTATAGTATACTTATAGTCAGGAGCCCCAAGCAAGAATACTGGCAACAAGTATATGCTGAGTTGTCCTTTAAGCCCCTTAAAAATTATGTACTATTCTGGTTCCTACAAAATAGTAGGGGAAATTGAAAGAGATCCCAAAGGACAACCCAGTCTCGGCTTCTATAGTAGGCCCTGGTGGGTCTGAGGGGGGGTGGGGCATCTGAAGTCGGAGCTGAGTGCTGCGCCGAATGCAGTGCAAAGCCCTGGCCCCAGAAGCAGACTCTTCGAGGTTTATAGGGTTTACCCTAAGGCCCCAAAGCAGTTCCTTTTTGGGGGTTCATATCTAGAATCCTACAAAGCAATCCCAAAAAGGAACTACTTTGGGCTCTATGGGTAGGGTTTAGGGTTCGAGGTTTGTATAGGATTTTCGAGGAACTTGCAGCCTCGAGCTGTGGCATAGAGCTCTGGGAAGATTTAGAGGTTCTAACTCTGAAATCATATGCGGTCATATAGGGTTTGTAGGGTACAGGCTTGAAGGGTATAGGATTCTGGGGTTTGCGGGTTTAGTAAGAGAGTCCAACAGCCCCAAATGAGGTGCGAGTATCTGCAAGAACACCAGGAGAAGTTCCATCAACGGGGATGCTGAGGTCATGTTGTTCTAAGCTGTGTACGGGAAGAAGCATGGGAGTGCCACATGTCATGCCCTTTTCGGCCACCTTACATGATCTTTCATCTAACCTGACACGATTCTACCATTGTAGAGTTTCTCAATCTTTTTTTGGAAAATGTAAACCGTAGACCCTGAAACCCCAGCCCGAAACATCAAGCCGTAATTGTAACAGCACCATAGTTATAACAGCAGGGCATCCGGGTCTTTGTGAGTGCGTGCCTCGTGCTGGGCGCTATCATAGCCGCAGTCTTGATGCGCGGTTTCCACAACGAGCCCGAAACAGCCTAGCCCCAAATCATGACCCTTAGGGTCCAGAGTACCCAGTGATCACGGGGTCTGTGTCAGAGCTAGAAGCGGTTCAGCAGGAGTTCAAAATACTGAACACTGGGGGAGAACATGCGGGTTGGTAAATTGTGAGTGTGTGATGGTTCGGTACTTGGGACCTTAGTGTGCCGGTTCGCGGTAGACATCTCGCACAAGCTGTGTCAATGCGACGCTAGATACTAAGGGACTTGCGATGACCGCCGGTTACGCGGCAAGTGTTCGCAACATGTACCGTCTGACAGTCCAGTTGCTCCACTGCCCGAAGGAATATCAGCCTTGGTATCAAAACCTTCGAATGGGAGGGACCCTTGAACTTCTGCATCCCCCCTCTGTCCCAAACGAGAATGAGCTCGTGCAAAAGCATTTCGAAGCGCGGCGGAAAACTCTTGTCGCGGACTGCTTTCTCTGTCTGCGGTAAGGCCCACCCTCAACGTTCTGAACACCCAAAACCTCAAAACTGTAAGTCCCATAACCCTCAACCTCTACACCCTAAACCGGCCAGAAACATGTTGTTGCAAAATCAGAAACTGCTAGGAGCTAGAGTTCAAGGTATAGGGTTTGGGTTTAGGGGGATTTAGGGTTTGGGGTTGCTGATCAGAAGCCCTCCCGACCGCGCGCCTGCAGTGACATGAGCCTCCAAGGGCTAGCGCACAGTATTAGTTTCAAGAAACAACAAGAGCGGTAGCCACATCAACAGCTACTGTATCAGGAGTCGGATATTTGCATAGTTGCATGTGCAATCGTGTGTATGGATGCGTGGCTGGATGGATTGACGGAGGGATGGATGGATGGATGGATGGAGGGACAAGGATGGAGGGATGGATAGACGGATGTCGTGCCGCATGCAGGCAGTCATGCATGACTACGCGCGTGTATTTTTACAGTGGTGCATGCATGCGAACGGTTCTACATAAATTCGTGCGTATGGTGATGGGATACAATCGGTTTCAGGTTTCGGAGCGAACTGATTCTGTGAACCGGAGCTATAAGTAAATAAGATTGGCTCTCCAGAGGCTCTGCACTGCGAGCCGTGAGCTTAGATCCATGACATGGGCTGAGATATCTCTTGGGGCTCTGTCAGTCTCTGACCACAACTGTCTGGCTGTGTCACCGGCACCGAGGAGTTGCAAGCTTGTGGTTGCTTCAACGGTCTCTGCTGAGCTTTTTTAAGCCCAGTCGCCTCCTTTCCATATAATATGTAGATGAAGTGAGCCGCACGCAAAGTGAGAGAGCCTTCAGTAGTTCCCAACGAGTAAGGACACTGCGACTGCGACCGTACACAAGGACATGCTGACACAGCAAGTCAAAATACCTTGACTAAGCTGTCGACTGAAGAACACGGTCAGCCCCAAGTGGGCGTGGAAGCCCCCCCGCCCAGACAGTCGACATCGCTCTTCAAAAATCGTCCTCGTGACAGTTTACTGCGACCCAAATGAAACGTGACTTCCATCACAGCTACACATGCCTATCGGCGAAGGGGCCCCTGAAAAGCTGCGAATACATCTGAAACGCTGCACGACAGCTCCTATTTGGCTTCGGTGCTTCGGGTTTTGGGTGCAGAAGTTTAGGTCCTGCTCGCCCAAACACAGCCCAAACCATGCCTGCGGCAGGAGAGCAGCGAGAAACCGCGGCCCAACAGCCTCAGGCTTGTGTCAAGCCGTGTCAATCCTGATCTCCCTGGTGCTTGGTAGAGAATGGGGGAATGGATCCCTACAGTAGTCACTATATAATCTCCAATAGTAGTCCCCATAACCCGTTCCCCCATTCCCTACTAAGAACCAGACAGTGATAGGCTCCGGAGGCGATAATGTCGTCACCCCGTGGAACTGAAACCCCTAGCCCTGTCATAGAACCGTAAACTCTTCATGATCAACCCTACATTACATCCTGAACCTAAAAACCGAGAGGACATAAACACGAACCGCCAGAAGAAAAGCCCTCCACCCTAACCCCAAAAATGAAAAGGCGACCCGTATAAGAGTTCTCTACCTGTGGCCGAAAAGACTTGCCTCCTCAAGGAACTATATATAGAAACCATAATAGGGAACCCTAAAACTCTAGGTCTTTTCGGATACAGGCAAACTCGGAGGTGCTTTTGAGGCCTTTGAAAAATATTAGTAGGTAAGATCCTCTTAAAGAGCCCAATAAGAGCGAATATAAACTGTCCCAAAACCCTAGTAAAGCCTACAGTCGACCCGAGCCCAGCACCGCTCAGGGAGGTTTTTGGTCAGCGCGCGAGCCGGGAGCTCTAGCCTGGGCCGCCGGGAGCTTCTCTTGGTTGTCGGGTATTTAGGGTTAGGGTTTAAGGGTATAGGGCGTGCAACTAGGGTTTATAAGGGTTTAGGGTTAATGGATTTAGGGCTTAGGGTGTATAAGGGCTTAGGATTAAGGGTTTTAGGATTTTGGGGTTGTGTATATTCGTAAAGTGCTTAGTAGTACGAAACAGTTGCACAGTCTTTCTGGAGCTATTTGGGGTCTTACAGGGGTTTATAAGAGCACAAAGCTTTATAAATGATTATTTTTTTCTGGTCTTTTAGGGTTGTATACGGTCTTACAGGGTGTTATCAGGCTTCAAGAAGGTCCTATCTACTTGGATACGGCCCTTAATCGTTATATGACGCTTTCAAGGCTTTTATAGGATTGTGTTTGGCCTTATACAGCATTCTAGGGTCTGATGCACTTTTCGGCAGTCTTGAAGGGTCTTACACGAGCTTTTGCTCAAATAGCTTTTTGGCAATACGCTTTCAGAGGGCTTTACCGGGTGGGTGATTGCATTTATTGGGTTTGGAGGGGTTTTGAAATTACAAGGGGCTTCACGGCTGTTTAAGTTAAGTGATTGGCGTTTAGATTATGCGGTGTGGAGTTGAAACAGACAAAAGCCAAGGCCAGGCCAATCGCAAGCAGTGTTCGCTCCTCTGTTTTGGCTTGATGCTTCCCTGATAGTAAGCAGTGTGCTACTCTCGTCCGCCTTTCTGGTGTTGATGCTCTTCAGTTCCTTGATCGCAGGCAGTGTGTTTCTGGTCTTTTCTGGTGTGGATGCTGTTCATATCCCAGTCGTTTTCCTCACACGAACTGCGGGTGTACTTCAAACATCAAACGACTTGACTCGGTTGAACAAGAAACTTCAACAGTGCCTCTCTGTGAGATCCATGAAGCACATGGAACAGGCTTTCGAAGTGAATGCGAAGCCACGGATTTCGGATCGCTAGACCGGCCCCAAAAGCCATGACAAAATGAGCATGTTCTCGATGTGCTTTTGGGTTCTGTGGGCGGGGATGCTGTGAATCGTAAACCCCAAACCCTAATCCTCAGAACTAATATAGAGTAGGGGTTCCTTTAAAGGGTTCCTTAAAGGGGATCTAAACCCAAAGATGCCCGACTGGAGTCAGGGAGCAGCGTGATCAGCGCGATGTGGAAACCGGCGGCCTGCTCGTCAGCATGAAGGCCAGAAACACAACAATGAACTCATGGGTTTAGGCGTTTAGGGCTTCCTAAAGACTCAGTATAGTATCCAGAACCACACAGATTTATGGCAAACATGGTAGTAATTCTTGAAGCTATTGCCACTGTGCAGAAACTAAACTACTCATGAGCATGCTTGTTACCAAGACTACCCTGCCAACCCCACAACCTGGACCTGAACAACTGCCGAGGGGACGCAAGTGCAATGCCTGAAGTAACCTAAGCTGTGACTCATGTTTCCTGTTCTGGATGGTGCAGGAGTTGATCCAGAATCAGTACGATAGAAGCTGTTGGGCGGAGGGCTTTGTATATATCAGATCATAGACTACATTTCTTGGTGTTTAGCATAGGTTTGAGGGATTGTGGTATTTACGGCTTGACATACCTTCTGTGCAGCACCAAAAGGCAATTCCTGTCCCATCGGAATACCGCATTGCTTCTATGGAAAACACCTAAGATGGGGGATCCGTTTGACATAGCTGCACCTCGGGACTCACTCCCAGCCGCGTATTGTAGAAAAACCTCGGTGGTGCCAGCAGATTTCCCTCCTGAGGAGACTCGTGACGACCTACGATCACAAGCAGCACATTTCCATGTCTTTGTGTGCATGCCGAAGATTGCTACGTCTGACCGGAAAGGAGACCCTGGCACATTAATCCTGAAGTCCTAAACACCGACGCTCCTGTCCGTCGACGATGTATCCTGATGTAGCATAGAAACAACCAGAAACGTTCAAAAGAAGAGCCCTTCCCACCTTCTCTGCCTACTACAGCGGCATGAAAATTCCAAAGAAAAATGCCACTCAACCTTCTCGTCTCGGCCCAGTGGCGGCAGCCAATCGAGAAAGTATTGCTGCCAGTTCCTGTGTGGCATGAGCCAGACCAGACCCCAACTGAAGCCCTAAATCCTCTCACTCTGCCCTCTGCAAGGATAAATGTCTACACCTCCAACCTGACCTGTGACTTTTGGGTAGGGTTTGTTGTTGTTGAAGCGCTTTTCTCCTAGGTCAAGAGTTTAGGGTTTGGAGTTTGGGGTTTGGTTTGGGTTTAGGGTCTGTAGTTCCGGGATTAGGGCTGCCTTGTGACCGATTTGGTCACGATGATACCGTGATCGCAAGAAGCACGAAACAAAATGCTATCGAATCCTGGCCATAGTCATCTGCATAAGATCTCGCAGAATAGCTGTGGGACACAACTGAACACAACTGAAAGGAGCGGTGCCCAGAACCGATACCTGAGGCAAGCAAGTCTTTTGCTGGTTCTACGAAGCTCGCCCACATTCATGCAGTGAACATGCCTGATGTAGGAACTTGATTAAGAAACCCTGGGCCTTTCTTAGGGTTCCTTATATGAATCCTACTACTTTGGGGTTATAGGCCCAGGGTTTGTTAATCAGGTTCCTACATTAAAGAAGAAACGCATAATAGTAATTCCTAATATGGAAAGCCTACATTCTACTAGATTGGTACATAGGACCCTTTGTGTAAAGAAGAAACGCCCGACCCTGAACCTGCACCTCACACCTCTCAACGAAGTAGAAGCGGCTGTGCAAAGTGTGCGAGGAAAAGCACAGCGACGCAGGGCTGCGTGAAAAAGGCGAAAGGTGGAAACCTTAGCAAGGAGGTGGGCGTCGGATCCAATTTGGAAGTTATTTCGTGCTTAGCTAGTCATTGAATTCAGAGAAATCGAGACCCAGCATGTGTACCTTGCAGGATCTCTTTACATACATGTCTACACGTGTGTGTGTGTACACACACATATATATATTTATTTATTTACAACTATGTATAATGTGTATATCTATATATACACACACATGCAAGTTACAGGTAAGACCCACAAGGGCCCGCTTGACTAGCTTCATCTGCGGCATGATGTTGCATGAGAAGTGCACCATTTGGTAAGGCTACCCCAGCATGGTCACCCATCCATACATCCATCCATGAATACATACATGCAGACATCTATACATACATACATACATACATGCCTGCATGCTTACATGCATCATGCAAGCAACCAGGTAGCCCGACGCCGAAGAAGAATAGGATGGACAAGATTTCAGTAGAATAGAAGAGAAAACCATAGGATAGGCTAGGATAGATTAGCATAGAGTCTGGAATAAACTACAAAAACTAGACTCGGAAGACAAGCACATAATGGACTTATTACAACAGAGTTGAAGGGAACGGCATGAGAAGAAGACATCCTAAATCCCAGAACCCCTCCCCTAATCGCAAGCGGCTCGCAGCGGTGAGGCTAACTTTTTCTGCTCCCGGCCGGTGTCCAGGACTCCGGCTTTCTCGAGCATGGCGAGCCTGGGTTAGGGCTCCTTGAAAGGGATCCACAAGGATTCCTGAAAGGGATCTATAAAGGTACTATAAAGGGGTTTGGCAGGGTTTAGTAGGGTTTGGGGCTCCGGCTTCAGAGCTTTGCGGATCAAGATTTCCTGTCTTAGCCTTTGGGATGGGGGCTTCAAGGCCTTGCTGGGTGCTGATACAGGTTGAAGGCTCAGATCTTATCCGTGCTTGGATGTTTGTATCTGTATTTAAATCCCAGCACACGCCCGTAGCCCTCCAGCCCCGAAGCCTAGAGCAGCAGAGAGTCTCGGCAGAAGAGGCGCGGCCGCAGTGTTTTGGCGACGAGGCGGCCAAGACGGCCCAAGCCTCACATCGATCCAAAACCCTTCTGTTCGAGGGCTATAAAGCCTGTAGGTACTTTGATAGTTGTGATGCATGATGCCCTATGTAGCTACTATACTTACTTTGTATCGATGACAGGCGGAGCCAACTACCCGCTACTACATTCCAAATGTACCCGTTTTGTTGTAGTCATCAAAAGGACTCTGCATTTAGGGCTTGGGCTTTTGCATGTTCGAAACTTTCTGGCCGAAATGATGGATTTAAGCCTAAAGAATTAGGGTCTTGTAGGCTTAACTCTAAAGAGGACTGTGCAACAACCGATTAAAGCGACTGCACATGGGGCTTTGCTACGGGGTCTGTCGCAAGTGGGGCTTAGATGCTAGCCGAGCCAAGCAAACGCTCAAACGGACGCAGCGCATGCCTGAAAACCATACACCAAAGGAAATGAGCAGCCCGACAACCCGCCAATACGGGGGCCTAAAGGCTTAAACGAGGGCTTTGCGGAGCTAATCTACGGAATAGCACGACTAGGTTTTTCCACACGCCTTAATTCAACCTCGAACCTCAAACTCATCGTTGCCCAAGCAACAGCTGAGAATCCGAAGCAGCACGCTCCGGTGAGATAAAGCCTGGTCTGCAACATCAAAACGAGGTTACCCATAGGCCCCAAAGTAGTTCCTTTTTGGGATCACCTTATAGGATTCCAAATATGAACCCCGAAAAGGAACTACCTTGGGGCCTTAGGGTATGTTTTTCGGGTTGAGGATGGAGTCAACAGAAATTAAGGACCTGCGGCTTCTGGCGTTTCCCAAACCCCTGATACGTGTCCGCAACGTGAGAATCCTATCCTATACTATGTAGAGTCTCTAACAGGTGTCTGAACTTACCAAATGAAATCCACACGTGGCAACTCTAACCAAAGCTCTGCTCTGCCAATACGGCCCTTGGGGTTTTGGGGCTTTCAGGTTTAGGGTGCACACCTCAAAGCCACAAGTTGTCTTGGTGTCCCATCGGGTCTTTGAGCTTCAACGAGATTTCCGGATTTTGTACGGGCTCTACAAGCTATGTAATGCAAGCCTAAACCCACGAAAGCCCTCATGGCGAAGGCATCACGAGACCGGTGCGGAATGTCAGCCCCGCAAAACGGAAAGCAGAATCGTCGACATATACCGATACCCTATACTAATCATTATAAGGCCCCCATTAGATGAGTTAAGTCGAGGCACACGGCTTTCCAGCCAAAGTTGGCCACCAAGGGCGGTCCAGCAGCATTGCCTTGCACTTGGGTCGAAGCTGCGCCCTCAATCCTCAAGCCGACCCATACCCGGATAAGATCATTCGGATAAACCTGTGGATTTCTTTTGGCCTTACGTGTTTTTGCACATACTCCGAAGGCGTCTTGTGGCATGCATAGTTCGCATGTTGAAACCCAACAGTCCTGAACAAACCTTAGGTCTAGGGCTTCGGACTGACTTCGGGGGCTCTTGTGAAGGAGCTCAGCTTAAGTTAGCATAATCAAGAAGCCAGGCTGTTTACTGTAATCTGTAGTCTCTACTCATGCAACGATATTCAGAATTGTGAGAACCACACAAACCGTTGCCGAGCTACAGAGGAGGAGTCCGGTTGCAGAGCCGATGGCCGAGATCGAGGACGCCCAAGAACGCTCCGATGGCAGCCTCGGCACAGCAAACAAGGCCCTCATATCGGCCTCTATGTGGGGGCCTTCCGAAAATAGGGGGCCCCAGAGTGGCACCCTAAATAGTAGGATCCTTACTATAAGGGCCCCAAAAAAAGGTACCGATCTTACACTCTAGCTTAGACGGCTTTGTCACAACCAAAGGCGAAAGGTCTAGGGGCCCGGCCCGATATGAATTTTTTCAGTGTAGGGTGCTCAGTTATAGCATGTTGCCAGGGGCTAGGGATAGGCGTCAAGCAGTTTGGGGTTTTGGGTCTCGCGAACGAAATAGGTTCTCGCTCAGGAAGCAAGAATTGCAGTAGGCACTTGGGATCAATGACAAATCACCCGGCTTCCCGTCGGACGATAACAGAAAACGACTTCCTGAACAACTAGGATAACAGTTGCTAAGTAAACAGGCTTTACGGTTTTCGGCTCGAGGACTTATAGGAATTGAAGTTTGGATGTATTTCCTGTGAACACATGCATCTTTCTGTGTTGGATATGCATACTTCGCTCCATCCGTATTGAGGTCTGACCAAAATTCCCTCTCAGTGCCTGATGCCGTATAAGACTATCCATACAGCACACTGCTTGAACTGTTCACAGGTAGCTATACGTATGGTTGGAAATGTCTCAGTCTGGCGAAGTGCTGCTTACATACAGTTACATGTAGTTACCCCCTATCTTCCAAGTCGCCTGATTCTGTGGGTGTGTCGTCGTACAATAGTCTACTGGACCTAAGCTAGAGTAACCTAGGAATAAAAAGGGTGCCCTTTTTGGTTTAAAAGGGCTTATAAGGGAACCTGAACCCTAAAAAAGGGAATCAGGGCCGACCCTGTTTGCTAGTCTAGAAGCGTACGCCCTGCACAGTGTAGGATGCCCGAGCTTTGCGAAAGAGGCAAGTTCGACACTGCAGACGAGGCACAACCATTGCGTGCAAACCACACTCCCGGCGGGAAACACCATGCCTGCCAATCTGCTGAGTCTCTAATGTCTTGGGGCTAATTAGTTGTGTAGGATCCGGGACCAGACCCTGGATTGCAGGATTGCAATACTCCCTTTTGCGGGTAGCACGAAAACAACTAGATGTAAACGTAAAGGTACGAAAACAACTAGATGTAAACGCCAAGGTTAAAGCCCGAATAGAACTCGTGATACCGAGTAAGGCAACCGAATGAGAGGCATGAGAGCCGCTCAACCACCAATCGCCTTTCACACAATACCAGCCTTGCTAAGGGGCCCTATACGCGGACTCATCAAGCCCCTATGCCAATATGGAGACGAGAAACCCGGTAACCCAATCCCCTTAAAGAAGCGTTTGGAGCAGTTAGAAGAACCCCAGTGCAAACTGACCTCAGGTACTGGCAGAGTCAAACCTCTGCCTAATCTGTGCAGCAAGGGGGGCTTACTGCAAACGCGCTGATCCGGAAAAGAAGCTTATGCAGCAATGGGAGGAGCACTTCTGGCACCTCAAACCCTGAACCCTAAACTCCTAAACTCTATATACCCCTGTATACTCCTAAACCCTAAACCCTGTATACTCCTAAATCCCTAAGCCCCAATAAAAAAAAAGTGGTACTTAGCTGCTTCCCTTGGTCCAAGAAGGAGCCTTGGAGCATCCCCAAAGCGACGAAGGCCGTGCCGAAGGCAAAGCTACCGAAGTCCATCCTGGGCTCTGGGGTGTACCTTACTTGAAGGCTCATGGGACTTAGTAACCAGCAGGTTATTCAGGGTTAAGGTCGAGTTTAGGTGTATGTAGGGTTTAGGGGTTTAGGGGTTTAGAGGTTAGGGGGTTTGGGGTATATGGGGTGTATCTTACTTGAAGGCTCATGGGACTTAGTAAGTAAGGTTATAAGTAGGTTGTAATTAGAATAACCCCACTTAGGGGACTTATAACCCCAATTATAACCTACTTACTAAGTCCCATGATGCTCTAAGTAGCCCTGACAAACCTACCTTTTTTAAGGACTTATACAAGGAAATCATAGTAGGGAACCCTAAAAAAGCAGGTTATTCAGGGTTAAGGTCGAGTTTAGGTGTATGTAGGGTTTAGGGGTCTAGAGGTTAGGGGGTTTGGGGTATATGGGGTGTAGAGTTTAGTAGGCGTCTGTAGGGTTTCGGAGTTTAGGAGTTTGGGGGGTAGGGTTAGAAGGGGTTATTAGGGTTTCCTTAGAAGGAACCCGTCAAGGCCAAAATCAAAGCCTCTTACAGAACCCTACCAGCCCGAAGCCTGAGTCTTCGTCTGAACCCTAGAGAAGGAACTCTACGAGAACCCTGGAACCCCAAATGGGTGGTTGTCAAAATTATGGTACCTTTTTGGGAACCCTGAATATTAAGTGCCGTACTATATTAGGGACCCAAAAAGGGGCCATAATTTTGACAACCACCTAAAAGTAAAACCCTGCTTTCTGCTCTCTTGAGCAAGGTACAGAGCCGGTGCGAGGAAGCAGCAGACGCCAGAGGCCAGCATGCAAAAGAGCATCACCTGAGAGGGGTCTATAGGGCGTCTTTCGCGCTTAGTCTATGATTCCTGTTCCGGATTGGGGGTTCATGGGCTTAGAGCTCAAGCCTGAAGGTTTAGGGTTTGAGGTTTGAGGCTTTGGGGTGTAGGAGAGCTGGGATGACAACTTGAGGCTCCAGTGAAGGCCTACGTAGATCCCTGGTATACAACTCCCCTCCCCCCCCCCCCGCCCTTGGTACTGCTGATGGACAAAAGCCTGCATTACCCATTAGAAGGAATATATACCATAGTTCCCATAGTTTAGAGTCCTTAAGGTCATGCAGGATTTTGTCCATCAGCAGTAGAGATCATAGTAGAGATCCTGATCTTAAGGCCTGGCGCACTGTGAGGGAGATGAGTTGCTCAGCTTCCGTCTTCCGCGAGGCAGAAATGGCTCTGGCTTTTTTCGCAATCTGCGTAGCATGATTTCGCAGGAACCACGCTACTCAACCACTTTGAAACTTGTGAAAGCCCTTGCACTACCCTAAGGCCCCAAAGTGGTTCCTTTGTGTGGCTCAAGGTAATCCCAAAAAGGAACTACCGTAAAGGGATCGCCCGAGCTCGAAGGCAAGTAGCATCGTAGCCTCCCAAACGGTCGGCAATGATCCCTCCGAGCACCTGCTGGTTAGTTAGTAGGGTTCCCTTTACGGGGGTCTATAACGGTTACTATAAGGGATCTATACTTACCTTTGGTTAGTAGGGAATGGAAGAATGGGGTATAATTATAACTACTATTACTACCATTCTTCCATTCCTAACCAAAGGCAAGTGTTGCCATGCCAGGTGAAAAGCCACGAGTCGAGTTCTCTTAGGAGGTGTAGCGTTTAGCGACTTTAGGATTTTGAAGTCTCAGAGTTGAGGATCAGGAGCATTATACTTCGCATGAAGTTTGCTTCTATGCCTATGATTCCACCCCTAGATGGGCGAGAAAAAAGGCTTCCGGAGCTGTTGCTGGCTGCCTGGACCAGCCTTGACCTTGTGTGTGCGGGAGTCTGGGTGGGTTTGCGGTACCAATAAGGCATCGTAGCAATGATACAACCTCCTGACTCATAAAAACCGTCTGACAGTCTGATTGAAATCATCTTGCTGCAATGGCACAACTCGACACTCTGCACGACAAGCTGAAACCTTGCCTAGCTTCAGGCTCCCACTTGAGCTCTCACAGACATCATCATCATTATCTTCATTTCCATCATCAATGTCATTGAGCGAGATTTGCAAGCGCCCCACTGCCTTGCCTGCGTAGCCAAGTAGCCGTTCCTTCCGCACAAACACAAGGGGGTCGTAGTAGGCATATGACAGAGCAAGCGAAAAAAAGCAGTGGCCATGACAGTACCATGTAGAAAAAAGAACCAGTCATATCCGGAGCAACAATCATAGCACCGCTGCTGCAACAACTGGTGCACCATTTTTCTTTCGACCTGGAGGTAGCAAGGGTGGTAGCTAACAACAGCAACAACAGCTACAGCGACAGAAGTCCAGCAGTCGTAGTGCGACCGGCAGCACCGATAATGGGAAAGACTACTCCTGGCGATGTTCAACGCACGGTTGAGCAGTCTCACAAGACTTGGAGCTGAGCAACTCCATGCGTTTAGGGTTGAGGGTTTAGCGCTTGAGAGTTCGGGGTTTAGGCTTTCGTGTTCAGGGGTCTCCCCTGCATAACCTGCATGTGAGTGGACAGCTCACTTGGAAAACGGTCGCAATAGGATGAGTGAATAGAATATCCTGAAGAATATCGCGCGGATTGTTGTGGGATGGTACGGAACACGAGAACACTGGTTCATAATATCAGAAAATTGCAAAATCCGATGTTAGATCTGTAAATAACACGAACTTTCACGTATTTATACATGCATGTATATGTCTATCTGTGTGCGTGCATACACATAGCTTCAGGAAGTACTTACAGCCAACGCGCTAGAATGCACCGCATGGCAACACAAGTAGCCTGCACTCCAACATCGTCGAGGCTAAGTGCAACTTGTGCGAACCCGCAAATGTAAGAGCAGAACTTTCCGGACAATCAGTCCGTGCTCGAGTGCACACAGTACATACGTACTTCTTTTCAGAGTTTCCCGCATCCTCTAACAATCATCTCACAATCGAACATAACTACTGCGCCGGAGTGTTGACGGAAACAGCGGTAAGAAAGTTACACACCGGTAAATGCGGTCTCAACTACTGGTATCCATCACGAGCATAAACGGGCTGAGCCACCTAAACCTTGAACCTACAGACCCTAAAACCTCATAGGAGCGGCAAGCCCTAAACCCTGAAGCTTGCTGCCAGGCATCGCGTACCGGGACATCAGGTAGCCTTGATCGCTAGAGCTGAGCTGCAGCTCCATTGTCAGAGTAGGAAGGAGCCTTCATCTCGCCGCAAATTAGGGGGGACGGGGGGGAGCCGTGCCCAGAGACTCCAATATCCCTTGATTAAGAAATATACCTTAAATCCATATTTATTAAGGATCCTACTATAATTTAAGGTATATTCCCTAATTAAGGAATATTGGAGTCTCTGGGTGTCAATGGTTCGAGTTTAGGTTTAGTAGGGTTCGTTATCACAATGACACTGCTACTGGTACGAGTCTTTCGGATATGGAAGGATCTGCACTAATACGGGATGACAAACCCCCGGTATACAACCTGTATTCCGCGTACCTTTGCCGCCAGGCGCGACATGTCGGTTCAGAATTCTCACTCGAATTGGATCGGTCAATGAAAAACATGCAAAGGTTATATACAGTTCGGCTCCTTGGATGCGCTTACAAAAACCAGCCTCAGATCCCTAAACCCCCAGACGCCGAACGACTAATGTCATATTGGAGCCCGTTCAGCCGTCATCTACACTGGCGGAAACCTTTCAAACGAGTCTGCCTGAGCCCTAAACAACCCACCCTTTTTTGGCGCTGCCATTCTGATCTCCCCGTAAAAGCCCCCCCGGAACAAGCAGGTCGTTTAGGGTCCAGGTTGGATTTCTGGGTAGGGGTTTGGGGTCGAGGGCTCGGTTTCTTCGCCCAGACAAGCAGACAAGGATAGAAGAGGGATTAAGATTCAAGTTGTCAGCTTGTCTTGAACTTGGTCTTCGGTTTTAGGATCTAGGGTTTAGGGCCTTTTAGGGCTTTGTGGCATATCGCACCACAACTCTGCAGGGCTGGAGCTCATGTTGTTTGCCCTCGGATCCGATCCGGGTATGGGTACCTTCAGATCCGTTGTGAGTACACAGCTGGAAACGGATGCTATAATATACTATAATATACTTTACCATAATGTACTATACTATACCATAATATTGCTTACATGAGATGGGTTTTTTTCCCTTTAGGTCTCTGCTTCCAGAAGCTGTGGGAGATCTGTCAAGTCTCAGAAGCCGAAACTGGAAACCCTAAGACCCTGAGCCGTAAAACCCGGAAAGCCTAAAACCTCATCCCCAGCTTTAAACTGCAAAGTCCCATCTGCTGAGGACCTGACACGCCCAACTGCGCCCGGCAAAGGTAGGACATAAGCCGACTCCCTCAGGGCTTAATGGCTTTAGCGTCATAGTAATGGTCCTACGTAGTAATCAGAGGCCAACATGATGCTCCCTGACAGGCAACAATGGAAACAGTGTAGTCCTAACTCCTCGCCTGCAATATTGCTTCCGTTATCGGGGTTTAGATGTCCCGAATGGGCTTGGCTTCAAGGTCACCCGAGGTCAGCACACGAGCCCCCCAGATCGGACAAAACAATGAGGAAGGTGGCGCATGTATGCTTTGGAGATGTCCTTACCCCGTTACCCACATTCCCAAACATTATTTGTTCAACCTCGTGCGTGCATTCGGACTGCACTTCATTGAACACGATATCGGGTGGGTGCTGGTGAGCATGTTGTAGGTGAGGACGGCAATGGCCAGGAAGGTAAAAATGGCCATGACCGAGATAAGGATACATGTTTCGTACAGATGTCCAAGATCAGGAGGTAGAGAGGAGTAGCAAGACTAGTAGCATGATGATGATGACGACGGTGGTGGCGATCACTCTGGAAGTGAAGCTTGCTATGGCCACGATGATGATGGTGAGGATTCCAAAGATGATGATAATGATGATGATGGTGGACAAAAAAAGTGGGCTGATGATGATGTGCCCGATCCTGCTGCAGATAAGGCTGGTGATTGAGAAGGTGGTGCTGATGAAGGTAGTCTAGTCAAAATACTGCTCGTTCTTGTGGCGGTGAAGCAGGTGGTGACTGTTGCACTTGATCTCCCTTCCGCAAAAGCTTCCGGCCTGCTACTAGGTAAGCTTGTGTAGCTCGAACATCGGTCATCCTGCCGGTGGCCACAAACTGATGCATTGGAGTCAGCTGAACAGTCTAAACCCACTCGCGACATGACCGTTGCAGTCTGTCTTACGAGTCTTCATGTCTTGAACTTCGGGAATATACCGAAGATGGTCACAGCTGGTTGGATAGGACACCGTGGAGCACAGTTGGTGCGCGGCTCAGGGGTATCGGCGTTGAGGGCTTAGGGTTTGGCGCCTCCCGCGCTGTAGGATTTGGGCACGGTTTGTATTTTTGTGAACCCACCATGACCCGAAAGAAGCGATGAGTCGTCCCTGACCTCTCGTCGAGGTCGAGCGGCTGCTCTGGATCACTGGCGTCGCCGACCTTCTACCAAGTCTGAGGCCAGGAAGACTGTAGGGTACTAAGAGGGTAATATGGGTACTATGACGCGACTATACGGCTACCATAAGGGTACCACAAGGGTGCCTTACGGTTACTATGAGCTGCAGGGTTTAGGGAGAAGCTTAGGGTGAAGGACTTTCGGGATTTATTGCGCGCTCTCGGTGTAGAGGGCTTCGATTCAATGGCTTTAATTTTCTGAAGGAGTCTGGGATTTGTTGTTGAGTGTTTGCAAGCTTCGGTTTTTGGGCTGGAGCATTAAGGATATGGGCTTTTGACAAGCTTAAGACCAGCTTTTTGAAGGTACGGCCTGGGCTATTGGCAGCTGTCCTAAACAGAAACCAGACGCCGACAAGTTGAAGAGTGTCGTTCGTGAAGCAGGGTGAGTATCTTTATGGGTATAAGGTGCGCACTTGCTTATCTTATAAGATTTCACAAACACGGAGGATTCAACATGAGAGCTGGGTGAGATCTCTGCGCAGGTGAGCCCCGCCGCTGCATGGGGAGGAAGGCATGTTGGCCTCCGTCTAAATGTGGATCTCCTGGTGGTATCTTGGTAGTCCCCTGGTGCCCAGAGACTCCAATATCCCCTAATTAAGGAATATTCCTTAAATTGTGGTAGGATCCCTTATATGATTTAAGGTACATTCCTTAATTAAGGGGTATTGGAGTCTCTGGGTGGTCGTGGTCATCATGTACCCTACGAACCAAGGCCCCGAGGCAGATCATGAAACCTTAGGTATTTGGACGCTCATGGGACTTAGTAACTAGGGTTATGATTAAGGTAACTACTCGCTTTTTCTCGCTTTTGGGGCATAGAGATCCGTTGAGCGGACGCAGCCCGGTTAAGGTAACTACACTTATATGTACTTATAAGCCCAACTAGGGCACTTATAACTGTACTTACTAAGTCCCATGAAGCTCCCAGTAGGCTTTAGGATGCAGGACTTCAGGCTTGGGGATTCAGGGCTGCCGGCTTTTATTGCTTATTGTTGATGAAAAATGGATGGAAGTTATAGAGTTTAGGATTTTCGGCCTTGGGGCGGCAAGAAAACTGGCATAAGTGGTCCTATTGAGGTCCTATTGGGACCGGTCGGGTCGGGGAATGCTGCCAGGGCCTCGGAGCATGGGGAGCAGGGGTGTGCGATTGAGGATCGTATGATAGGGGCCTGAATAAATTAGAGTAGGGTTTTGAGGCCATTAATTATACTAGACCGATGATAAGGAACCCCCACAATAATATTGGTATTTACTTAGACCCCTCTATTATGATGTAAGACGCCTTTCACGTCTCCCAAACTATTCGCTTCGGAGCCTTGAGCATCCTCCATGGCACAGCCAGAAAAAAGAAGAGAGGCCGTTCAATGGAGGCACTGGGAAAACAGCGATCGTTGAGTAGGCTTCAGGTGGGTGGTTGTCAACATTAGGGTCCCTTTTGGGGTCTTTCTTATAGTACGGCACCTAACATTTAGGGTACCCAAAGAGGGACCATAATTTTGACAACCACTCAGGGTGATAGATAGGCCCTAACCTGACCTGCCTAGTTTCTTACCGAAGCTGGGGTTCTGCATTCTGGTCATTGAGACCCTACAGTAGAAGCCAGAAAGTTGGAATATCATTATCGTAACCCCCGTAAGGTAAATTATAGGGGATCCTACCATTAATCCATATTCCAACTTTCTGGAGTTCCCTTTATAGCTTCTTCAGCTCGGCTCTGGATTCGAGCAAGGCTTAAGTTCCAGTGTCGCTGCCGTTGCGGATAGTTATAGGTTTGCGAAGTACCTCAATCGATTGGGCGGTGGGGTCAATTCAAAGGTCGGTCATGGATTGCATCTGCAAGGCATTCGGAGGCTTGCGTTGAGCCTGCGAATCGGCGACGAGCGGCAACACGGTTGAGGTTGCAACAACAGTACTTTCTTGGCAACAAGTTCTTGAACTGCGAAGCCCCAATGGAGACCAACATCTGGGGCTTGGAGTCTAACGCATCAAATTGCCGAGGGTGGAGGGGCTTTTGGGTGTTGGTAAAGTCGAAACCGCTCCCCACTGAAGTGCTCATTTGCGAGTTCGCCCACGAGAGACTCTGTACATCTCTGTACATGCCGCGGGTACCCTCAGCTTTCTTCGATGGTCTGAAGTTGAAGGTTTCATGCTTACACTTACTGTTGATTTACGGCTGAGGGGGTTTAGGATAAAGGGTTTAGAGACAGTTTTTAGGGCTTGGGATTTGGGATATGGGGGCTCGGGGTTTGGGGAATTTGCGTTCCAGGCTTTTTCTTTTGGGGTTTCAGGGTGTGGCGGCTTAGGTCTTGCCGAACGCGATTCCCTGAAGGAATCCCTAGTTTGGAACCAGCCTCATGTATAAGAGTTCGGACTAGGGGTTTAGGGTTTAGGTGGGACCCTTGGGGATGTAGACTCTTTGAATCAAGTCTCTTTTGAAGTCTCTACTAACTCTACTAAGGAATGCACCCTGGGGGTCAAGACACCAAAGCTTCGAAGCGGTCCCCTAGACACTTCCAGGTCTTATTTCTTGGGATAGACAGAGTCTTACTAGAGTGTTGCTATTCAGGCCCCTACATTGGCTTCACGTCGCAGAGTACCCAAGAAAGCCACTCATTCAGTTCAGTTCTCTGGCACGCCTTTCTCGTAGTTGGGAAGGTAATCACACTTTGCATTAGTATGTTGGTTCAAGCTTGGGATCTGGTGCCAAGGGCCTAACTAAGCCCTTAGCCTCAGAACCCAAAGCCTTCAACCCCAGACCCGCCAACGCCACACTCCCACGCAACGTCATTGCGGGGTGCAGTGGCAGGCAGCGATTTCGCGACTCATGCGGTTTCCCGGAAGGTCCACGTACCCAATATTCGAGCACATGGTGCTTGGAGTAATAGCAGTTCTAGATTCGTATTTAAGGGAGGCCAAAGGGGAGTTCACCATGAATATTAGGCATTTGGACCCTTAGGGTTTCTCTCGCATGTGCCAATCAACTGCTGGTAGTTCCCGATGTCCAGCTCGGCTGCAGTCAACGCGAGAAGTCGCTGAAGTCCGAGTAGAAGGTCCCCACACTGCCGTCGGAGTCGAACCTCCCGGGCTACCAGAGTTTCGGGCTGAGTTGGGAGTTTCCGAAAGCAGGGGACCCTAATAGAGTAGCCTAAATACTAGGATCCTTACTACAAGGACCCCAAAAGAAGGTACCACGTAATTTTCGGAAACTCCCATTTAACGGGTTGAGAGATCCCAGGGCCCTAAACCGCAGACTGGGAAGGCCTAACACAAAGCATCCCAAATCGAAGCAGCTGCTTCCGAGAAACGCTGTGAAGTCTTCTTCGTTGGGCCAGCCCTCGCCTGTGGTCTCGGGCTCATAGGGCTTTAGGATGTAGAGTTTAAGTTTGGAGCCTCAGGGTTTCCGGGTTCAGGGTTTTCGGGTTTGGATTTCTTGGTAGGAGGTGTAGTGTTTGCAGCTTAGGGTGCCATGTGCTTGCTTCGATTTGCATTGGTGCTTATATTCTAGTGCTCATGTTTGTTCACTTCATGATCGCTTGCTACTGGCTCTGATTTCTGCTGCTTTATTTCATACTTGTGGGGTCTTTAAACGGAGGGTGTTATCATTGCTTTGCTGGTTCTTACCGGTTGACAAGCCCTATAAGCCCTAAACCCTAAATCCCCATTATCAAAGGTCCGAATCCCAAGATGCAAAAGACGAAGCCCGAAGGGGCCCGAAACTGCGGGCCTCCAGGTGCTTAGGGCTCGGGGGACTTCAAGCGGGTTTGGGGTTCTTCTTTTTTTCTTCGGGTTCAGGGTTCGGGGCTCAAGCTCTCGGGTTTAGGGAAATGGTCTACAGCACGGAAGAATCAGGAACTTGGGCCTTGCGGCGGTAGCAATGTAGGGTAGCTTACTTGCCCGGTACTACCCCCATCAAGTTCACGTCGGGTCATGAGCGCGGTCCCGAGCGAACGGCATGAGACTGGGCTAAAGCTTGCCTGCTCTATTACTGACGTAGTCCTGTGCAGTGTTGAGCACTCGGACCCATACGGAAACTCATAATATTGGAACCCCAGTCGCCATCCGTCTCGCCGTCACTGGTGGTGTCATCGCGGACCTCATTGCTGTTTGCTCTCGCTGTTCGTAAAGACAGCGATCCGATCATATTACTATGCGCCATGCACCTCAGAGTCTTGTTTGCTACATATTCGGGTGGTTGTCAAAATTATGGCCCCTTTTTGGGTACCCAATAATATTGGGAGGTGCCGTATTATCATAAGGACCCAAAAGGGACCCTAATTTTGACAACCACCCATATGTGTCTGCGGTTAATGGAACTGTGGTTATCATGATGCCCCACCTTCAAAGCTCGGCTCCGCATCGCAGGCGTCGTCGTCATCACCACCGCCGTCGTAGTAGCAGTAGTAGAAATAGTCTTACGAATCACAAGCAATTCGAAGCAATAGTCGTAGAAGCTAGCAGGAGCAGTAGTCGTCGTCGTAATAATCGTCGTAGCAGAAAGGAGAGCCAGTAAGTGCAAAACCATGACGACAAGGTTCATATTCCTTGATTTGTCTACGGGTCCATCGGGTTTAGCCGCCGCAGGCCTTCGAGCTGTTTCGGCAGTTAGTAGGGTTGCATCATCACGTTCGGACTGACATTTGGACCGCCCCCCACCCTCCACTCTCGCTCTGCTGCAATACAATGCCTCGCAGCCAAGTTGAATGCAGTCAGGTTGGACAATACGAGTGAAACTGGCCTAGGACTTGACGCAACAACAGCTCTTCTACTGATCTGCAAGATGCACAGAGGAAATCACTCAGCCAAACATGCTGCTGTAGATCAAACATGAGGAAGCCTCACCGAAGAGCCCAAACAAGAGAAATGCAATACCCCATCATGGTTTGTCGAGCTTGTGGTCACAAGTAAAGTTTGGGGTAAGTCTGAATCCCAAAGTTTCTCGCAGCAAGATATGGTATACTTGTGGCACTACAGGAAGATATGGTCACTAATTCTTCAGAGCTCTATACCACTCTCTCGGACCAGATGCTTGTCGGGGCCGGAGAAACCTCACAAGCGCGAATGGAGCTAACTCAAGAGAGGCTGCGCGAGTTCCGCTGGACTTGTAGGCTTTGGGGCTTAGGCTACGTCACATTCGGCAGAGGATGAGCTGCATTTTTCATGTCCATGATCAACGGCTTCTCTAAAGGGCGTTATTTCCAGCGTTACTGGCAGAGCTCTACAAGGGCAAAGGCTTTCAAGCCAGATTCGCATCCCTTTAAAGGCTGCCACATGGCCTCGCAATCATAGCTAGGAACTGAAGACCGACGCACAGCTTTGCACCTGTCCTGCAACGACCCCGAAACATGGATCTGGAAAATCGAAGCCATCAATCTGATTATCCAACCAACTTTAGCTAGAGCCATAGAGAGTAGGACTAGGAACATAACCCAGCTTCGCTATTCACCCTCCCTGACCCTAAACCCCAAACCCCAAACCCTAAACCCCAAACTCTAAACCCTAAACCCCAAACCCTAAGCATCCCTACGCCCTGAACCCTAAGTTGACCCTGGCTTCTCAGGGATGAAGCATCCGGGCCCGGGCTCGAGCAGAGAAGCGGTGAGCAGCACGAGATAAGCAGTCGAGGTTCTAGAATCCAGAAATCATGATCCCAAAAGAATATGGTTCCTGTAAAGGGGCCTATTAGGGCGACTATGAGGGATCTATGAGGTTACTGTACTATAGAGCAAAGTGGTAATTTCCAGTACTATCCAATACTATTTTGGGGGTTCCTTATTGAACTTATAGTAGAATGGGTTCCAAAGCCCTGTTCTAGTTATCACCACTCCCCCCGAAGACATCAAAGTCGAAATTCGGGGAGGTTGCATGACGGGCCCGTGCGACCAAAGCGCCGGCGAAGCAATTCCACCCACTCGTGCTGGGTGTACTCCTGAGTGCGGAATCTCTTTGAGGATATGCTGAGGCTTCAAGCGGTTAGGGTGCGGTGTGCATCATCCGTACATTTGCCTTCCGAGACATGTGGTCAAACAGGAACATCCTCGGAGTCTCTCAGCCCCAAAAAATATGTACGAAAGATCATTACCGAATCATTACCGTTGCATTGCCCCAAACCCTAAACCCCTTTGTTCTTAGAATCCCCTTACGGAACCCTTATGGATCACTTTACAGGCACCCGCAAAATGCTCCGGCTCAACATTCGGTCCCTGGAGGTTTGAAGCTAAAATCCGAAAACCCAAGAGCTCGCAGAAAAACCCAAAGGGACGGCCTCACGGAAGAGTGGCGAGCATGGGTCCCCGAGGTCGATGTCGGCCTGTCTCCGAAAGTCGCGGGGCCGGTGATGCTCGGGATCTGAGGTTCAATTCAATGTTTGCCAGTCCGGGCCCGCTTCCGGTGCGGAAAGACGGTTTGGGAATATTTAAAAGGCAAAGTTAGGGTGTAGGGTTTGGGGTTTGGACTTTACTCCAGCGCAGCCTGTCGAAGGGCTGCAATGGAGCGCTCGAGCTTGGCTGACGGCCTGTGCGGGGACGGTGGGGGGCGAGTCATTGGCAAAGACTGCACGCTATCCAGCCATCCGACAATGGGCTGAAGGAAACTATGGAAGCCGAGCATACTCGTAACAAGACCCTATGAAAGTAAGAGGATAATGTTTACAAGGGCCTAAATCCTAAGAAATCCTCACTGATTCCATAAACCTTATTCCAATTTATCAACAACACTTGAAATGCTCCGAAAGCCCTGAAGAATGTTTGCCCGATGCCCTAAACCATTTGGCCTTTGAAACCAGTTACTGGTTTCAAAGGCTGAGTAAGCCCTAAACACCCCCCTAACTTCTCTAAGCCTTAAGCCCCAAGCCTGGTCCTAAACCCTAAACCCCTAAACCCCCTGCGCGGTGGAAGCCCGGGCGCCTCCGACAGAGCCGCGAAGCTCCGAAGTAGGGCTCCTCGCAGCGATCGCTGTGGGGTTTGGAGTTTGAGGTTTGTAGTTTAGGGTCTTGGTCTTTTCGGTTTATGATTATGGTCTTTGGTCTAGGGTTTTGGGTTTAGGGTTTTGGGCAAAGCACTTTAGGGTGTTGGGTTGGGGGTGTTGCGTGTAGGGTTCAAGGTGTATTGGGCTTTGGGGGGGGGGCTCGAAGCAAGGTGCCTAGGGTTTGCGTGATGGGGTTTCGTGAAATTTCACGTGGTTTGGGACCACTTTTAAGGTTAGGGTTCAGTCTGGGGTTGACGTGGAGCCCAAAACATCTACATGTTCAGGGTTACTTGGAGGTTCATGGGTACTTATAAACAGGGTTATAAGTCCCCTAATATGGGTTATAAGTAAAATTACCCTACTTAGAACTACCCATGAACCTCCAAGTAAGCTTGCTGAAGGTACCATGACAGGATATCACGTAGCCTGCTTTCTCGAATAAAGCCTGCTTGCCCGATTGAGATGCTTACCCTGCGATCTACTGAGGTGGGCGAAGGAGCAAAGACTGCCAGCTCCGGTCACAGTCTCGTACGAACGAAACAGACTCGTAGGGAGGAGGCTCAGGGTTTAATGTAGGAGCCTGATTGAGAAACCTTGGACCTTTATTCGGGTTCTTTCTATGAGCCCTACGCCCCAGATTTCTGAATCAGGTTCCTACATTGGGGCTCAGGTTTCGGATACCCACTCCTGTAGGAACCTTTAAACCGCCCCGATGCCAACGAGTCTCGTACTTGAGAAGGAACCTGTGGTTTATGTAGATATACAGGGTTTCATCATAGGTTCAAGATGAGCAAATTTAAGGCACCTCGTCGTGTCCCAACATTCAAGAAGACGGACAAACAATTACAAACCATGGCAGCAACCCCGCCCTCACTTGGGAGCTTCGACATCCCCTCAAGATACCCAAATACGTACATACGTTCATCAAGGACAGTGCGCCATCCCATCACAAGGCTCCTAAAAGCTAGGCTTCTGTCCCTCTAAACCCTACATCCTAAACCCTGAAGACCTGACCCTACTCAACCCTAAACCCCCTATAGTATAACCCTTATGCTACAACCCCCTTAGCATACCCCCATAGTAACCCTTGAATGAACCCTAGAAGGGACCCCATTCCCTACTCGCCCAACCTCCGGGAGTACGACGAGCGATGTAGGACCAGGGCCCAGCTGGCTCACTGCGAGGACCTCACAAATGGGGGAATGAATCCCTGTAGTAGTCCCTATATACCATATAATCCCCAATGATGGTCTCCATAATCCATTCCCCCATTCCCTAAGAAGAACCAGACAGAAAAGAACTTGACCACGTGCAATGCAAACTTAGGGGTATCTCATTTTGGGGTCCCTATAACAAGGATCCTACTATTTTGGGGACTATATTAGGGTCCCCTACTTCCATCTTCGTGGCTTGACAGTCCAATGCGTGGTCTCAGAGTAAAAGGAAAAGTTTGAGTAGTCTACACAACATAAAACTATCGTACAACGACAAGGAAAGCAAGCATGGACACTGTGGAAAATCATAGCAGCATATGACAAGGTATTACATTATATGTATACTTGTGGACCATTAAGGAAGATCTCCATCTTGCAAGGATACTGCTTCAAGCCGACCCTATGGTTTGACAGAAGACCGGTTTAGGGTTTAGAATTTAGGGATGCTAAGCTAAACCCCAAACCCTAAGCCCTAAGCCCATAAATCTTCAACCCTCGTCCCAACAGGAATTTTTTCGAAAGATAAGGGTTGGGGGTTTCAGAGTCATAGGGTCTGGGGGGCCTTTACGCTTTAGGGTTCTTTTAGAGATGAATAGGGTCATGGTTTGATGTAGGGCTTACCTTAACCCCAAGTAACCAACCTTTTTGAGGACTTAGATAAGGAAATCTTAGTATGGAACCCCGGAAAGGTAGGTTGTTAAGGGTTAAGGTAGGGGATAGAAACCTACCCAGTCAACCTTACACTCTGAGGCCCTGAGCCCAATTCACCTTCACGATCCGAAGCTTCTACATCTTCAACTCTAAACTCTAAGTTGAGCCTGAACTTAAACACCACACCCTGAACCGTGGCAACCTTCTGGCGCTCCCAAAAATATTCAAACCGTTTTGCTTGCCTACCCCACCAGCTTCGGAAGTTCCGGAGTTAGCTAAGGGTTTGAGATTGGGTTTGGCTTGAGTGTTAGGGTTTAGGGTTTAGTGTAAGGATTTTTTAGCTTTTCCTTTGTTCAAACCCACGGCGTGAACCTCCCGGAAGCAAAGACGGCGACCAGCGCACTGCAGCACCCACAGCCTTGCCACTCTTTAGGGTTTAGGGTTTAGGGTGACAAAAATTGGCCAGCATTCGGGATTTACTTACCTTTGGTTAGTAGGGAATGGAGGAATGGGGTACAATTTTCACTACTACTACTACTACTACTACTACTACTACTACTACTACTACCATTCTCCCATTCCCTACTAACCAAAGGTAAGTTTAGGGGGTTGGGATTTAGGGACCGCTCAATAGAATGAATCTCCCACAAACCTGCCAAATCCGAGCAGTACGGATTCTTCTGGCTCCTGTTCGCCAGGCTGCATGCTCCCCAGCATCCAAGTTAATTATCGGCTGTTAAGAGACCGGAAGCTGGGACAAACCTGAATCACAGCTTGCAGCGCCAGGAGACGTCTGCAGTGCCGGACATAGCCGCCAGACCGAGGCCAGAAACGATGCGTCGACGATTGCGTTCGACTGCCTGACATTGGGGGGAGGGGTCACTCCGATCTACGGTGCTTTCAATTCGGACATACTTCAAGCAGAACAACCGCCATGAACAAGGAACACTTAACGAGTTTCACATCTTCCCCCAATGCCCCTGAAACCCGTGTGCAGCACTGCCTTTCCGAAGGCACTGCGGCACTGCGGTCTAGAAAAGAATGGGGACTCAACATAAAACTAGTCAAGATTCGTAATGTTGGGATATCCCATAGCCAATAGTTCACATTTTGGACAAAGCAACAAAGTAGATGTATCCCACTCAAAAGTTAATGTTTGGGTGCTGTTTTGGTTCCTGAAAGAAGACAACCACCATCGTAACGGCATTAGTGGCATAAAGCTTGGGTACCTTCAACGGTCCCGGCAGAGAAACGACTGTGCATTTTTGTCAGCTTGAAAAACTAGATGAGGCTATTGTTGCTCTGTCCACTTTACATGCTCCAAACAATCGTCACGACGAAATATTCTGAAGGCTGAGCGTAGCTTATCACTTGAATAAAGATGACATGCCATAACGCAAAAAACAGAATCAAACAACCCGTCCACGCGAAACACACGCGGCCGGACCTCAACATCTTGAAGCATCTGAGCTTCCGGAAGAGACTCACGCCCTGTCTCAGGTGCAGGGATACCCCCAGCTAACACGCCGAGGGATTTAAACAGCTAACCCTAAGACTCCATGTAATCAGCCCCTAAACCCGGAATCCTAAACTCGTCGGGTAAGACCCTGAAACGAATATGAAGAGCGACGAGTCAGAGGGGGCCAGGCTGTTGGCAGAGTCCGACGAAGTGTGCTTAGCAAGTCGTTGTGGTTTTGGGTGTCCTATGGTTGTTTCCCTCGTTGAAAGGTACCTTGGTTAGTCTAGAGACAATGAAACGGTATACCTCGCTCTGACGCTTGAGGGAAGTGGTACCTATGACACCTAGCAAAAGCATCCATCACGTGACTCTGCGAAATTGGGCTAAAGCCGTGAGTGTGCTCCTGCTTCATCCTACACCATAAACCCCAAACCGTATAAACCCCAAACCATGAACCCCAAACTGTGGAAACACTACGAGTCTATGCTTGCTCTGGTCGTTCTTGAGGATGCCCATGTTGTAGTTTTGGGGCTCTCAAAAGTATTGATGAACAGGTACCTCTATAGGAACCAGAACATTAAAAGTTTCCCTAATTGCCACCTAGTTTAGGCCTTTCAAGACCCAAATCTGAGATAACTGTCTCATCATGGCGAAACCAGAACGACTCCTGAGCCGGTTGAGGCTTCAAGGGTTCAGGCCTTAAGGCTGAGGGGTTACTAGTTACCTATACTGAACTTAGAACCCTAGCAAAATTATGATTTTAGCTGTTTCTTAGGGATGATAAGAACCAAAAATTAAAAAAATGTCTATCTAAGTACCCCTAAGGTTACCTTCTCTACAATTCACAACCCCACCTTCTAAGTCGCCTGAAACGCCTGCTAAACCCAGAACCTGCTAAACACAAAAGGAGGTCTTGGTTTAGGATTTAGGGTTTCGAAGGGTTTAGGGTTTAGGGTTTAGGAGAGAGAGAGGGTTTCGAAGGGTGCACACGAAAAACACCGAAGAATTCTGAGCTCCAAAGCCCAGGTTGGTTCCACACCGGTTATGGACGTCCTTCGCGTCCGTGACCCCCGTCAGGAACACCACACCGAAGTCCTTGAGGAGCGTTTCACCACGGATCTCGGACAGAAAGCCCTGCACAACTCTCCAGAATGCAGAGCCTCCTCCACTCGGAGAGTCTCAGCTGCGTGCGAGCTTCTGCAAACTCTCTCGATCTTCTGGCTTCTGATATTTATGAGGTGCAAGTAGCTTCGATGTCCTTGGATCAGCTCGCTGTCAACAAGCAATATGGCTTATAACAGCTTTCGCTGAACAATTTCATGTTCCCTTTGGTGGTTCCATCGTCACATTCCCGATTGCGGCCATCGACACAAAGTGACGAAGCCGCCTGACCTACCTTATTTTGGAGTCCTTATAATAAGGATCGTACCATTTAGGGTCCCATATTAGGGGCCGCTATGTTCGGAAACTCCCATATGTAAGGCGCCTTGAGAAGGGTTCCTACTGTAGGCGTGCAGTGCGTTAAGAGCAAAGCCGTGGTCGAAACCAAGGGGGCGTATAAGACTTATAGAAACCTCGTAGAAATCATATGCTTCTAGAACCCTTCCTGAAGCCATCAGCTAAAACCTGTCAGTATAGATCCCTCAAAGGAACCCTTGTAACAACCTTTAAAGGAACCCTAACCCTAAACCCTAAACCCTAAACCCTAAACCGTGCCTGCAGCACTCCAGAGCCCGAGGGCATCTCGAGTGTGGAGAGGCTAAGCTCCTCTTTTGCCGGCTTTGGGCGCGTAGGGATCGGAGGTGTAATAATTAGACTAGGGTTCTTTTAAAGGGTTTCCTTAAAGGGGTCTATAAGGGATCTACAGTAGGGTTCTATAATGTAGGCAGGGGCCTTAATAATTAGACTAGGGTTCTTTTCAAGGGTTTCTTAACGGGGTCTATAAGGGATCTATAGTAGGGTTCAAAAATGGAGGCAGGGGCCTTAATAATTAGACTAGGGTTCTTTTAAAGGGTTTCTTAACGGGGTCTATAAGGGATCTACAGTAGGGTTCTATAATGTAGGCAGGGGCCTTAATAATTAGACTAGGGTTCTTTTCAAGGGTTTCTTAAAGGGGTCTATAAGGGATCTATAGTAGGGTTCAAAAATGGAGGCAGGGGCCTCAATAATTAGACTAGGGTTCTTTTAAAGGTTTTCTTAAAGGGGTCTATAAGGGATCTACAGTAGGGTTCTATAATGTAGGCAGGGGCCTTAATAATTAGACTAGGGTTCTTTTAAAGGGTTTCTTAAAGGGATCTATAGTAGGGTTCTATGGAAAAGGGGCCTTAATTAGAATAGGGTTTTGGCGCCGATTAAACTATACCTATAATAAGGAACCCCAACATAGTATAGGTAATTTTAGGCCCCTACATAAGGGTTCGGGGTTTAAGAATTGCCTGAAGTCTTCATTGTGGCAACTCTTTGGGGGTTACCTTATAGGATCCTACATATATAACCGGTTCAGCCACAGGTCCGGTGAGGTTCAGGGTTCAGAGTGCAGGCCGTGATAAAGGGGTTCACGTGGACTTGCATGGGGCCTCGCACGGGTCGCGCGAGGGTTTCTTTTCAGTTTCATCGAGGTTTTGCGGAGTTTCATCAGGAATCTCACGGCTCTCATATGGTTGCGAAACAGGCTACATAAGGGGACTTAGCAGAGCTACGTTAAAGGTTTTAGAGTATAAGGCTTGGTCTTATAGAGTTTAGGGTATTGGAGTTTAGGGTATTGGATTCAGGCTCTGGAATGTAGAGTATGAGGGGTTTTGGTATCACAGGGGCATGGGGCTGTAGCCATGGTGCCGCTCTGCAGCTCAAGGTGTTCAGGTGCAAGGCTTGGGAACGTTGAGGCAGGGCCTTCGTGTTTCATCGTAACCTTTAGAGAATGCTTCTGGCAACCCCGGTAGAAGCGCTGGACAACTCTAATAGGAAACGCTGAAAATCAAACCCTTGGAGGCCGCCCCATCGACGCTTGAGAACTGGAGAGGGCAACGATACTTCGTGTTTAGGTCTAGGCTTTGGGCCTGAACACCTGTAGGTTTGAAGTAGACTGCAGTAATAGTTTGATCGGCTTGTATGTCTCAGGTAGGATGACAAGCGCCTCGCTTGGCAGTGCCCTTTGGTGCCTCCAAGCACTGGCAGCCAGTGGCCAAGAGCAACAGATCGGAGTAGCTTACCTGAGACTTCGAATCGCAGATCTTGTTGGATCTTGCACCTGGGTGGTTCTCAAAACTATGGTCCGTTTTAGGTACCCTAAATATTTGGTGCCTTACAATAATAAGGCCCCCAAAAGGGACCATCTACAAAACGGAGGACACCTTCTTCGATTTTGTTCGCTCCTTCTTCGGCATTATTTACAAATATGGGACACTCTCCAAAATCATATCCGAAACTCCGAACAACGCTCAATTTTGAGGACTGTCCACCCACCACACCTTTTTCTCAAAGGCTTCGGGTTTAAGTTCAGGGCCTCTTGTGGTGTGCTGAAATACCATGCAAACCCTAATTAAAACACCCTGCACCCCAACCGCTAAGCCCACATACCTAAACCCTTAATAGACCTTAAAGCCTAAACCCTAAACCCCTAAACCCCAAACCCAACAAGCCCTAAACCCTCACTCCTATTTTCAACAATTAGGGGGGTACATTATTTTGGTTTCCATATTAGGATCCTACTGTTTAATGTGGTAGATAAGGGTCCCCTATGTTCTAAAACCGCGTGCTGAACAAGTAGAACCATGCTTGTTGGGGCTGGAAGAACTATAACATACAACGATAAACCTGAACGAAAATAGTATACAGCTATAATGCAAGCTTCTGTATTGCAGCGAAACTACCCTTCACGATCAAACTACCCTTAACGATCAACGATGCAGGAGACAGCCTATGTTGTCGCAAAAAGTATCATCCTCTGAGCCCGTTTGTCATCAGCGATATACCTAAACCCTGGATACAGCCCTACAAATAACAAAACACTACACACCTTGTCGTTCTGACCGTTGAATTCGCCGTAAACACACTGGCTGTGTCAGTCGTAAACATACCGGGGCTCCATGGGCTGCAAGTGAAGCCGGAGCCGACGGAGAGTGCGCCTGGCCCGTCGCCGATCGTGGCCCGAAGAGTGCATTATAGGCCATGGACCCCAAACCCTAAACGCTAAGCAGGGATTTCATAGGGGATTCGGAAGGGGCTTCATGCGGATTTAAGTGGTGTGAAAGGAAATGCATACAGGCTCGATGGGGTTCGGAGGGTTTGAGGTCTGCAAGGGCTTCATATGGTTTCATAAAGCTTCATGACGGTTCCAACACGGCTTGAATGGTTGTTGCAGGATCTTATTAGGATTTCAGCTGATTTCGGGCTGTTAAACTTCTGTCGGTTGCATACTGCCTTGGTAAACATAACAATCTAGCGCAAGCCGCGACGACAAAATCGGCACTTCGGTGCTATGTTTACAGTAGTCTCTGGCGTCTACAGCTCGTGCCACCATTCCCAAAATAGCACCCTCAACCCCAAAACTCCACGAACGGACCACTGCCGACAGCCTCATGCATGTGCTCGCCGTCTGTCCCAGATACTCCTACACCCCTTCAGGCAAGAATTGACTTTAAATCAGATTTTGCAAGGAAATCCCTCGGCCCCTGGAAGTTGGGGCAGACTTGCACGGCTTGCGAGTCGCTGCAGTAACCAGGATCAGCGCCCAAAGCAACTCTCATAGTAATAAACCTTATGGAACCCTTCAAGACAATGTTGTTAAAGGGTCCTGCAGGCCTAAACCCAAAACCCAAAGCAATTAGAACCCGTAGAGTTACTATAACCCTTAGAGTAACTCCGATATCATACCTCTTACAGTAGCCCCTATCGTATCCAGCCCAATAGTATCTGTAACCCCCCTATAGCATCCCTTCTGGTGTCCACTTTGGCGGCTACAGCCGCTAAAAAGAAGGTCTACTTTGGGCTATGTGGAGCTCCCAGTTATCCCCAACCCCTAGAGAACCTCTTAGGGTACCTCTTGCGGTTTAGGGCTTAGGGTTTTAGGGTTTAGGGTTTAGGGTTAAAGTATATTATATCTATAGGATCCCTTTTCGTATCCCTCCGATGTCTGCATTTATTTTTGAATCCCTCAGCCCTGAATCCCGAAGCCGTAACCCCGTAACCCTGAACCCTGAACAACCCTAACCCTAACCCTGACCCCGAGCCCTAGAATCTTCAAAGCGTAACCCTGAAACCCTAACCCTAAACCCGTAAATTTTTAAACCCTAACCCCTAAACCCTTAACCCCTAGCCCTGAACCCCAACCCCTAAAACCAAACCCCTAGCCCTAAACCCAAACCACTAGCCCTAAGCCCCAACCCCTAAACGCTATCCCCTGGCCCTAAACCCTAATCCCTGAACCCTAACCCTTGGCCCTAAACCCTAAGCCCCAACCCTTGGCCCTAGGATCCGTAGACAGTTCCAACTCTTCTGCAACCCGGCTGCAGCTTCGCGAGTCCGCTGAACCGGATCTGGGCTTGTGACCGCAAAGCCTTGTTTTCAGATATCCGGGAGGATCCAAAAAGTAAATCCCTTTATTGGGGGGTTCCTTTACGGGTCCCTTTAAGGGATCTGTAGGGTTGTAGGGTTTAGGGTTTATGAGTAGATCCCGCAATAGGGGTTCCTCTAAAGTACCCTTAGTAGTAAGAGGGCCCCAAATTGGGGGATCGACTCTCTGGATCCTCCCGGGGGTCTGGGAAAAAAGGGCTGCTTTCAGGGCTCCTGATAAGGTTACTCTACGGGCTCCTTTACGGGTTCCATACGGGTTCTAAGGGGTTTGTAGGGTTACTGAAAGGGTTAGGGGACTGCGTAAGAGGGGTCTGAAAGAATGTTGTCTTTAGAACCGGGATTTTGGGGTTCTGGAAGGAAGACGGGTCTTAGTGAGTGGAGCTCGGCTTCGTATCCGGGCGCTACAGCCATAATTCCGTAGAGCCTTAGTTAGGGGGTCCTACCAACTGATACTTTCAGCGGCGACTTTGGACCCGGATCGTCGAAATGGCATCCCAAAGTCCTGCATACCGATGCCTTGTGCCCGAAAGGCTAGTCAAACGGTTAAGGTTCAGGATTTAGGGTTTAGGGTTTATATAGGGGTTTAGGGTTTAGGGGTTTAGGGGTTTAGGGTTTAGGGGTTTAGGGTTTAGGGTTTAGGGTTTAGGGTTTAGGGTTTAGGGTCCTAAACCCCGTAAGCACGATCAAATTCCCTCAGAGGCATTGCAAGGAAATTGTGGATCCCTAATACCCTTGACGAACACTCTGGGACCTGACGTAGGTCTGATTCACGGGGGGTCTTGAGTCTCGGGTTTGATATCCCAAAGGGTCCAAAGCACCTTTATAGTAGAATGTAGGGTTTCTATGTTAGGAATTACGACTTGGGGAAGCATCCCCCGTAACAGTACCTAGGACCTGTGGGGTATAGTGATCTGAAGAATGAATACTAATGGTACCCTATAGTGCCTGGGTATGTATACCTCAGACGGAGTGGAAACAGCATAGAGTTCCCTGAGGTATCCTATTTTCTAACGGTACAGGAAGTATAAGGTGCGCTTTGTACTCACGATAAAGGCTCCTATGTTGAGCTCGAAACCCCAATCCTCTAAGACTCTAAACCCTACACTCTATGGACCCCAGCTCATAAGTCCTAAGCCCTACCTGGACCCTGAAGAACCTACCGTTTTAAGGACTCGGGAACCCTGAAACGGTAGGTTCTTCAGGGTCCAGGTCAGGTCTAAGCTCCAGCCGAGCCGCTGGGTCTTCCAGCACAAGTTCCTGCAGGGCTTCAATTCATGCAAAACTGCAAGGGAGGGGCCTTAACAATGGTATGTTGCATTAGAATACTATAGTATTCAGGGACTATACGCTCATGTAAGGCCTTCGGGTTTAGGGTTTAGAGACGATGGTAGTATCTTGTACTATACGATCAGTGAATCAAGGGCTATGTCAGGTCATAGTACTGCCAAGCATAGCAACCGGCGGATACATGACACGGCTCTGTAGTCATTTGAACAATCATACTCCTTAAAGAACGACAATATCTCACCTGGCCTGTATACAGCAACCGCACGGGTGAAACCGTATCATACGACTTGATGTGAACATTAGTACAATCATTGAGCCCATATACACAATCCTTGAAGAAACTCAAGCGACACCCTAAACATCCCTAAACACCCTAGAAGGCCCTAGAAGCGTTCCAAAACCATAGAACTAGAAGCGCTCCAAAACCCTGAATCCCCTAACCCTAAACCCTCTAACCCTAAACCCCTAAACCCTATAACTCTAAACCCCTACATAAACCCTAGACCCAAAAACCCTAAACCCTTAGAAGGGTGCCAAGCACCTCCAGATTCCCGGCGACTTGGCCGAAGACTTCGCTGGAATCCCAGAAGCTGCTCCTCAGCTTCGGGGATTTAAGGGTTTAGGGCTTTAGGGTTTAGGGTTTTAGGGTTTAGGGATCATTGTAAAGTGCAGTGGACCCTTTACTGCGAAATGATCCAGCCAAAGTCGGCTTACACCAAAACCGGTTTAGGGTTGAGGCTTTAGGGTTTAGAGTTTAGGGTTTAAGGCCTTAAACTCAAGACGAGTTTAGCAAGGCTGCAGTTTAGGGCTTGAAGTTTGAAGCTGTCGATGGAAGAGCTTCGGGGTTCCGCAACAAACACACAGGCTCCCTTCAGGACTCCTTCAGAGTTCAGGGCTTAGGGCGGAGGGGTTTAGGACTTTTTTGCTTTTTTTGGGCTCCCTTCCATCCGCAGAAATCGGCGTTAAGACATCGAATTTCTTGCGGGCCGACACACCTTCATAGATCTCCTTCGTTAATGCCGAAACGGTTGTGAGATATGTCCATAGGGAGAAGGGAAACCCACGACGATCTTACTCAGGTGCATTTTTACTCTAAGCCCTCAACCCCTCAACCCTTGAACCCGAATCCCTGAAACCCACAAACCCGAAAAGCCCTAAACCCCACACCCCCTTCATAGAACCCGGTAGATCCCTCTAAGGAGCCCTTTTAACGGAATCCTAAAGCCGCTGTTCCCTAAGGGTCTAAAGTACCTTTATGGTAGAATGTAGGGTTCCTATATTAGGAATTACTATTATGATTGGGGGGGATGTAGGTTTCCTATATTAGGAATTACTATTATGATTTGGGGAAGTATCTCCCATAGCCCTAAACCCTAAACCCTAAACCGTTACTTTGGACCCTTTGGGCTTTGGAAGCCTGGGAGCAGATCCGCCGTGATGCGCAGCTGGCGCAGTCCCGGCAGGGCTGCAGGAAGCGCGCAGAGCGGCAACGCGAAGGGGTGCCTGGGGTTTGGGGCTTAGGGGTGCCTTGTCTAGTCGTGGGTTAGGGTTTAGGATTCGGGGGTTATGTGGTTCAGGGTTTGGGGCCCGCTGCATGCAACCGAGACCATGCTGGTCGATGCACAGAACGTCGATGGGAGGATTGGGGAATTTCCTTCAGCCCCAAAAACGTGCAAACCGAAGATGGAGTCCCTAACCCTGTTCGAAACCCTAGAACCCTACATAAATCCCATGATTAAACCCGTAGAGTTCTTCAGTCTCTCATCCCACTCAGCTTCCCCCGTTGCCTGCGCTGTCGGAGGGACAGGCCACGGGCTTTTGGACACAGGCCTCCGGCCGCCAACGTCAGCCAAGTACTATAGGGGCCTTGATACTTAGAATAGGATTCCTTTAAACGGTTTCCTAAAGGGGTCTATAAGGGATCTTTATTATAGGGGCCTTAATAATTTGAGGAGGGCTTTGGGTCCCATCATGCTTTGCTTGTATTAATCTTTGGGCCCTATAGTATGCAAAGAATAGGACTTTGGGGTTTATGGTGCAGGGTTTGGAGTTGTCGGTGGCGTAGCATTTGGCATTCGGGTACTTCCTATCTCGGGCTTCATGAGAGTACGAATCCGTATCTCGGGCTTCAGGAGACGACGGACTTCCAACTCCAGAACCCTAAACCCAGAACCCTAAACTCCTAAACCCCTAAACCCTAAACCCTAGAACCCTAAACCAGAAAACCCAGTCCTGTGGATTGTGGCTTTGCGCGACTTCCCTCTGTGAGCTGCGACTGGCGAGCTGCACCGACCCAGACCCCCAAACTACCCTTCTAATTTACCAAAAACCCTAAACCCTAAAACCCTAAAGCCCTAAACCCCTAAAGCCCTAAACCCCAAACCCGCCGGTAAAAATACTAAATACCCACTATTATGGCGCAGGTGCAGCGAGAAGGCTCGTAACCGAAAGGATGCCGCCAACATATTGTTTGTGCAGCGATTTGGGGAGTGATTCGTTACGGTTTATATAGGGTTAAGGGTTCAAGTTTCAGGGTTTAGGGGCTTAATGTTTAGCGTTTAGGGTTCAGGATTTAGAAGCCTACTTAGGCTTAGATTTCGCGAAACTAGGACTTTATGAAGCGGGTGAAGAGCAATGACAATCGTCACTAGACAACCATCATCTCCGGCCATTCTCCCCCCCACTCCCAGTGCTCTGAGGTTTCTTGCAGATGCGGCCAACCTGTTCCCGGAATCATGGATATGGGAGTTTCCGAAAATTAGGGTACTTTGGGGTCCTTAAAATAAGGATCCTAATATTTAGGGAACTATATTAGGGCCCCCTATTTTCGGAAACTCCCATATCTCAAATGGGTAGTTGTCAAAATTGTGGCCCCTTTCTGGGTACCCTCAATAGTCGGTGCCGTATTGTATTAGGGACCCAAAAAGGGACCATAATTTTGACAACCACCCAATTGGCTCCAGAGGTTCATGCATATCTCAAAGGGCTCCCCAAAGCGGGGATGAAGGTAGGTCCTAAAGGGAACTCCAGAAAGTTGGAGTATGGAATAATGGTAGGATCCCCTATGATTTACCTTAAAGGGGATACGATAATGAGATTCCAACTTTCTGGCTTCTACTGTAGGTGGGATGATCCCCAATGGGGAGCCCTGATACCAGGGATCCTTCGTCCTGCCTTCATCCCAGCTTGTGAGGCCCCCGAGTATCAGGAGCCCCCGGGCCTTCACCCTATACCTATAGTCTCCATTGTAGTTCCTTTTTTGGGTTATCCAATTTTATGGTTAGGAACCTATAATAGAGTTTTTGGTTAACCAAAAAAGGGAACTACAATGGAGACTATAGGTAGGATCCTCGCACTTTGCGTGGTCTTTCCGGGGTCTTCCTGTAGAGTGTTGGCTTTCTTCGATGGGAAAAGCGATTGTGCCATGCCTTGCCAGGGCAACCCATAACCGCACCTCAATCGAAAACACGCGATTCTGCAATAAGAGGCCTGAAAATAGAAAGAAACCCCGATTTGATGCGGCTGGCAACTGCACTTCAGCCCAAAGAAGGCAAAAAAGCCTTGCAAGAAAGCCATAAAGCCGGCAGCTGTGGACTCTTTGATGATGATGGGCTTTGTCATGTCCTGTCCCAGCAAAAGCCCTACAGCCTAAAAGGTTTAGGGTCTAGGCTTGTGGGTTGAGGAGTAACAGCCCCACGCAAGGGAACAGTCTTTGTCTTCCAGGGTTCACAAGGTTGCAGGGCTGCAGAAGGCTGTCTGGAGCTCGAACGCATCTGCACAGCTGCGAATCTACCAGTAATCGACTCTCGGTAAGATCCGTTCTGGTCTTACCCTTTGAGCGCTGTAGCCTAGCCCCAAAAAGCCTACATCCTGTAGCCGGTAATCAAATCGTAAGACCCCTAAAACGTATAATTCCCATCATCCCTACTGCTTCATTACGACCATTTAGACAATGATCAGTATGATCCTTGCATGGTTATCATCATTATCGTCATTCATTAGTATCATTGTTTTTCTATACACCTGGGACATCCCCAAGTCTCCGGTCCGTTGCATCCCAGGCGTCTCCCGGACAGCCGCGGCGGCCGCAGCGGCAGCCCGCCAGCTCGGTGGGCGGCACGCCTGGATACATGGGTGCTGGTCAAAATTATGGTCCCTTTTTGGGTCCCTCTCATAATACGGCACCAATTTTTACGTTTGCCAAACAGGGACCTGAATTTTGACAACTACCCACATGGAATTCCTTGAAGGGTCTTGGAGCTTCGGGCTTTGGGTTATTGGGTTAAGGGTTCAGGGTTTTCTGAGGCCTGGTGGCATGGAAATCCTTGAAGGCTTCAGGGACTTGAGGCCATGAGGCGTTGGGACAAGGGCTTATAGGGTTTGATGAGGGCTCCTATCTTCAGGTTCCTGCACTATATTATGCTTTGGGAGAGGTTTCCGTATCTTGGGGGGTGGGCACTCTATGTCTCAATCGCGTTGCTATATTGCCATCTAAACTTTGCCAGCCCTGTGTCCCTGTTTTTTGATCTGCGTTGGAGCTCTTCGGGAACTATAGAGCCCCGCAAAGGCACAAGCCCTCGAAGCCTGAGCCAGCAGGTGCCATGCCCTCAAACGCGAAATCCCGAAGACTCCACGTAAGCTGCTGGAAGTGACACGTCTCTGTCGGTCGAGGAGCAGTCATCCATGTCATTCGCTTGACAGCCCGGCCAGCCTAGCACAAACACAACTATCACAGCTATCATCGGGATAGGATGACGAGGATTTAAAGGTACATCTGGTGGCTGCCGCTACCAAGGGAATTTCCATCGAGGCTGTTATCGGTGTATGGTGTAGGACGTACGGGCTGTTGTGGCCTGCTGGATTTAGTTTGCTTACCAGAGCCTTGGCATTGACATCAGGACCAGGAGAAGGCAGATATCCCTCAGAGGAGTGGGTGCTGCAACAGACGAGGCGTCAAAGAGCCTCTTTTCCTCCGGAGCCACTGGACGAGGGCCTAGTGGCTGCTGTGCAAAAATCCGAGCGATGGGGATCTTCTCGTTGAAGGTGGCCGCAGGCTTGGGGCTTCGATATAGGCGGCAGTCATGCAGGAGCCTCAATAATTAGAATAGCGTAAGTGGGGGTATTTCATACTATAGTGCTGATAAGGAGCCCCCAACACCCTGGCCCAAATCCAAGGCCCCTGCAGGAGAGGTCTCCGTCAAATCAGCTGGCAAAAAAAGGGCTTTGGCACTTCGAAGCTTCGAGATCGCTGGAACCTCCACCTGGAGTCCTGAAGATGATCAAGCCCGAAACCCTAAAAACCGTAAAACTCCTAAAACACCCTACAGCAAACACCAAAAATCCCAAAAAACACAAACACAACATGAACAAATCACCAAAACCCTAAAAAAACCCTAAACTCTAAACCCTGGTCCAAGTCGCAGGAGTCACACCAGCAAATACGGTCTCCATAGTTGTCGAAGGCGCGGGAGCAGCCACAGACCTCTAGCACCGAGCTCCAGGGATCTGGATTCAACGTTCCATGGGTTTAGGGGGTTTAGGGTTTAGGGGGTTTAGGGTTTAGGGTTTAGGGTTAAGGGGGTTTAGGGTTTAGGGGGTTTAGGGTTTAGGGGTTTACCGGTAAGGGGGTTGTAGGGTTTAGGCTTCAAACCTCCCTGGGTAGTTTTTTGTTTAGGGTCCGTTGTCGACTCCTTTTTCCCAGGGTGCCGCACCCTCTTGGGGGCCAAGGAGGGGATCCTAATTTAGAGAACTACCATGGAAAACGGGTGTTGTGTGTACTTGGGCCTGAACTGAGGTCTTCGTCCTTTTGGAAGATCGTTGGTTCAGTTTTTGCGAGGGCTCGATTGCAATCATACTCAGACTCAGACTTTGGCATCTTCAGGTTGTGAAAGGCGAGGTGACAAACAACCGGAAGAAGGACCCTCTGCAATTCAATGTGGCGAGCTTTCATGTGTAACAAATCGCTTCTGTTGCCAGCTGGAGACATCACTTCTTTTGTTGGTTTCCTTCTGTGCCGATGTTCTTGCAATAGCCCCGAGAGCTCAGGGTTCATCGGACGCCATCAACCCGGCGAACCATCTGTGAACCAACAGTGGGATCGTGGGTTTGCATACGCAATCTTTCCGAGAGCTCTACCTTCTGCGACGCATCGCGCTCTGCCGTTCCTTCTGTTGTTCCGATCAAGATGCATGGTTGGCTAGCAAAGACAGCGCTTTTGTCCCTGTTTTGTTCTGCAAGCCATTGCAAGCTCAATAGTTACAACACTGAGCCATGCCCTTGTTAAACAAGAAAATCGTAAGTTGATGGGCTAAGTCTTCGGAGACTGAGACTGGTTAGCTGTGGAGAGTGTTTTAGCACAACTTTCCTCTGCGCTCGTAAGGACAAACTACGTCCGGCCGCGCCGGAAAAGTCAATGGCACTAACCCCAAGGGTCACGCAATAATTAGGCACTCGGTTTTAGGAGAGTAGTTATGTAGGTTAGGATTCTGGAGAGCATATTACATGATTGTTATGTACTTGGACCCTTAGGGTAAGATTCAGGACTCAGTTCCCAAAGCCCGAGAGTGCCTTGCAAGGGCCGTGCCGCGGTCGCCAACAGCCTTCCCAGCAGGAGTCGCACCAGCAGTGGCCTAGGGCACGTTGATTTCGGGTGCCCGGTGCACTACGGAAGATCTGGTCTACCCCTTGCAGCCCAGCATCTGCATCCCACAACCCCTACGGCAACGCAGAAACTCTAGCCTCAAATCATCACCACCGACACAGCGAAAAAAACTGCTGTGACGAAAAGATGCTAAGCAGAGTTGAAGTAGAGTTTAGACATTTTCGCGCCATCGTGTACTGCAAAGAAGCTGTATTTGATCTCTTCTGGTCCTATGCTGAGTTGCAACACCGAGCTCCCGCAAGCGTCTGAAGAACTACTGGACTTGGGGGGTGCGGAGGAAGAATCAAAGGGGGCAAATGGCACCTTCAACAAGTTAGTTTGTTGCTTTGACCAGTCCTAGATGGGAGTTTCCGAAAATCGGGATCCAAATATAGTACCCAAATAGTAGGACTCCGTATTATAAGGACCCCCAAATAAGGTACCCCTAATTTTCGGAAACTCCCAGATGAAGACCTGCAATGAGGACAAGCAGATGTCTCAGAGCACACTGACGCTTTCACGTTTGTCCTGCCATGTCCACGGGTTTGGAAAGCCAAACACAACCCCTCAAAGGCAGAAAGCAAATAGTGCTCAAGAGACCCTGAACCCTGATCCCTAAAGCCTAAACCCTAAACCCTAGGACCCTGATCCCGAAACCCTTAACCCTTAACCCTAAACCTCACTCTCTCTCTCTCTCTCTCTCTCTTTCTCTCTCTCTCTCTCTCTCTTGCTTGCTTGCTTGCAAGGCGTATGAGAAGCAGAGCACGGAACCCTGCCCCCCTGCGCGCGAGCGCTACGCCAGTGTCCAAGTTTGGTGTGAGACGCGAGGTGCAGCTCTCTCTCTCTCTCTCTCTCTCTCTCTCTCTCTCTCTCTCTACACCCTGAAAAGGGTACCTGGTGAAGCTTCGGCCAGGAAGCGTTCTCCGAAGGCGTCGAAGCGGCGCGTGCATCCACAGCGTTCGCAAAGTACGGCTTTCCTTGCTGAGGCTTCGGTGGTGGGACAGCTGAGCTTAATACTGAACATGGGACCAACGAAGAGTACTGAGCAACACGAATGTTAGCAATACTGACAATGGGGCCAATTAAGAGTAATGAGCAACGCTACTCCCACCATGACTACAGTTGCCGACGTCCCCCATATCACCACCATCATGATCATGATCACCATCACGATCATCATCATGCTCTTCATCATCACGGGTAGTACGAGGAGCTGCACCACAACTACCTAAGTTGCAAGCCCAAGGCCCAATGCCGATTCCTTGCTCGGGTCGTGAGCAAGTGCTTGTCGGTCATGAATACCCAGACTCCCGAGAATACAAAAAGTAGATCCCTTAATGAGGGTTCCTATAAAGTACCCTTAGTAGTATAGGGCCCCAAATTAGGGGATCTACTTTCTAGATTCTCCCGGGGGTCTGGGTAGGGGTGGGACCGTCTGGCTGATTGGGTGCAGTTGGGGCTGGGGTTGCCAAAGGTATCGGAGTCAAGAATGATCAACAGTAGCGACCTGAGCATGGCTTCACAGTTTTCCGCCTCATGAAGCTGCACATACAGAGTCAAGCTGCCAAGGGGTTCAGGAATGGAAGCTCTCACAAGTTTCACTACTAGTGAGCCTCAGCATCAAACGAGCAAAACTACCCGACATTTCGGTATGAACACTCTAGACGCCGATCGTCCGTGCATGAGTTCCGAAAATTAGCATCTACGAACGGACGCCATTATTTTATATCATATAGTACCATGTATGCATCTCACCCTTGTCCTTTTAGAAATCATAGACAGAGCCCTATACCTATATCCCTTAACAGGAATTATTTACTAGCCGGTCTGTGTATTCTTTTGGGGGAACCATGAAGAAGGACAAGGCTGATGCATCTACGCACGCTTGCAGGTGAGCTTCCGAGGACCACAAGGCAGCTGCCGCCTCGATCGGCAGCTAAAATAGGGGGCTTAAATAATTAGACAATAGGGTTCCTTTAAAGGGATCTACTAGGGTTCCTTTAAAGGGATCTATAAGGGTTACTATAAGGGATCTATAGGGGTACTATGATATAGGGGGCTTCATACTTAGATTAGGGTTCCTCTAAAAGGCTTCTCAAAGGGGTCTATAAGGGATCCAAAAAAGGGTTCTATGATATAGGGGGCTTAATAATTAGACTATGGTTTTGGGGCCCTATTGTGAGTATGACAAGGAACCCCCAAAATAGTATAGGTAATTGTCAAGCCCACTTAAGTACAGTCAATGATTGACTTTTGATGTAGGGTTCATGGGATAATGCATCGTCGTCTACTACAAGGTATGACACAGCACAATATAACATAAGACTGTACCGAATCATAGAACATGATAAGACGGGCCGTTTTGCGATGTAGGGCTGGTAGCACTTTGCGACTGTAGAGTTTCAGCTGTGCCGCTCTTCGCCTTTCCCTTACCAGCGCCAGTTTAGAGCTTAGGGGTTCAGGGTTTGGGGTACATGGCACCCTGAAGACGCTGTTCACGCATGAAGGCGAAACAAACCAGCCTTCCTTCCTGGAGTGCGCAGCCACAACATTATACAAATATACAAAAAAGTATCATCTGAGAATCTGAAAAATGCTAGAATCTCAGTGACTGGCATTGTCAGTGCTCAGAAGTACACATAACGCCTCTTGAAGACGGGATACCATAGCACGTGATCACTCACAGTTGTAACAACAACAATCGCGCTGGTTTGTGATATTCTGTTGGTTCAGCCGCAGGCAAACTCCTACAGGCTCCGTTTCTGGGCACTCTTGGCTAATAGGACTCGAAGCTCCATAAGCTGGAGTGGAGTGACAGAATAATTAAACTAGGGTTCCTTTAAAGGGATCTATACAAGGGTTAATTACCATAAGGGATCTATATGGGTACTGTAATACAGGGGCTTAGATACAACAAGAAAAAAAGGAAAATCCACCATGGTCAAGCATAACCATATTAGCTCACAGTGGTGCCCACCAAAAACCTGAGGTGCGTTAGAAGTGAGACTGGCAACAGTAAAAGCCGCCCAAACCCCAACAATTGCAGCGGCACCACGACGACGGAAAACTGCCCGAAACCCTAAACCAGGAAACCCTAAGCCCTGAACACCAAACCCCTAAGCCCTGAACCCCAAACCAGAATCATATGTACAGGCTCGCTGCAGCCCGCCGGAGAGAGCTGGAACTGCGATGTCGTTGGAGAGGAAACCTCAGGAATTCGCATTAGAATATGGTCCGGGGGAGGATTTGAGGGGGTATCCTTTAATACGTATATATACATATGCACACAGAAATATATGCATACCTCTATCTATCTATCTCTCTCTCTCTCTCTCTCTCTCTCTCTCTCTCTCGCTATATGTATATATATATATATATATATATATATTCATTTATTTATACATACCTGCGGCAGTGTCTGCCGTTTAATTTCCGGTCGTGAGATAATAACCAGTTATTTAACATGATAAGAGGCGTGGGCTAAAATACGGGCGTTGAGTGTTTTCAGAGTTTGTAGCGAGTTCGGGTGCAAGCCATGGGTTGGGCATAGGCCAGGTGTTGTTACGGCGATTTGGGATAAAGAGTTTGTACGTTGGTGTTTGCAAGCATAAGACTGTGGTTTGGCCTAGCACAGCAAGTTCGGAATGCTTCGGGTCTTCAGGGGTTTGGTTGTTGGGGTGTTAGTTAGGTTTAAGGTTTAGGGCTCAGGTTTAGGGTTTAGGGAACTGACGTCACTCCTGGTTCAAGAACCAACAACTTCTGAAGTTCTCGTAATCCCCAAGACCAGAGCAATTCCACTAAGAAAATCCAAGTTGTACATCAGCCATATTTACATGGCACTTTAAACGGAAGCCCCTCGGGGCGGAAAGTAAGTCCCCGAACTCCGTAATCCCCGAAGTCCTTGAACTCCCTGAAGTCCCTCTCCTTCTAAAGATTTTGCGGCCTCGCTGGCTCCCGATCGCAATGCTTTGAGCTGGGAACTCAGAGCCGACGAATCATCTTTAAAGGGGCTATTGCAAACTACTTTAGACCTTAGACCTAGACCCTATATAAAACTATAAGAGTTCAAGGGCTATGTATACATTCAGGGACTCATCGTCGGTCTGCGTCCATCTCCAGACGAGTCGCCAAAAGATACCTCTGGATAGTTCGCAAACACAGCATCCTCGGTGACACTCGCCTGCTCAGCCTCGACACACGCCCCACAAGGTCCTCATCCTGAAAAGTCGCTCGTGAAAGTGGGTTCAGACATGTGCCGCAGCGGGCAGCAGCGTGCAGCAGAGACAGTGATATATGATGAAGACAATGAAGTTTCGGTGTCATATTGAACCTGCAGATTTTGGCGTCATAGGAGAGCTGGGCAGCCTTTTGATAACGAGCAAGAAATTGGATCCCCGCCCGACCAGCGATTGTAGCCTGGCGCCTGTCAAGCCAGAGGGAGGCCTGCAAGAGGGTCTTCATGAAGAGCTCAATCGCGCCAGAGCCAGAAATCAGAACTTGGTGCAATAGAACACCGTCCCCGCCGCGCTGCTGCAAGACCCAAGCAGCAAACGCGACGAGGATCGGTGTATCCATCGCTTTGCTCCAATGTCCCACAGGAAATGTGGTCTCTGACGAAAAACCGAGAAGGTCTCTCGTCAGAGACCGGAAGTGCACAGATTTCCCACTGGACTTCAAGAAACGCCGCAAGTCTGCATTCAAATCATCGAGCGCCTCCGGGACGGACCCACGGCCGTACAGACCCAAAGCAACAACGAGGGCGCTGGCGCCAAAATCGCGACCCACACCAAGATGGTATATGTGTAGGACATCCAATGTAAAAAACGATGCTTTGTCTTCCACGACATGTGCCACATGGTCAAAGAAAGGAGGCACAGCATCCCATGGTGGCGGATTGTGTGGCCCTGTTGTGGCAAGCCACGCCGGCTCAGAGCCGAGATCTTCAAAGTCATACTGATCAGTCCCAGCATGACAAAGCCAACAGCAGCCCGTAAGGGGTTTCGATTTGGGGCCTGCCGGCCCCTTGCGTATGTGCAGGAAGGTGCGGGTCAGGTGACCACTCTTCGAAAGGAATGGGAGGTCTCCTTTGAGCCCCAAGGGGATAAAGCGCAGCACACGACCGTTTCCAATATCCAGGCCTCCGTAATAAAGTCGCTCGAAGTCCTTCATTGTCGCTGTGAGGAAGTTGTCGAATCTTTCAGGGTTGTCTTTATATACGCTTTTCGGCATGACCCCGGTCAAGAATCTCGTTGTAAACGAATGCCCCAGCAGGTTTACTCCAGGTTTCGAAGTTCTCAGTTTGTGAGGATTGGACATACGGGTTCCCAGGCCCAAAATGGGCTGAAAAGCAATCACCATCAGCTCGTCACGTCGATATGTCCTCCCACCGTCTCCATGAATATAAAGAGGAACTAGCTGCCCAAAATCCAAGAAGTCGTGCTGGAACAATTCATGGTTTGGCTCCTCCTTAGCGTAGTTGCTCCAAAACTCTCGAAGTCGTTCTGAGCCTGGGATGATAATCACCATAGTCGGATTAGCTTATTAAGAGGTTCTTATGAATGAAGGGCTTTACACAACCAACAATAGCAACTACAAGAAACATCGGGTATCGATAAAGGGTTGCCATTTACTATTTTGGAGCCTCCCAAAGCTTGCCTGATGCACTTCTCAGTTGCTACTATAGACCGAACGACCCAGAAGCTTAAATTATTGAGTATCCCTATAAATCCTATTATAGATCGAATAATTTAGTGATGTAGCCCGAAGGCATCAAAGACGAGACCCAATAGTGTAAAACTAAACACAGGTATGCTATAGGAGACCAAGCTTCATTATTGTTGGGACAGCTGTTGGCTTGAGGTGGCTACTGCTTACATACCGACACATACTCGTGAATCCTGCGATTTGGTGGTTTGAGGATCGAGGGTATAAGCTGTTGTATAGAGGGATTGTGTTCGTGTGCTACAGGAGAACTCAGGGATTAAAGACTTGAGAGATCTTCGATATTTCTACTTTGGGGTGATAGTCATTGGGGTACTCCAAAGGTTTGTTTTTTTCAGACATGGGGCTGCTGGCAACAGAGCCACCTAGCAGTTTGTGCAGGTAGCCCTTCTCGACCAGAGTGGTAAGGTAGTCAGACGGCATAAGCATCGGAACAGAGCAATCTTCAGATAACTGCTGATATGTCCAGGGCACATTCAGAGTGAGGTCCCACTTTCGGAGGGTCTTTTGCAAGGATTTTTCAGCATCAGATTTCGGGGCTCCACCCAAATCTCGTAGCGCCTTGCAGTCATTATCCTGGGTCGCAAAGGCCTCCGCGATGGTGGCCACATGCTTGGCAGAGGCCTCGGCGAACAGCGGAGGGAGACGAGTGGCAGGGGTATAGTACATAAGGTTCAAGATTGCTAACTTCACTCCGTGGGTGTGGGGGTTTAAGTGATGTATAGGCTGTTGGGTTTGGGGGTTTGGGGTTTAAAATTTGGGGGACTTTAGGAATTCAGGGCTTTGTAGCTCGGATACTTCACAGCACACTGGGTTGTCAGGAACCCACTGCTCAAAGTTCTGCAATCACTGCCTTTTTCTTTCGTTCGATGAAAGCTTGACTCCATTAAGCTATACAGCAAGCATGGGTGCACGAATTGGCGATGTGATTATAATGCTCGACATTCCCACCTTAGATAAGTGATGCCACTGCTAGAACCAAGTACAATAAACGATTTGCCATATTATAGCTAACCACGCACCCATCTAGGTTCATCAGCTCTTGCAGCCACACAATAGCAATGGTACGGAGGTTCAAACTTTGGTTGGAAAGCACGAAGTCGCATTCCTTCTCCACCCAATTGGATGTTGCGGCATTGAAGTCGGTGATGGTGCTGGGCGATTAGTGCAGCTTCCAACATCTCGATCGTGCCAAGGTCTTTGCTCTGAAACATAACAAGCATCTTTGTCCAGCCATTGGCTTGATAGAGCTCAAACCGAGGGGTGCAGCTATGTGTTATCCCGATCTTGTAGATGGCAAGCGACTCACCACCGGTAGCCCTCCGTAGCTGTTCAATGCATCGTTCACAATGCGCTAGAACTTTCCCTGCTTGTGTGTGTTCAGGAATGTACCGATAGGTGATCCCATCAGCAATTGATGCAGTCTGTATGCGTGGCTGTTGCCCGTCACATTTGACTGGCAGGTCCTGGGGCGTGGCGACGTGCGGCTCATCATCGGTTTCAGAGTCCGACCCCCAAGGGAAAATCACATCGATGGGTCTTTTCAGCCGCATTGAGGACATGGGAGCAGTAGTACTTTAGGTCATGAATTATGATTCCGGACCATGTTCTGCGTGTGTAATGAGGATTGTCACCTTAAAGCAATATTCCGAATATACGATGGAGTTCTAGGCTGCTCACGAAAGCAAGCTTGATCGCGAGGCACAGCAGACACATGAACCAGCCATAGTCAAACAGAACATGAATACTGCCTTCAGTCGACCCTGCGAAGCTGGAAACCGACACTCACAACCATGCTCGTTCGCTCTGAGGTTCTGGCGCCTGAAGCCAAAGACTTCACCAACGTCTGCGCCCGATCACTGGCTCTGTCCTGTAGCATAGGACCTGGCAGCCAATAGGCAGTACGGCTGGTAATTACAGGCTACAGAACATTTGACGGCATGTGTGCTTTCGATCGGATGCACTGCATGGTTTACCCCCTGCTTTGCGAAGCTGTCACACGTGTCTCGTAGCGTAGCAGGCCCTCCACAAGCACAGCTAGCCTCACGTGCATTACCGAACATCTGTGTACACACAAAAAGTTGATCTTGCAAGGTTTGCCGGGCCTGCGTACATTCAACACACTCTACAACTCGCACAGCCTGCATGTTCAATTTCATCGAACACTGGCTTTGCAGCAACTTCGTCGGAGCATTGAAGGAGCCAGCAGAGGGTCTACATTATTAAGGCCCCGAATCCAAGCCCAATTAGAACCTCGATGAGATCTACATGATGCTACTTAAACGTTTAAGCTTCTATAGGGTTCCTTTCAAAGATGATTTGAACGACTTCGGAGTTTGGGCTTGAGGGGCTTCAGGACTATCGAAGGTTTACGTGTAGGGGACCCATGCACGAATACAATGCAGAACCTCCGGAGGAAATTTCCTACATGGCCAAAACACATGGGACTCTGTGCCCAGGTGGACCACGATGAATCATCGATGCAGATTTAGGCAGTGGCCTTGGTCCTGGGCCTTTTACTCCTCTTAGGTTTCTCAGCAGCTGGCTCTTCGACTTCTTTTTCAGCAGGTCGCTTGCCGTTCTTCGGCGGGGTCTTCTTCAGCTTCCTAGGGATCAGGACAAGGATCGTGTATCTAGAGTGTTGGAGGGTTTACCTAGGCAGTGTTCGTCTGGCTGCGGGCTTTGAGGTTTCTGCTAAAGGATTCTACACATAGGGCTCAGGGTTTAATTTGGGGTTGGTACACAGAACTCAGACAATCCAGTTCAACGACCTCGGGGGTTACAGGTAGAGTTGCAAGCCCTTGCAGCCACAAGCAGCGGCATCTACATGCGTGAGAAAGGGCTCTTGTATTAAGATCCAGGGAGCTTGTTCTTCACCTCCATGGATGTAGCCATGATCATCCTCAGGTTCCAGCAACACTCGTCTTTGTACTCTCATGGCAACAGCTGAGATGTATTGGCTACACATATTTGCATACTAGACTCTGGCGTTTCACCTCTTCGCACTTGCGAACGTAGTCCTTCTGCTGCCTCAGCAGTCACTGTGACCTACATTGATCGGTTCTAGCATGGGTTAGTTTTACACATCGACACTAGTTCTGGTTCCAAGGCGCGTTTCTCCGAGATCCTGGATCTTCGCATCAGCTTGAAGCTTGGCGAGGTCGTCATATAGTTCACCTAAGGATTTGGCCACGGCCTCCATCTTGGGTAGCTCCCTTAGCTGGCTGTAGTTAACATTCGAAGATTTGCACACATATGATAGTGACATGATTTCTACTGACCAGAATGAGAGTCACTTGCACTGATGCATCATCACGATCCAATCGTTCTGTGAACTTCAGCAGCTTGTCCCTCGCGGTGACCGCCTCGTTCATGTGCCTTTGGAGGCTGTCCTTTACCTCGGTGATGAATCACAATTAAGATTGCAGTGGTAAGTAAATGACACATTTCTTTATGCGTGTAGTGTATGCAGTGTAGGTGCCTTGTCCGTGCCAGCTTCCACTGCACAGCTACCAAGCTGTGAGAGGTCCCAATTCTTATGCGGGTCGCTTGACTTGGCACTCTGCTCGAAGCTATCAACAGCTCCGCTGGCACTGGTGGAATCTCTGAGACCCTCCGTGTCCCTGGTGCCCCGTGCCCCACGGGTGGTGTGATCATACCAGTACTCCTTCTCGCCATCGTACTTGCTTGTCCTTAGAATTTAGATCACGCATTACAAAGCAAAGCTTGTAGCATCCATTGAAAAGCACAGCACACAAACCTTCATTGGGAGCCGAAGCACCGCACGTGACCGGGAGTTTTCTCGCACAGCTCGATGATACCAGCCACTCTTTTCCTAGGCTAAAGTGCATGCACCTAGAACCCATCCGATCCATATAATGTATGCACAGCAGGGAGGCTGAAAACCCAACCCACGAAGAGCATGGATAATTGCGTCAATCAGGTCTGGCTTCGCTGGCAGCCCCAAGCCACCTTCGGCTTTGGGCCTTTTGAGGTCCACCTCCGTGTAGAAGGCCCCCTCCGTGACTTGCTCGCGAAACTTCTGCTGCTCACGGTACAGATCCACTTTGCGGATGAACTGACCCTTAGATGCTAGCCAGTGCTGTGAAGCCTATGTACCATGGTTGCATGCTGTCTGGTTGCACGATCCCCATTTGCATCAGCCATGAGCAAAATCAGATTGTCCCGAACCGATCCTGCTTCCTTCCACATCTTGTGGATGTCGTCGCTGACCTGAAGCTTGCCCGATTTCGTTCGGTCACACAAGCGATTCACCTTGGATCGCATCCTGTTCCAGAACTTCTCATCTCGCTCGGCAGGTTGCTCCTCCACAGAGACGGTGTGCCAGGCACTAAAGAGTTTCAGTGGTTTCCTTGGATTTACTTATATATTTTAGGCTGTAAAGGTTCAGCAGCACTAGCAGCTGGCACTGGTCATTGTTCAATCAAACCAATATAGCTAGGGGTTTGGGGTTTAGGAGGTTTAGAGGTTTTGGCCAGGGCCATCCATTGTGCACAGCATGAGGATCCTAATTCATATAGTTCTTTGGAGACTTAGAGATTCATAGAGGCAGGAACATACCTGGCTATGGATTTAATGTGGCTTAACTCTTGATCGGTCTTAGTATAAATGTATGCTTACCTGTGCCAGTCATTGCAGCCTGTCAACGATAGGAGGGCGGACTGTTGGCTTTTGTTTCAATGCAGAGCAGAGGAATACTATAAGGTAGGATTTGCAGTTTAGGGCTTAGTTTTGGGCTGGTGAGAAAAACCAATAATCATTCGATAGGTTCTGGTTTCAGGCGGTGGAGTAGGCCCCAACCCCGTAATTTAGAAGACGTTTGTGCGATGGAGTGAAGGCTTTTTTTTGGGTCGAGGATAGGAACCATAAAGCCTGACGAATCAACATATAGGGTCTTCCAGCACTGCACTAAGTTGAGCAAGCCAAGCAGAGTCCCCAAAATTGAACCATGCACACCTTAAACCCTAAGACCGGCCCTACGACACCCCAAACCCCCTAAGCACCCTCAGCACTGAGCCCCAAAACTTTAGCCCAACACAGAAATCCTGAATCCTCATAAAGCATGACCTTTAGGCCAAGCCTAAAACCCACAGACAAAAACCAATATCCCACACTTTCGGAATGCACATGGCCCGGCCTCAGGGGACGGTGTGGCCTGCGCTGGGTTACCCTGCAAGGCGGCCTTCTTCGGTGAGTTTTTCTTCAGCGGGCTGCGACGGGATGAAGTAGTGTTACTTGGGGTGGCAGCACGAGGTGATGTAGTCTTCGGGCTGGGACGAGGTGAGGCAGTCCTCTTGGTCTTGGGGGTCTTGGCAGGGCTCATCTGCTTGGATGACTTTTGAAGTCGAGCAATAAGTCGCTGCTGTTGCCGAAGAAGCTCCAGCATGTGTTCACGCTCGTCCTTGGACGGGTGTTTGTCCCTACAATAGGATGTATGTTTGTTGCGGAATGGGGTCCACATGCTTATGTGCCGCAGAGAATCAGTCTTTCCACGTAATCTGTGAATAGGAGGAGACTTCTTTGCTGGTGAGGGTGGCTTCTTCACTTGGGTCGGGGTACATACATGCTCTTTCTTGGGTGTGTCCATAAAGCTTTGCAATCTCTTCTTCATCGCCTCAGTATTAGTTCAGCTCAGATATGGTTTCATGCAGAGAAACACACCGCATGCGCATGCATTCTCCAGGTCTCAGGATATTGGTTCCTAAGTAAGGTCATGGCTGAGTTCGACATTACAGCTTCAGAATCACTGTCTTCGACTTCCAAGATGTCATAGCCATCTGTCGTCAAAGGGCCGTCCTGGTGTTTCACATTGTCATCTAGCAGCATGACAACTATATAAGTTGTATGGTTGCCAGGCTAGGAGGTATGCTCAATCACACCTATACGACACATACACATACAACACTTCTATTGTCTATCCTCCTGGTTCACGGTCGAGCTCTGTGGGGTTCCGGAAGCTGATGTCGAGGGAGATGAGGAAAGTCTGCCCATCTTCTCTAGCTCATCAGCAGTTGCCGCAAGGGTTTCCGAGGTGCTCATAGGAGAGGTCACGACAGGAGCTTGGGCACGAGGTTGGGCCCCGTCCTTCATCTGATCTTCGAGTTCCTGCCCACAGGATATATCTCTGAGATATGGATCATCTAGGTTTGAGAACACTCATCTAGCTGAGTTTCAAAACTGATCCAAAACCCTTTGAAGCCTTTATCATCTGCTGGAGTTCTGTCTCGGACTCTGGGAGCTCAGTCTTGACAGTCTCAAGGGCAGAGGAAACACCCTTAAGCATGGACGATCCACTCCAAGTCTTTGACAGGAGCGCTGTCGCAAGCTGCATGGCTGCAGCTTCCATCGCTACAGTGTTGGGGCCTGAGACCAAAGTCTCACCTAAAATGCGTTTAGGTCGACACAACTGACCACAAAATCTCGACTCAGAGCAGCCATGGGTAGGTTAGCCAGGCAGGTCAGGAACATAGGGTCAAAGCGAGGCCCAGATACGGATCCGTACGGTATTTGTACGCCTTCTGTACGCCTTCTGTACGGGTAAATATGGTCGTGCCCTGGGTCCAAATACGGCCGCAGGTGGGAAATACGGTTGTGACTTCAGGGATATATGGGTAGATACGGGTAAATACGGGCGTGCACCAAGGAAATATGGGTGTGCTGGCAGGAAATACGGTCGCAAGGCCCTCTAAAACCAACAAAACCATCAAATTACCACGAAAATCCCACCTAAAACCACCAAAACCACACCAAAAGGACCCAAAAGTCCTCAGCTGAGATCAGAAACACATACACCCCAAGGTTTATTCAATCCTTTGTCCTCAACAGCAGAAACTGTAACCAGCAAAACATTGCCCGGGCAAACGACACACTGGACCCCTAACATCATTTACCTCGATGTAAAGGCAAAAGCAGGAGCCTCATAAAACCTTAAGTGCGGGCTTATAAATAAACATCTATTCAGAAGCAGCCAGACTGCCAAAGAAAGTCTGCTAGCTACGCCACCGACAGCCTAGATACACTTTGATCTTGAAATAGTTAGAGATAGTTCGATCTCTAGCAAGCGAACCCAAGAACTTCAGAAACCTAAACACCCAACCGAACAATCCCCAGGATGGCTATAGGCACTTCAAACCCATGCAATGCACCCCAGCCATACCCAGGTGTCATCTCGGATGCCATTGGATCATCGAGGCAGATCAACAACCAGAGCGGCCAATTTTGACTTTGGGGATTTGGGAGTGGTCCGATCATAGCCGAATTGCTGATTGGTTCTAGAACTGTACAAGTGGTGGCCACTGTTGCATGGGGATCTCGGCTTTCTGCATCAGTCTGCTAAACCAATCTTACGGCGAACGTGTAGCAATCTAGTTTCGGGCCAGAGGCTTATGTAGCTGAGGCTTTAGTCCAGGTCGGTTCTCGGGTGGATGATGCCAAGGGACGAAAAGACTGTGTCGAGTATTGTGTTCGGGATTAAAACATAAAGGCGTGCTTGCGCTTAGGGTTGGGGTTAAGGGTTTACAGCCTAGCTCAGGTCCTCCCTGATCAAAATAACATATACAGAGCTATCGCATGATCTGTATATATGCAAATGCATAAGATGGACCTATCCCCTCTTAGACACACATCATACCTGTTGGGCTGGAGGCCACTTCTATAGGTTTGGGTTGTCTAGGGTCAGCATCGAAAGGGGTGGGTTTCAATACATCAGGGAGGTTTTGGGCCTTGGTATAAGGATACAAGCTAGCTAGTTTAAGTATTTCGACCCGTATGTATATATGTAGGCCTACCAGACTACACGAACTTACCCGTGTAGCCCATTTAAGATCGATTATGATAGTCGGGACTAGATGACAGATGTACCATCCTATTTCTGACCGAAAACTGTAGCCGTCCCACACAAACTGGTGCCCTGAGAAAGGCATCCTTCGAATTGCCGAACCTGCACAATAAGACTTGCATGAAAATATCTACAATGAAGTTGGCAACACCGGTCTCCACTTGTCTGGAATAACCAAGCCTTTGCAGCCTCGAAGATAAATGACCACCTCCCGAAGCTGTGCGTCTGAACAAGTGTCCTCGAATCCTGCATTCTTGAACATCTGAAGTGCATCGGTATCCCCTTGAAACCAGACTGGCGGCACATCAGTCTGCAAGGGGGCAAAGATTTCAACCAATCGTGTGCCCAGGGCCAGCGGATAGATCCTGGATTGGAGCAGAGTGGAACACTCGGGTGAGCTTTAAGGTGGTTAGGGAGTTTTGGGGTTTTGGATTAAGGTTGGGGTTTAGGGATTGGGTTTAGGGTTTCAGGAGTTGTGTTGGCTTTGGTTTGGAATTGGATAAAACGCCTTCATTTTATATATATGGTTTTAGGTTCAAGGGCTGCTGAAATACATTTACATTTTCTCAGGCTTCGAACCAGGACTTGTTTGTTGAGGGGTTTGTTGTAACCAGCTAGATAGAGTTTCTCGATTTGAGGCTGAACCGGGCTGGGTTGTTTAGATGGTTCTTATACTCTGTAGCTAAGTTGCTGTGTAGTCTTGAGCTCCTTTGTCCCAGTGAAGCAGCTTCGACCATTAGCATCTTTGTAGCGGTGCACCGTCTTCAATACCTTGCTAGTTTTCTTCTGTCGTTCAGCACGATACTCTGCAACTTCGAAGGCTCTGGACCAAAAGCCTCTTATCATCGAAGTACTCGACCAGAGAGTTGTGCGCTTGGGTGTCGGGGCTTTGTAACAGCCCATCCAAAAGGAAACTTTGTAGACCTTGCAAGGGGCTGGAACCCACAAGCACATGCACAACCCTATAAATCTAACACGATCGATTTCTGTGTGCATCCTTACATTAACGTGATGCGACAAGGAACTGTTAATCTCTGACATAGCCAGCGCATTCTATCGTGTCTAAACATCAAACTCGAACTTGGCTGCTCCAGAATAAAGTTGCCACCAGCAGCTACGACGAGGAGGCACAAAAAGGCACACCTAGGCTGTTGGGTTTAGGGCCTTTAGGGTTTAAGTTTTATGGGGTTTAGGGCTTAGGGCTTCTACGGTTGTTGAAGCATACCAGTCACACAGAAGGAGGTATGCGCACAGAAGTCGAGACACCGGGCAACCATTAAGTTCCCCTGAGACACTGAATCATAATCCGACCATCCTTCGGGGTTGCACCAAGATCGTTTCGTACTTCCTCGACTCATATCCACCCACGTGGAACACAGGGGTCCGAGCCAGTCAAGGAATCCTGTAGCTCGGCCGTTGAGCACCGACATTATGAATGTCCTTGGCAAACCACTGCTGGCAAACTCTAGAGTGTGTACTCACTTTCTACGGCAAGTTGAAAGAAAGTATGGCTTTGAGGTTTTAGATGCATGCATGCATATAACTTCAGTTTTAAAGCTTATGGGGCCTACACATAGTTGGTTGAATTATATAATGTTCTGGGTGTACAAGAATTATATGCATGCATGCCTTTAGGTCTTAGGTCTCAAGGTCAACAGCTACAAATCCTTTTTGAGATTATGGGGATGCAAACGAAGCCACCCGAAACCAGAAGGTTTGAGGATATCCATCCCGCAAGATTGAACCTTGTCAATGCTGCACACATTGTAGCCAGCCTGTTGAGCCGCAGTTGCCAAGATTGCCTTCCCCGAGAAGTGCTCAATGAAGTCGAATGGCTCCTGTGGATGCGTGTGTGCGAAATATGTATGGTATGAGCTGCTATTTGCCTATCGACACATATGTCCTGCTGACGCCACAGATCTGTATTCCACAGCACCAAGAGGACACAGAGAACGAATACCTTAGATCGACAGTGCAGGGAACGACTATGTTGGTTTATAGAACTAAATTAGGCGCTAGGTTCAAACCCTGATATCATTAAGAACTTGGACAGAGTGCTTTTGGCGCACCAGGACGTCTTCGCTCGGGCGAGGCATGGTGGCTGTAATATTCCAACCAACAGAGAAGCTGACATACTTGTAATAAACAGAACCACACAATCCTCTGAAGCTGGCAAGTCCGTGTTGCATGTACCTACCAGAGTAAGGCTGCTGATCCTGCAAAACAGCTGCCCTCCTGCTTCGATCTTTGAGATATGTGCGCAGCAACACATCATCGGAAGGAGCACTGGCTGCAACAACATGCTGTCTCAGCACTGGCAAAACCTCGTTAAACATGCCTGGGCAACCCCCAGCAGCTTCAACTTCAGCTTGGGACATAACAGCACCTGCCCTGCAGAGGCCTCGCTTCCGCTTCAGCGACATTGTGCCGCTCCAAGTGGACCGACCTGCCCAGACGGGTTATGGTTTCAGAACAGAAAAGTAAAGATCACTTGTATTGCTTGCGAAGAGCTGGAGTGGAAGTCAGTAATGCAGAAGTCTGTGGTGACTGTTGCAGAGAGACATACATATTTTTTCCGCAGCGTGTTGGCACACTGCTCGTGAAGCTGGCTCCCAGAGCCAAAGATCTATGATTGAAATCGCCAGAGTCTGGCTGACAGACAGCAAACCGACTAGCAGCGAAGCCGGAAGGCCACAAAAGATTCCCCAGAACCCTTTCTAAGCAGCCTTGGCCCCACTTTCTCGAGGTGCTGCCGCCCCATCCCAAAACAGCTCATCCGAACTGTATGCTACGATTGTTTGCTAATCTCAGCATCCAAATCAAAATTTGGTATCATCTCGATCCAAAGGTTCACTCAGAGGCATCGGGATCGTAGTACCACTCGCGTCCGACCTGTGTGCGGCAGGTTCTAGAGCTAGCTGAGCATAATTAAGTCAAATAAGTTACAGGCCTTGGTGTTTAGAAATTACGGTAGTTTTAGATTTAGACTTAAAGATGTATAAGGTTTCTAATGTAAACCAATTAACCTATGCATGCATATCTTTTACCATCGATCGGTCCTACCTATGATCTAAACCCTAAGTCCCTAAACCAATCCATTCGAAAAGATGGTGTAAGGTTGTGCAGTAGGCCTAGTGTTCAGGGCCACGGGTTTAGGGCACCACACACACACAATGTAAAATAGGGATTGCACAAGGTCGTGTAACGCACACAAACATGCTAGCATGTCCCATGCACTACGAGTGAGGGACTACATGAAAAGATGTGGTCGCATGCATAAGTAGATGTGTGCAGGCCTGCAAATCAGGAATCAGCTCCTCCTGAACATAGAGCTCTGCTTGCACAAGGAAGAACCGCTTGAAGTCTGCAGTGGTCGTCACTGAGTCATCCTCGTCAAAGGCGAGCTTGGCTCGCAGCCAGTACTCGTACTGCACAGGGCCAAGGGCTATGTGACTGAATGCAAAAATAACGTACTACGAATACAAGTGCACATCACACATGGTTTACAGATGCTTGATCCTATGGTGCATGAACCCTGAAGCCTCACGCCGGGTGCGGGATCGATCCAGGATGTTGGGGCGAATGATCTCGATAAAGGAACGCACGATGTGTCGCCACAACAGCCAGCCCTTGTTGCCCTCAATCTGCGGACACGGTCGGCCTGCAAAGGTCTTGGGGTAGTTGAACTCTACGTCCAGGTCAAGAGCTGGGGCTTCCTCTACCTCCATCGGCACCGGGTGTGGGGCATGCTCTTCATTGTCTTCTCCATCATTCACAGCATGACACACTGCCTTGGATCGCTTGCGCCTGATCTTCTTTCCCTGCTTTTTCACGGGTGCTGCAGCAGAACCCGTCTCTGCAGAGCACACCGCCAAAGAAGGGCGGCTGTTCTCACCATCCCCTGTCCAAACAGGGGTCGAGTAGCCCACATCATCATCGTTGCCAACCTCCTCAGGCACAGGAACAGCCAGCATAGCTGGGCGGCCATCAGCACAATCTGACCCTCCATGCTTGGCCTTCTTCCCTTTCCCTTTACCAGACTTGGTCTTGGGCTTGGGCACAGTCCCCTCCTCAACCCCAACCGGCGCAGATGGCTCGGGCTCACACTCGTGTGCCCGCTTGACTGCAACCATCTTCGGCACATCTTTGGAGGATGAGGCTTGCTCTCTCATGGGACCCTTCTTCCCTGCTGATCGTCCTCGGCCCCGTCCCTTCCCCTTGCGAGCAGGTGGTCGTCCTTTGCGCTTGGGAGCAGCATCCTTGTCGTCATTCTCGTTCCCCTCCTCCTTGCGGTCCCTCTTCAAACCAAGTTGATCGGCTCGTGTAATCACCTGCAGGCACAAGCTTCCGAACACTATGTTCAACCACAATGCTCATGCAGTAGCAACATTCACTGAAAGCGAGCATGCATGCACTCAATCGACACACCTACTCAACATACCTGACTACATGCTTGGGTTCACATATTTGATGGCAAAGGGACCTTCGGTGGAGAAAACTCCAGGAACTTGTGATCGGCGGGCAATGGCGACGGGGTGTGGTTTGTCTGGGGGGAAAGGTTTTCCGTAGGCACTGGAACTGCTGGCACGGACGGCTCCCCTGCCCCTGTGTCTTCATTCTCCGGGAAGAGCTTGCGAGCCAGCGGGACAGGGGATTCCATTAAGGCTTTGTGCTCTTCCTGGAAGATAGGCTCAAGCACCACCTGTGTATCCAGGGTGAAGGCTTGCGTCTCCTGGTTGTCCACAGGAACAGATCGAGCCACCGGGATTGGAGCAGGGGGCACGTCTTCATCTGAATCCACCGAGACCGGACCGTCAATGGCCCGAATCGCCTCTTGTCCTTCATTACACACTACCATGGGAATGTGAACTCCAATTTCAATCAGATCAATCTATGACATCAAGACTTACGAAGAACCACTGGCCAAAGCCAAAGCACGAGCCCTTTCAGCAGCAGCACGTTCTTCACGAAGCCTGAGCTACGAGAGACTCGATCGGAAAAGGAATACCTAAAAAAACCTCAGCCGTCCATACCTAATCTTAGCCACACACACACATACTTAAAGAAATGAACAAACGAACACACACACACACACACACAATCACCTCTCACCCACCCACACCCAAACCCACCCTCCCACACATCCACGCTTTTCGATTCAACTCAAGTGTTCACACATGATCAATGCAGCAAAGGGACACTACTCGAGCCTGAAGCTTGGCTTTGCTGAGGGCTAGGATCTGCTTCACTTTCTCGGAAGGGTCCTGCGGTGGAACCTCCATGGAACTGGAAGCACTGGCAACAGAGGCCCCGGTGACCCCGCCCTCATCTTCCATCTCCTTGATCAAGGTCTCCAACATTCCCTGTGACGAGTCGCATCTGAGCAAACTGGGCTCAACACTTGGATTCTCTGTAGACCCAGAACTGTGCGCACCACTGAGCTCGATATAGGAACCATCGGTTGACTGGGAAGAATCAACACGGCAATTCTCGAAAAGCTGAAGAAACTCGGCTCTGCTGTCACCACTGGGCTCAACACTCTGATTCTCTGTGGACCCGGAAGGCACACCACTGGGCTCAACAACCGACTTCTCTACGGACCCGGAAGGCACACCACTGGGCTCAACAACCGGATTCTCTGTGGACCCGGAAGGCACACCACTGGGCTCAACAACCGGATTCTCTGTGGACCCGGAAGGCACACCACTGGGCTCAACAATCGGATTCTCTGTGGACTCGGAAGCCACACCACTGGGCTCAACAATCGGATTCTCTGGGGCCCCAGATGCAATCGCACTGCCTGGCTCTGCACGAACATGCTCTAGAGCATCAGCTTCGAGATCATCCTCTGATTCAGCATCTTCGAACTCATATTCATCTGCCGCAGCCGCAATCCCTGAATCATCATGCACTGCAACAGCAGCACCCACTGGATCAGCAGCGGCCCCTGCACCACCAGGTGGGGGGGGTGCTCCTCCATCGTGGCCTCCCACATCGTCGTCACTGCTCGTACGGCGAGGAATCCTGATTCCTTCCTTATCTCATCTAGGACAGAAGATCAACCAACCAATTGTCACAAATTGCCAAAACTACACCACTTGAGAACGACATGATCCCCTCAGTCTTTCATGCATACCAAGAAGCGGCCAAAGCCTCCTCGACGATCCTGTCATACATGTCCACGAGCTCTCGAACCTTGGGGTCCTGCGAACGATTGTACATGAGTATTTCGTTGGGTTTGCGCGGTTTTGTGCTGCACTGAAACACTTGAGCAATAGAGTCCTTGGGCTTCTCAGACCTCACCCACTTTCTTCGCAGTGTTGTGAGACTCCGCTTGATTCCCCAAGCATCTCTCACAGCCATTGCTGGAATCATGTCTTTGTCCGGGTAATTCGACAGCTCAAAGAAAGTAGTGCAACATGGGATGATGACATCCACTGAGGGGCTATCGATGGTGCGTGAGCACCGCATAAGATCAAGCACCGTTCTCAAAACCAAGTGATTTTCCGAGCAATCCTTCAGGTTTCCCAAGCACTGAAGACAGCCCATCACGGTCGACTTCATCAAACATTGCCCCTTTGCTGCCTGACTCCGCAAGCACCGGATCGCTTCCAGTTTCTCTGCAAGCGTCGTCAGATCAGCCACACGTTTCACCATGGCACCCTATCGATCGAAATATCACCACAAATCACGACAGCCGAAATGGCTGCATGAGGTTTCCCCAATCGAAGATAGTGTCCTGCATGCATATGTATACCTGCACATGAAGATGAAACTCTGCTCGTATGTTATACTCATGCAGGCATTGTGTGAACTAGCATGCATGAGTACGACCTGTGTAAAATGTTCCCTAAAATCGGCCCTGCAGAAAAGGTTTGAAGTCCTGAATAGAACACTGCCGCCTTCTCAAGGTCGAAGTCAGTGATCGGTGGCCGCTGACCAATCGCCGGCCCTGTGGAAAGCTGATTTAAGAAGGGTTTAGGGTACAGACGGCACCATGCAGGGTCAAGACGGCTCGTACAAAGTTAGAGGGTTTAGGGTTTCTCGTTCAGCATTCTTGGGAAATGTTTAGGTCTAGCTGTTGTCTGGCTTCCCAGCACCAGACGAGCGAGATTTTGCTTCAACCCCACCCCTCGCATACCTTCCTCCCTCATCAGCCCAATCCCTCATCCCACAGAAATCATTGGAATGCTATCACACATTCGTATCAGCACTCCAGTCTAAAGGTCGACCCGCCTCAGGGACGATGAGCAAAGACGATGTGCCGTCAGGGTAGTCGAAGAAGGCACATGTGAATCCGAGCACAGACAGAAAACCTATCGAGATTTACGTGATTTGCAAGATCAACGAAAGTTATCCTGGCCTATACTCATTACAAACAGGGCTTGCAAGTGTCACTGAGTTTCACCTGATTCGTGCTACAAGCTCTTATGAAAACGACCGCATGCTTAGAATCACTTACGACAGTTGCAAGCCGAAGCGTGCTGAATCATGCAGGCTTTCGCATCCACTGAACCCCTCTTATACCTGAACTGCCTATGTCTTATCCTATTCAAAGCAGGCTTTGGCGGGTGTTGGACCACTCAATAGCCAAATCCTAATATACGGGCGTAGGGTTTTGAAAACCAGGTTATTATTATATATGATCATAATAACCAGTTATGGATGAACGACGCTTTATTTACAGGCGTGGGCGGTTGCAGGTATATATATATATACACATCATTGTAAGGAACCCCATAAGGACCAATTAGAACCATGCTTGGAGTTACAGTGGGCTTGTTGGACAATTTGCGGCAAGGAACCAGATCAGAGGGTGCTCGGGGCTATATTTACGAGTAAGGAACCCAAACAGATTAGAGAGGTTTGGTGGCATAAAAAGTAATGGAACCCAATAAGGATATAGGGTTCTGGGAAACTTCGGCACAAAGGGACAGGATTCAGGTTCCGATTCGTGTACAGCGGCTTGTCAGTCTTATGTTCTGATTTGGATTGGGCAACATGCTCCCGCATGCCTGACATATAAGTGGTGTGACCCTGATAGAAATTTTGCGTTTTTTAAGCAACTGGACAACATGGGGGCGGTACTGAGGTGGGAGCATGATCACTGCAACGGCGAGAACGCGACTCACCAAGTCCGGCAGCCACGTACTGGATTCTGCAATCAATTGAATTAGGGAGGACAAGGACAAGTCTAGAAAAACACTTGAGTGGTTCATTCGCACGGAAGTGCATGCCTGATGCATCAGCCTCGCGGCTTTACGAACCAACTCCTCACACTGAACGCAGGAACCCAGTCGTGATACAACACTGCTAGGAGAACAAACCCCGCACAGCAAAGTTGTGTAGACCCTGCGACACTGAAGCTCTCGGACATCAACCGAAGAAGCGGCGCCAGGACTTGGAGGTCATCGACAGAGCTGCAAGGGTCTTGGCTGGTAGCAGCTCCACCGCACACTGGACTACCTCAGAGGGATTATGTCCAGGGGTCTTACTACCTCAGAAGGATTACAGCAGTCTTACTAAATAGAATCGGGCTTTGGGGTATGTTATTATACTGATACATAGTAAGCCCGAATACACTAGGACAGGACACCGTTTATGTGGGCAAGTCAGATATCCATTAGGATCGCTACTTTCCCATCACCGCTCAGATCTGAGATATTCTGGATTCCTGCCATTCATTTTTGGTTCCCTAAGCTTCAGCGAACACGATCCTGAACTCTCCCCTGGATTCTGATATAGGGGCCTTAATAATCAGAATAAGGTCTTGGGGCCCGTTATGCTATGACTATAATATACTATTATTATCATAAGGAACACCTAGAACGGTAGAGGTAATATAGAGGGGCCCGTATATTGTAGTACCCGTATAGATCCCTGAAAGTAGCCCTTATAGACCCCTTCAAAGGAGCCCTATTCTAACTATGAAGACCCCTCTGCTATTTCCTATCTTGGCACCCTAATATAGTACCCTAAATAGTAGGATCCTTATTGTAAGGACCCCCAAGATAAGGCACCCTAATCTTGGGAACTCCCACATTAGTATTTGTAATTCCTATCTTGCGTGTCAGCTCTTTTCCTGACTGGATGCGGCTCTGTCCAAGCTTCGCAGAGACTCCAATATTCCTTAGTTACGGAATGTACCTTAGATTATACAGGAATCCTAGTATGATTCAAGGCATATATGGTCAGGCGTCTGGCGTTCCCAGCCCCCCCCTCCAATGGTATGGTCTGCCTGGTGGGGGGGGGGGGGGCCTGGCGTGTGCGGAACGGGGTCGAGGTCTTCGGAGCTGCCACTGGATGGTGGGATGGTGCTGGCGGCCATGCAGGGCTCCCACGCGAGCCCTTCGCAAGCAAGCCGTAAACCCTATAACGCAGCGTGTGCCCTTGTTTTGAGTAACCTTCAGTTGTACTTCAAACCCTACACCCAACCGTAAACCCCACCTAACTGCAGGCTCTAAGCCTAAAGCAGAACATACACCGCAAATCCTCCCTAAGCCCTTGTCGACTCGAAGCGTTATACCTTGTAACCTTAAACCCAACACTCAAAAGCTTAAGCTAAACCCTAATTAAACCCCAAAACCCCACAACCACCCCACAGGGGGAAGAGGGACCCCACACCCCACACCACAGGGGAGGGGGGTCCCACCCTATATCCGGACCGCTTGACCATATAGTCCTGAATTAAGGGATAGTGGAGTCTCTGGCTTCCACCCCATGATTTATCCGTCTTGGGTTTTTTACGGCTGTGCGTATAAACATAATTACCTCAAAGAATTTACCGTGAAAGTGCTGTTCACAAGCTGATCATACACCAGTGATTGAGTGATGGTGCTGACCATCACCGATGAGGATCTGAGCACAAGATACATAAGATATCGTGGTAGGCTCTAAAATCTACAGTCCATGAGCCCCTAAATCCTCGTCCCCCAAACCCCTGGACACCAACATGAAAGCATTGGTGTTGATAGGTCCGGTCCTTGGGGCGGTGGTTCCTGGGTCTCGGGGCTTCTTGATGTCAGGACCAGGAGAGCCTTTTGTCGTCCATACTTAGGATCTACACTAGGGTCTTTGGTGGCTTCTGCAGTTTTCTTGGGGCTCTGATCTACCAGACAGTCGGCACCTGCCGAAGCGAATGTCGTAGGTTGCTAGGATTGCGCGGTCAAGCTGCATGCTGCGGGAAGGACTCGTGCGGAGAACGTCCAAGCAGCGCTGCTGCAGGGGCCCTGCGGAATACCGCATAGGCAAACAGCCTCGACACAGGGGTCTTGCAGTCATTTTTGGAGTCTCCACTTCTCGGGTGTAGGAGGTTAGGAAATGCAGTACAACCATGGACACCCAGAGGGGGAATGAGCCCTTTCATAGTGGGAGTTGATGGAAAGAAGAAAGGAGCAAACGACCCTTAAGGACATCTTAATGAGGGCAATTGAGCCCCAAATCCCCAACCCTACAAAACCCTTCTGCTAGAACCCGTGTAGAGTCACCCTTTACAAGAACGCTTCGTTTTTCTCGGGAGTTGAAGCTGCGTCTACCCTTAGAGGGCAGTTGACGCAGAATTTGATTCGTGACATTCATGGGGTGATCTCACCTATCCGTTCACTCCATAACTCGGGCGCTGTTACGACAGAGATGGATAGATAGAGTGACGATCAGGGCACTTCAAAAGGCAAGCATCTTGCACTCTCAGCCACAAAACCAGATCGTCGTATACATTATATATATATATATATATATATATTAGAAGCTGCCCCCACCCTGTAATAGTGACTATAAGGATTATATAGGATTATATTAGGGCCCTATTATATTCCTATTATACCACTATTACAGGGTGGGGGCAGCTTCTAAATTATATATTCTAAACCCGACAGCTACCTGAGGATCTTCTCCAGCTGCTGCGGCTGGTTGGGTCCGAGTCCTGCGGGACTTTCCGCACTGTTCTAACTTCCGGCTTATGACCTCCTCACGATTATGCCAGGGTAAAAATTAATAAGGACCCCTAGGTATATACCCTTAATATAGCCATTATATATCCATTATATAGCCCCTTTATAGGGTAGGGGGTCCCATTAAGGGTCCCTCCTTTCCCCTTAAGGCGTCGGATTGAGAAGTTTAGGGACCCAGAGACTCCAATACCCCTTAATTAAGGAATATACCTTAAATCATATTAAGGATCCTACTACAATTTAAGGTATATTCCTTAATTAAGGGTATTGGAGTCTCTGGGGACTCTGTGCAGGCGCCTGAAACCCCCGCCTCCAACTCATGAACTTGCCTGCTGAGCTGCCCAGAGTGCCCAATACCCTAGAAGCTGCCCCCACCCTGTAATAGTGACCATAAGGATTATATTGGGACCCTATTACATTCCTAGTATATCCCTATTATACCACTATTACAGGGTGGGGGCAGCTTCTAACCAATACCCCTTCATTAAGGAATATACCTTAAATCATAAGGGAATTCATATTATGATCTAAGCTATATTCCTTAATTAAGGAGTATTGGGCTCTCTGGGTGAGTCGAGACACGAGTCTGCTTGGATGGGGCTCACCATCTGGGCTCAGGAGAGCAAGATACAGAGTATGTCTAGCACCTCTCGAGGCGGGGCTATCCAACGTGCAACCTCAATAGAACAAAGAGAAGCTGCGTCGCCTGCGATCCTGCCAGTACTACCAACCCTGAGCTGTCCCGTTTTCAGTGCCCTTAACCCGAAGCTGAAACCCTCAACAAAACATACATTCCAAAGACATTGAAACCTAATTTAAACTCTGCATTTCGTTGTCCCTAACCGCTAGAACCCTACAACTGAAACCCCCAATTCTTAAACCCAGCACCCAAAAACCCTAACACTGTAACCTAAACCCAGCAGAGCCCCAAGACAAAAGCCCTTTGACACCGAGTATAGGGGCCTGTATGTTTACAGTAGGGTTTTGGGCACATCATACTACAACAAAAGAGTGTTAGTGTGGAAACTCCAAAACAGCATAGGTAGTTATTAAGGACCCTATAATAGAGTAACCTTATTATAGTTCCCTTATAGTCGCACTTGATTACTAAGGCCCCCACATGAAACGTCCCAAAACCTGGTAAAAGCCCCGTCTCCAAAGACCTGGAACCCAAAACTCTGAATTTCGGTCTCCAAACCCCCAAAAAGCGTAAACCCTCAGCCCTAAAAAACTTAAAACCCCCAAACCCAGGAACCCCTTTAAAGGAACCCTATTCTAATTATGAAGGGCCCTACAGTAAGCCCCCAAACCCTTCAAACCCGAAAGCCCTCCTGTCCTGGGGGATGCCCGGGTGGCGCGCTCCGAGGCAAGTCGCGCAGGAGGCCGCGGCTGGCAACCGTCAGGCCTCAGAGCTGGGGGCATTCGATGCGTGTGTGTGTGTATATATATATATATGATATAAATGTATTTGCAATATATATATATACATATGGTTTATACATAAATGTAGGAGTATATACGTGCAGTTTTTTTATTTTCAGGATATTTATGGTATGGGGGTTTAAGGCTTAGGGGGCTTTCGATGTATACTATACGGTACCTATGGGCCGGTTCAGGGCTTCATCATTGCAGAGTTTAGGATTAAAGATTTCGGGCGAGGAGTTCAGTATTACTTAGGGTTGTGAGATTGAACTCTTTATCGAAAACCCTTCAACACTACTTGTTTGATGCTTTGGACCCTTCGGATAGTGGTATAAGGATCCGAGGAGAGCCAGGTAAGGCTAAGCCGGCTGTTCTCAAATTCCGTAGGGCCATCTTTACTAAACGGGTTCAGGGCTGCGGTGTTCACAGGTTTCCGGTTTCGGTTTGAGGAATCCTAAACTCGAACCATGATGCAAGTGAAAAGTTAACATCCAACATGCACCCACCTCTTCAATCACAACGAGGACGATGGCAGTGGTTATGAATGATGTGATTCTACCGCCTCGGAAAGTGGCTGGACAAAAGAAAAACCCTGTGAAACCCCTACATAGTCAAATAACATCCACAATCAAACAACATATATGGGTAGTTGTCAAAGTTATGGCCCCTTTTTGCGGCACCCTAAATATTAGGTGCCGTAAAGGGACCCTAATATTGAAAACCACCATGTCTAGCCCCCCTTCAGCTGCTGGCCGGAATGTGCGAAGCGCGACAAGAGTTCGCTCGTGGACACCGGGTGCTCGCGGTGTGTCCTGTGGAATCAGCGGACTTCGGATTTCCAGTTACAGGGTTTCGCGTTTATGGTTCCGGCAAGGGTTTCCTGTAAGGGTTCAAGCGTTCCATTGTTGCAGGATTACAAGGGATCTAATCTACTCTCGTCTATTCTAGTCTGCTGCTGCTTCGTTCTTCCTCCTTTCGTTGAGCAAGCTGGCAGATTGCAAACTCAGATACCAACCCTAAACCCTAAACCCTCGTAACATCAGGATGCTGATCTCCTGTAAACCCTAAACCCGAAACCCTAAACCACTGTAACCCCAAAGCCCTCCACTCTCCAAACCTTCAAGGGACAACTTCGTTCTGCACCCTAGGCCCGAAGCCTTCCACTCTAAACCTGAAACCGACAGTATCCCCAAAACAGATTCCATCAAACAACCCTAAAACCTTAAGCCTAAAAAGAAAGGCGTCCTGCCGATAGTGCCCACGAAGACATCCAGGGTGCCATCGTCCCGAGGAGTCACAGAGAAGGTCACCGTGTTTTGAGGACCCTCCTCGAGGACCATCGTCTGGAGCCTGGTGTGTTTACTGGTCTTATTTATAAGGTTTATAATATGGGCTTCTAGGTTTAGAACGAGGGTTTCTAGGGTTGATAAGAAGGGAAACAAGGGTTTAGACCAAGGGCTTCTAGGGTTGATAAGAAAGGAAACAGGGGTTTAGAATGGTCTGGAGCCTGGTTGTTGCTCTTGGAGTGACCTGGAGGGTCTAAAGGGGTTTTTTGGCGTTCTGAGGGCTTCTAGGGTTTATACGGCTTGTAAGGGGTTCACGGTTTATAGAGCTTAGGGTTTTTGGGGCTTAGGACTTAGAGGGTTTATAGCTTTTGGATGCATTCCAAGGGCTGCCAGGGTTTACAGGCTTTTAAGTTTAGGGCGGAGATGGTTTACGGTTACGAGTTTAGGGTCGTGGTTGAGGGCCCTCTGAGGACAATGGGCTCCTGGGACTTCAGGTGGCTTGGTGCGGCTTTAGACCTGCAGCGATATGTACTGCAGCGCTTTTGAGGGCGTCTGGGGTTGATGAGGTTGTGAGAAGTCCTTGACACTTTGGGATCTCTTCGAGTTTCTCTTGGGGGAGCGAGCCTGGGCTTACGTGGTAAGAGTGTGGGATTTCGGATCCAGCGCTATAGTTGTAAGAGCAACTACCTCGCAAGACCTTGCATGCGCACTTTCATATTATACTCATACTGCATACATCGAGGACCAAATTAATATTGTCGTGGGAAGTTGAGGGTTTAGGGCGTTGGGTCAGAAACCTGATCTCGGCAAGTTCGTGAGGTGCTGGATTATGGACGAGCCTCAACTCATAAGTGGCCTTATTAATATGGAGTATATCACAATATATCTATGAGACATGGGGAACCCGCAACAACAATGTTGGCGATTATGTGGGATTGTATATCAGCAAGACATGTACGATTCCTTCCTCCCCATCGGCACCTCTCGTCTTCGGAACGATCCAACATGTCGCTGTCCATGTACGTCACCTGAGGTGCTCAGCAGGCATCATCGGAAGACCCGGTTTCGGATTCAGAGTTTTAGCGTTACTCATCCATACCCTAAACCCTAAACATCCCTACACCCGAAACGTGTATCCGATAAACCCCAGCTGGGTCGCCACCAGCAGGCCCGAGGGCAGCAGCTTCTGGCTAAGCCTTCGGAGCACCTCCGCTGTGTCCTCGGCGTTGGCCGGTGTAGGGTTTACGCTTTCTCATTTAGGACCTTACGGCGATTGTGTAAGGGCCTTTCTAAGTCAGAGGGTGTTGCCCTATTGCGTAGCCCCCAACCCCAACTCAAAACTCCGCAGCAGCCTCGCAAACCGCAAACGTCAAACCCTAAACACCAAAACCCCTATATTAGATCTCTTACAGAACCCTCCCTGTACATCCCTTTAAACCCCAAACCTGAAACCCTAAGCCTAACACCCTAAACCCCTTTATAGAACCCATATACATCCCTTTAAGGAACACTTATGGATCCCCTTAGCGGAACCCTAAACCCTACTGTAAAGGTCTGCTGCCGGTCCTGCTCGGAATTCCAAAAGTAGTGGACCGCGAAGTGGCAGCAGATGGTGTTGAATTGGCTGCCTTCAAAATTGGGGGTACCTAATTTGGGGGCTCTTATAATAAGGATCCTACTATTTAGGGTACTATATTAGGGTCCCCTATTTTCGGAAACCCCCATTTAGGGCCTCTAGAGTTTCGCGGTTTACGGGTTAGGGATATGGTTTAGGGCATGCCTTCACGTTTGGGGCTTTTAGAGCTCTACGGCTTAGGGTTTATAGGGATAGGGCTTAGGGTTTAGGGCCTCTAGAGTTTAACGGTAAACGATTTATGGATATGGTTTAGCGCCTTTAGAGTTCTGCAGTTTGGGGTTTCGGGCCTAGGGATAGAATTTAGTAGGCTTAGGGCTTTAAGAGTCCTGCAGTTTAGGGCACAGGGACAGGGTTTAGGGAGCTGAGGGCTTACAGGGTGTAGGCTGAGTAGCAGGTTGAAGCAGCAGTAGATGCCGAGATCATATCCGGTGCCCAAGGAAATTCCCAGATATTCACCGGACTTATGGCAACATGCATGGGTTTAGGGTTTAGGGTTTAGGGGTTCAGGGTTTAGGGTTTAGGGGTTTAGGGTTTTTAGGGTTTAGGGGTTGCTACATCCTACGAGTCGGGTGCATGTTTACAAGATGGGATCAGAGTTGTAATGGAGAGATTCCAATTTGCAGGCCCAGAAAGCAAGTGGGTGTACGACAAACAGTCAGGTGCTTAGGCTGCAATGGATGTAAGAAACATCAATATACATACACATATATATATATATGTATATGTATATACATAAATATATATATATATATATATATATATACATGCTTGTTTAAAAGATGAGTCAATGAGTGAGTAGCAAGTAAATACATAAATTCAAATACAGGCATATACATATACATACACCAATACATGAAATCGCCTTACCTCAACCCCAAACCTCAAATCGCCTTACCTCCTTTGTAACCGTGAGCCTCCCAGGACGTTCAGCGCTGCGTCTCTCTGAAGATCTGCGACCACGGGCCTCACCAGGAGCCTCGGAAAGGCAAGGCCCGACTTCGTCTTGGGGGTTTATCATAGGAGGCCAAAAGGGGTTTTAGCCTATAGGGGTTTAGTAGGGAATAGGGTTCCCACAATAGGGTTCATGTTTAAGGAATCCCTACCCCAAGAATCTTAAACCCCCCTTTGTTTGGCCTCCCATCAGTTTAGGCTTTAGGGTTTTGCTTGATACTGCTGATGGACAAAATCCTGCATGACTCTAAGGACTCTAAACTATGGGAACTATGGTATATTCCCGATAATGGGCAATGCAGGATTTTGACCATCAACAGCATGGGCATCTCTAAACACTATAGGGTACCATGTACTAAAATTGTAAGTGTTTATGAAGAATCTGACTGACTACCGGGGGCAACCTAGTTTATGAGCAAAGTTGCGGCAGAAGGACTTGTGAGCAGCCCAGGTTTACTGTTGGGGCTGATGTCCTTCAGCGGACCTTCATAATTCTGCGACTCCTTTTATTGCGCTTCCCACGTCAAGTCAGGCAGACCCCGGAAGAACAAAACCCTCCCGTAACCAGGATTGATGAGAAATCCTGTGAGATTCATGAAGGAAGGGGATGTATTCCAATTCGCTCCAAAACACCCTGAAGCTCTCAACGCCAAAGCCCGAAAGCCCGAATCCATCGTCTCGTCTCAACCTAGCATACATTAAACCCTAACACCCTGAACCAAAAGTCGTAGAATCCTGAATCTTACACCCTAAATCCCCACCTAAACTCTAAGACCTATTTCAAACCCCTAAAGCCCCTACGTAAAGCCCCGAAGAGGTCTCCAGGGCCGTGCAGCTCCGGCCGCAGCACGTCGCGCGGAAGCTTTGGGCGGGGTGCAGCCTCAAGGCGCCTGGGATGACGTAGGGGCCTTAAGAATTAGAAAAGGGTTCCCTTAAAGGGTCCTTTAAAAGGGATTTATAAGGGATCTATAGTAGGGTAGAGGCCTTAAGAATTAGACTAGGGTTCCATTTCAAAGGGTTCATTTTAAAGGGGTCTATAGGGGAATAGTAGGGTTCTATGATATAGGGGCCTTAAGAAGTAGAATAGGGTTTTGGGGGCTCCTTATTACATTTTTATTATAATATACCCCCCAAACCCTGTTCTAATTATTTAATAATTAACGCCCCTACATTAGGTCTGCTATTGACTGCTCTTGTTCTTAGGGGTTTAGGGTTTAGGGTTTAGGCTTGAGGGTTTGGGGTTTGGGGTTTAGGGAACATGTTGCCTGCTTCTCTTCTTAGGGTTTGAGGGTTTGGGGTTTAAGGGTTAGGGTTTAGGGTTTGGGGCTCAGAGTTTAGAGAATATGTTGCCTGCTTGTCTCCTTAGGTGTTTAGGGTTTGGGGTTGAAGGGTTGGAGCTTAGGGGCTTAGGGTTTAGGGAACATGTTGCTTGCTTCTCTTCTTAGGGGTTTAGGGTTAAGGGTTTAAAGTTTTATGAGGCCTGGTCACATGGAATTCCTTGAAGGGTTTAGGGGTTTAGGGCTTAGGGTTCAGGGTTGGGGATGAATACCCTAGCCCAAAAAAGGGGAACCTTTTCAATGATGGCAGGATTATGTAAAGCTAGCCTGATGATCCGAGCCGAGAGCAATCCTCAGTAGACGGGACCGAATACTCAACATAAGTAGAGGGGACTGAATACTCAGAACAAGGCTTCGGGGCGAAATGCACCGGAGATATGCAGACCCTCAGTAGTGTCTCTGTCTCTCCTGTTCTTCGGGAACTCTTTGGAAGAACCCTAAGACCCTAAACCCAAAGAGAGAACGCCTGGTTGGCCGAGCTACACTCTTCGGCTGGTGTACACGATGCACTTCTCCCTTTCCGCCCAGAGCTCCAGCCTGCAGGAATATGGCTTGCTGTTTCAAAGTTTTGGGGTTTAGGGTTTAGGGTTTTGGTTTAGGGTTTAGGGTTTAGGGTTTTGGTTTAGGGTTTAGGGTTTCAGATAATGGTTTTTGGGTGTTAGCGGCTTAAAGTTGGGGTTCAGGTTTCAAGGCTCTGTGGCGTGGACCGGGGGTTCTTGGGTTCTGCAAAATCGGACCGCCGCGATCGGCGACGGTCTCTTTTTCGTATCTGGGGGCCCCCAGCTTCGTCAACGGAGCACAGCACAAACGCCGTAAACCTCAACCCATCACATCCAGTTTTTAGTACACTGTAGAATAAGCCCATAGAATCAAGTCTTTACTACATGTTGATCCAAAAACAACACCCATAAAATCGAATTTGGCAATCCATATTTAGTACGTAGAAGCCAATCTGAAGCTATTCAAGCAAACTCCAAGCCCCAGGCTTCTTAGTTGTAGTAGGGCCCCCCAAAAGCACATAAGCAAAAATAAAGATAGGGATATCCCATATACATCCCCGTATAATGAAGCCTCATAAGGTAGGGATATCCCTATAACTGTGCTTTTTGGGTCCCTGATTTATATCCGCAAGTCCCCAGGGAATAGGCTTTCACGCGCCTGGTAACGCCGTGCGTCAGCGCCTTCCAGCCGCCAGGGTTGGGCAGTTCTTTAAGGGCAGTATGCGGCATTGCCACAGTGATGCTCCGGATGAGCATGCAATTTCATCTATATACTGACATGCCAATAAGAAGGTCATTTCTTACATGATGGCTCCGATGACACTTATCTGATGTCCACCGAGCCGCCCTGGAACCTATGCTGTGTTTGAGAGAACAACTCGTATCTTGCGAAGAGACAAGCGAGGAAGGGAAATTTTCGTTTGCTTGAGGGTGGGAAGGGGGTGTGGGGCTTATGAGTTGATGTAAGGGCCTTTAGAAGTAGACTCAAGTGTTGAAAGCCCTGAACCCTGCACCGTACGGTTTTGTATGATAGTAAAGACTATACTGAACTTGGAAGAAATTCAACAATTCTGGCTGTTCCTTACAGATTATAGTACCCAAAAACTAACACACGATTTCCACAAGAGCTATTTCCAAGTAGCCTCAAGTAGATGGTTTCAACGCAAATGTAGGAACGTTATTAAGAAACCCTGGGCCTACAACCCCCAAAATAGTAGGATCCATATAAGGAACCCTAATAACGCCCCAAGGTTTCTTAATCAGATTCCTACGTTATGCTACAAAGTGCTCATCAAACCTGATACAAAGCTCATAACGACACCCAGGCCTATGAGACCCTCATGTGCGAACTCAGGACATTCGTATCGTCTCTTCTTTGATGCAGAAACAACTAACCATTGGTCTTGGGGGTTCCCGTGGCTCTTTAGCTCCTTATTAATAGGGACTATCATCAGTACTGGCTCCTGAGCTCCCCCAATATCAACGGTTAGATAAACCTCTGCCTCGACGTCGCGATCGACGGCCACGAGCTCCTTTACGGTGCCGCCTCTCGCAGAGAACGCTTGCTAAGGAACTTGACTTCAGAAACGCTTTACGGAGGGCTATATCGGGCTTCATAACAGGCTTCTGTGAAGTCGAAGGGTTTTAATAAACAGTTAACACAAGCCTAGAACATGGAGAGTTAGAGAAGGCTTGAGAGCAGAGGATTTGAACTGATTGTGCGGCATCAGCAAAGTTGTACAGAGGCGCGATTCGACTCATCCGCTAAACCCGATGTACATCCTGAGCCCTCAACCCCAAAAGCCAACATGTAACTCATGATCGCAGGACAGTTCCTGAATCGCACTCACTGAGTCCCGAACATGCGACGGCGAGCTGTACATCTGCTAGCCGGCCGGCACCAACGTCCAGTACGGTGGGGCCGCTAAACGCCTGATGCCTCGGGGATACCAGTTTGTCTTCTTGCCTCCAGGATAGGCTTTTGTGGGACGTTAAGGGAGGTTTCATCGCTTGAGGCTCTGTGAAAACAGGCCTTGGAGTGTCGATTCAGCACAAGTGCTCGGGGCTGAGGGAAGCGGCGGAAGAGGCTTAGTCTTGGATGTGGACCGTGCTTACTGAGCACCGCGCCCCGGTCTCTGTTTAGATGATGCTCGGGATGCTACACGAAGGGGCTGTGGGTTGATACACCCCTACACCCGAACCAGAAAGGGTCCTGTTACAGAGCCCCTTGTCCTTCGGGGAACCCTTCAAGGAACCTCAAACCAGGGGTCTGCCTAGGCCTCCTGCAGCAAGCAGCAGGGGCCTTAAAAGGTAGACTTCTTGCAGACACTGTAAGGGAATACTGTCAGAGGCGACGCGCTTGGAGGCCTATGCCTAGAAACAGGGCTTGGATTTTGGGGCGTGCAGTATATAAGCATCAGATAGTCTGGGCTCATATAGGGCTGAGGCAATATCGCGGACTGCATGTGTATGATTACAGTAAGAAACGTAAAGAATGTTTGAATAGCTTTCGCAATCCTTATTCAGACTGCTAAATTACACTGTGCGAGAGCACACAAAGTTCAAGGGCAATCCCTCTAGGCTTTCACTCGTGTTTCCCAGCAACAAAGTGGATAGGCGGCGAACTGGGTGCAGGCAGGTTGCAGAACCAGCTTCGCCTGCTGATGAGCCTCTCAACAGGGACACGAGCCACTCTACACAGTCCTCGACCCATCTCGAATGGGAGGGAGAGAGGCGCAGAGAGGCCAAAAGACAGATAACAATGCTAAGGCCTCAACATAAACATCATGACTTAGCTCAGCCTAGCTTGGAGATTGCGGTTTAGGATTTGAAAGCCCTAAACCCTCAAAGATCGGAAAGCAGTAAAAGCCTATACTCGACAAACCCTAAACTGAGGCCCTAAGCCCTGTTAAACCCTGTAAGCCCTGAAGAATCTGATCCCTAAACGCCCTGCAAGCCGCATAAACCCCAAAAAGCGCCAAACGTCCTTTTTCTTCAGAGCCATCTTAAGGCTCTTCGTCATTATTATGGCTGTTTCTTCATGATCATTACTATTTCCAATAATTACTGTTTCTGTTACTACTAGTATTTCTGTTAGTCGTAGTTCTATTCTGACTCTTATCGGTCTTGTGTTGTTGTATCCTATGCTACATAGCATTACTATTACGGCTACTATACTCTCAGTACGAGTAGGGGTAGAAGTATCTCTATTCTAACTCTTGCTGGTTTTGTGCTGTCTTCGCCTACGTTCACGGAAACTCCGAGGGCAGAAATGGTCTCGGCCTCGCAGAGAGCCCGCAGTTGAGGTCCGCTGCGGAGGTCGTCGGGAACAGGGCTGTAGTACCTGGATATCGTGTTAGTAAAGTATGATATAGTGCAGTATAGTATAGTACAGTATATAAGGCTTAGGAGAGTAGAATGTGGATATCGGATAGTACCGTAGTACAGTACCTGCTCTTCGGGGTTCCTGCTTTTGCCTTCCCTATGCCGTTGAAAAGGCCGGTCGGTCTTTTGGGGGGGCTAAGGTACGGCCAGAAGGAGCTCCAGGATTCGGGCTTAGGCTAGGTTTTCGGTGTCTTAGGGGCTGAGTACCCTAGCCCAAAAAAAGGTTAATCTTATTTTCAATTCTGGCAGGATTATAGAATTATGGGGGCTCCAAGAGGTTAAAGGTTACCTACTTAGCTACTGGGGTTCTTTAGAGCTTTACCAGCTGGGCTGGACGCTTGAACCGCACAGATCCTCGGCTCAGGCATTGGCAGTTGCTTATCACTTGAGGTATCTAGGGCCTTAGGCTTTGGGCGAGACTCTACTGTCAGGCTAAATCCAAGACCCCCTAATTTATGGCACCCTTATAGTAACCCTTATAGAACCATTTATGGCACCCTTATAAATCCCTTACAGTACCTCTTATAGAACCATTTATGGTACCCTTACAGAGGTCCCTTACAGTAACCCTTGCAGAACCCTTCAAAGGAACGCTAGCTTGAGCCGGCGGCTCTACTTCTTTTCTGGGCAAGCTCCGGCACGATGCAACCAAGTCCTCGGAGGATGAGGGAGACGGGCTCCATAGGGGGTTTCCATGGGGGTAGTTCTCTAAATTAGCGTCCCTTTTGGGGTCGGTTTTATAAGGGTTCCTTCCCTAGAGAACTGTCCATATGATATGAGGCTCAGAGATACTTTCCTAAAGCTACAGTAGCATTTGCCTCGAACGGTCCATCCTCATGTTCCCAACTTTCAACTACCCTCCGTAGCGAGATGAATATACAGCTTGGACGAGAATGACCAGATCGAAACAACTCGAAGCCCAAACTCCTCTCTGTGTTATGGTCGACACAAAAAGGTTCATGCCAGCAGTTGGAGGCGAAGCAGCAGCCAGCGGCAGCAGCAGCAGCAGCAGCAGTAGGAGTAGTAGTAGTAATAATAATAGGAGTAGGAGTAGGAGTAGGAGTAGGAGTAGGAGGAGTGGTAGTGGTAGTGGCAGTGGTAGTGGCAGTAGTAGTAGTAGTAGTAGTAGTAGTAGTAGTAGTAGTAGTAGTAGTAGTAGTAGTAGTAGTAGTAGTAGTAGTAGTAGTAGTAGTAGTAGAAGCAAGAATGGTCGTGGTAGTGCTATTTATATATGGTAGTTACGTAGTAACAACAGACCCCTGCTCAGTCCTCCGGGGTGATCGGCGATTTCGCCAGCTCGAGGATGGAGGAAATGGTTTCAGCAGTGTTCGCATGCACCTGCAGGCTGTTGGGGACTTCACCTCTTAGGTGCTGCGTACCCTATCCCCAAAAAACGGGTAACCTTTCCTGTTGTGGTAGGGTACTATAAACCCCCAAAAATTAATTAAAGGGTATCAACTCAGCTACTAAGTGAAGTCTTTTGGGGACTCCACCGGTCTCAGGGGTGGCTGGGATGATTGGAACAATACATTGGGATGAAGCGCTGGCAGATTCCAAGATTTGACTGCGCCTTGGCATGAACTCTCGCTAGAAGCAAACCCTCAACCCTCAAGGCCCTCAACCCCCCAAACCCTAAAGGCCCTCAACCCTAAACCCCGAAACCCTAAAGGCCCTAAACCCCTAAACGCTCAGCCATGGAACCCTCAACCCCTACACCCCCTAACACCACAAGGCCCTAAACCACGAAACGTCAAACCCAAGTCTTCTTAGCCGCCCTTTTTCGCCAGAATAAACGTAACACCCTTCTCAATCCCCGTAAGTTTTATCATCAGAAAAATAAACTATAAGAAGAACATGACGTAGCTCCTAATATCCTAAGAGCAGTACAGTCTTGGGCCTTGTCGGCTCGCAGGCGCTGGAAGATCCAGTGGCCGCCTCCCAGATTCTTTGCAAACGGTTTAAAAGGCTCGAAGGGTACCGATTCTAAAGGGTTTAGTTTTTAATTTGGGGTTTGGGGTACCGGTTCTGTCTGTGTTTGGGGGTTAGGGTCTTTCTGACAGGTTTAATACTTGCGAACCACGTCTACAAGATTTCGTAAGAGTTCTGTGAAGCTTCCGAGGGCTCTTCAGGGTTCCACTGGCTGAGGTTTTTCAGATTTGGGAGTTTCCAAAAATTCGGAGTACCTTATTTTGGGGTCCTTATCATAAGGATCCTACTATTTAGGGTACTATATTAGGGTCTCCGATTTTCGGAAACTCCCGCATAGTCAGACGGGTTTAGGGTTGGGGCTTCAGCGCCGGGGACTCGCGCGGCCAGGAAAGGCCAACAGTCTTTGCTGGATGATTCTCGTCATTTAAGTTGGGTCTGGGTTTGCGGCATAGGCCTTTCCAGGAAGGTCATGGTATGGCGCTTTTGGAGCTTCTGATTTTTCTGCTTTGCAAATCGAACTGCCGTCCGACGTCCCCGAACTTTCCTCGTAGTGTAGAGAAACGAAAGAAGAACTGGCAACCATAAGATCAATAATAGCAACATCTGTGATAGCAACAATCGTTCCAGCAGGGCCGTCCAAACAATGCAGATTAAGACCCCTGCCCTTGGTTCATGAAAGGCTTACATCAGGATCCTACTAATGTGAACCTGAAGGACAGGCGAACTTACTAGTAACAAAGTGAAAGACAGGTAATTCTTGAACCAGGGTTGTAAATTGACCCCTCTAGGCCCCCAAACCCGAAATCCATATACCTTACAAATTCATTGCGGAAACCATTAGAGCCCCGACGAAGCTCTTCATGCCTTGAAGAGTAAACTCGGCGATGGCTTCCCAAGAGAGCAAGCAGTCGTCCACTGCACCCTGAGCCCAGGCTCATGTTCAGGCAAGCTCCGTAAGGACGAACATGGTTTAGGGTGTAGTAAGGCGTTCAGGATTGTCGGGCTTCAGGTTCAGGGTGTAACGGTCTACGGTTTACGGCTCAGGGTTCACCGAATCTGAGTCCGAGATCCCTGGAAAGCAGCGCCAATGATCTACCTAGGAACAACTCACTAAGCGATGGAAGACACCCACAACAGACGGAGAAGACACACTGACAACTGGAACCCGCACACCTTAAATCCGGAATCCTAGAAACCCAAAAAACCGGCCAAACAACAGCCTGTCAACCCTACGCAATGAACCCTCTAAGCCCTTAACCCCGACCCTGATACCCCCCCTCCACCCCGTCAAAAAATCAGAATAAGGAACCCCAAAAATACTATTGGTGATTCACGCCCCTATACCATATTAAAACCCTAGACACTAAACCCTGAACGCTAAACCCCTTAACCCGAAACCCAAAGGGACTCCAATTTGTTGGGCCGCCGATACTATATTAAGACACTACACCCTGAACCCTAAACCCCTTAGGAACCCCTATAGATCCCGTTAAAGGAAACTATACCCGACATCCTAAACCCTTAAACGCTGAGTCAAACAGAAAGAGCCGCCCCAGTGACCCAAAGAACCCCGCAAGCAAGACCCTCTAGACCCTAAACCCTTAAACTCTAAGCCCTTACTTCTGGAGCCCATGATCTCCCTAAACCCCTAAAGCCCTACACCTAAACCCCTAAACCCTCCCTGTTTCGGAAGGCCTCGGGAAGCAGACACATGGCCGGTACCGAGGCTTCCTCCCCCGGAAGCTCGGAGCGAAAGCTGGGTTTGGGGCTTTAGGGGTTGGAGCGCCTGGGCCTTTTAGTATACCGGATTCGAGGTTTAGAGTTTAAGGATTTTAGATCTTCAGGGTTCATTTATCGTTAGGATTTCAGGGTTTAGGGTGTTAGGGCTTTAGAGTTTTATTTTTGTCAAGATTTCAGGGTTTAGGGTTTTGGATTTTAGTAGGGTTGATGGTTTAGGGGGAGCCGAAGCTTGTCCCTGTACCAGGACAAGGGCCCTTTAACAGAGCCTGGCCTGGAAAGCTTGCTCGTTTAGGTATACCGGGTTTGAGGTTTAGAGTTTGGGCTTGAGGGTTTAGCGTGTAGGGTTTGGGGTTTTTGATAGTTCCTATTGCGTATGCCCGCATCTAACATTTTGCTTTGGGTGACAGTGCATCCAGTTGTCAAGGTCAACTCATAATTGGAGCCCCAAGCAATACTATGACAGACTATTACTAATTATTCAGCACCCCTCCCCCACCCACGCCCGATATTACAACTAAGGCCATATTAGTGTATACTGTTGTTTAATTACGTATTCAGCAGGCCCCCATGTTAGACTCTTCATAAATCGAACCTGTAAGGAATAGCAATACAATAAACATAGTATTGCAAAACATTCAGCAAACCTAAACCCTAAACCCCTGAGCCCTATACTACGACAAGCAGGGTCCATGCGTTCGGGGCCTTTGGCTGAAAGGCCACGTGCTCCTGACGGCTGGGACACCAGACCTGGCAGGTTTAGGGGGTTTAAGTCTAAGTTTAGGTCTTCCCTAAACCCTACCTGGACCCTAAGGAACCTTCCTTTTAGGGTTCCCTAGTAGAATTTCTTTTATATAAGTCCTTAAAAAGGTGGGTTACTTGGGGCTAAGGTAAACCCTGGAGGGTGATGGGTTTCGGTTTAGGCGTTTAGCGTGTGGGGGGCTTTATGGCTTCAGGCTTTTGGGGTTTGGGGTGTTAGGGCTTTAGAGCTGAAGGGCTCCATGTACCCATATAGCTAGTGTAGATACTTAGGCCTTAACGTACCTATGTAGGGACCCCTTTAAGGCTTAAGTATCTACTACAAAGGTACATGAAGCCTTTGTGGAGCTGAAGGGCTTGAGGGTTTTATGGAAACGTGGACCGGAGTGCATCGGGATGAAAACAAAGGGAGAGAAGCCTCGGGGCGCAGGGTTTGGGAGTGTTTGCAAGATTCCTACATATCGTCTCCATGGAAACTACTTCTTTCTTGAGGCTACTTTACCGGATCCAAGATAAAACAAAAATCTGTTTAAACGAAAAGAGACTATAGGCTATAGGTGTGTTACTGAGAACTGAGAAATAATAACTGGCCAACTGTGCACCTCGACCTGGTTCTTGCATTCAAATCCTACGTGTTTGTGCTGATGTTACGTGATTGCAGTTGCATTCGAGACCATGCAGACTGACGCAGACTGAGACCAAGCCGCGTGTTCATTTGGCGCTTGGATTATCTCAGCTGTGGGTACGTGAGGTTGTCTCGTGTTTTGACCCTGATGATTGTGATGTGATTTTGAGGCAGTGGGTCCAGCGGCCTCGTCCTCCCAACACGGCATTCTCCTCTGCCCTTAACCCTCATCCTTACTTCTCCAATTTCCTTCTTTGCTTAACGCCATTATAAAACCTAGAGCTCTAAACCTTAGCTCATACAGTTGAGGGTTGAGGGAGATGCGCCTGCAGCGCCAAGGGTGTCGATGGACTGCCCGGGCGCCTAGCAGGGATGCGCAGTTCATGAGATCTCTTGGGTTTAGGGCCCGTAGGGTCAGAGTTCATGAGATCTTGTTTGTAGAACACAAAAGGTTGTGGTGTGAACTCTGCGATGTGAAACAGGACTGGCATCTAACAATTTGCCGCTTTTGCCAGCCACCAGTCCAAAATCCCACGCCCAAAAAAAGCAAACAAACAACAGGCAACCTAAACCCCACAGCCGCAACCCAAAACCCCCACCCATAAACCGTAAACCCTAAACCCTAAATCCTAAACTCCAAACCCCTAAAACCTTCGAGTGCTTGTGTTCTAAAAGGCCGCAGCACCGTCCGCGCACCAGAAAGTCTGCTGAGATGCTTCTGCTCTCCTCGTGGGGCCGTTCTAAGCGATGCATGGTCTCTAGTTAGGGTTTAGGGTTTAGGGTTTGGAGGTTTAGGGTTTAGGGTTTAGGGTTTGGAGGTTTAGGGTTTAGGGTTTAGGGTTTAGGGTTTGGGGGTTTAGGGTTTAGGGTCCAGTTGGGCTCGGCTTCAAGACTCTGGGTCTTGTTAGTCGGATCCTCTTCTTTGATAACTACTCAGTACTCATATGTTGCTAGCGATTACAAGGTCGACCAGAAAAGACAATATGATAATAAATGACAGCGAAGGAAAGCCACGATCGCAACAAGAAGCACTTTTTCTGAACTAGAGCGTTTCATCATGTTTTCAATATGTGACAAACGTAGAGAAAGGGATGCCCGGCTCACGGTGAAAGATGTAGTTCCCTGTCCTGCTTTAGGGTTTAGGGTTTAGAGTTTGGAGTTTAGGGTTTAAAACTCAGGGTTCAGGGTTTGGGGTTTAGAGTTTAGAGCTTAGGGTTTGGGGTTTAACCTTGCTGCCCTACGAAAGGGTCCGAACCATAAATAAGTCTTTCGAAGACAATGTATGCAATCCTGGGTCCAGGAACGGTTCTGGATTAAGGCTTGCGAGTTAGGTTTTTAAGAGTACACCCTAAAGCCTAAACCTGAAACCCTAAAACTCCTGAAATCTCTAACCCCTAAGCTCTAAATGCAAGGTCAAGGAGTTTGCTGGATGGGGGCTACAAGGATGTGGGGATCAGGGTTGCTGTGCCCATGGAAGTAGGACCCACGGGAGAAGACCGAATATAGGGGCCTTTCAACTTAGAATAGGGCTTGGGGGGTCTTTTTCTTTCATGAGGCTCTGTGTCTGGATACGAACGCGCCTACTGCACAAACGAATTCAAACTCAACAACAGGTGAAACCAAACGAGAGGGCCGGGGAACTCTCGGATGAGGCTGAAAGCAGCCAAAGCTCAAGGTCTCCTTGGATATCTGTACGGCGCCCGAACTGTACATGACAGCGCCGACCGAGCTTGGCAAAGCGAAGAACGAGCTCCAACCAGGAAAGACACATGTGAAGCCATCCAGCATGGCGACGCTGCAACTTGAGGGTGGAGGAAGGCGCCTGCCAAATGGATTGGCAAGGGATCGGTGATGAGGGCAGTTCGACCCAAACACACGCCCAATCCTGGCAACAGGGCGGGGGCAAGCGGAGGGGCAGGAATCGCCATCCACCCCCGGGACAAACAGCATTCAGGAGGAGACAATGATCTGCAGCATCCCCTGCAATAAGTCCAGGTAGCCCTGCCGGCCTAGGTGCCCAAATCAGGGGCCGTACATCGGGGCAGAAAGGGGCTGCATAATCTGGCACGGTGCCCGGTTGATGCACCTCCTCACATAAGAGATCGATCCGGAAACAGAGGAGAACATCCTCAGCAATGGTTTTGAGATCCCCGGCATCGAGCTCTCCTATCCAATGACTGAGAGTGTCGCGCAAAACCGTGAAGGGCTCCACAATGCCAGAAACCGTCTGAAAGATGTCAGAGTCCTCCCCGAAGGACCCCTGACGCAAAGCAGCCAAGAGCTCGTAGGAGAGATCTACTGATTCTGCCGGCAAATGAGACATGCCCCGACCAGTTGCAGCCCTGCCGTGGACATGACCAGCAGGCTGTTGAAGAACCGGAAGGAGGTCAGCATCAAGCCGTTCGATGGACTGGCGACATCGCACAGACAGGCCAAGGTGGGTGCGCAATCTGGTGTTGGTTGCGAATTGTGCTCCACATGCTTGGCATCGGTTGCCCTGGGCCAGTCGCCTAGCTTTGGTGCGGAACCCATGCTGGAGCGATGCATGCGATGCCCAAGATTGGGCGTTGGGAAAAGATCGCCGACACAGCAGACATGCTTGGGAGTGACCCGTGCCATCCGTAGCATCAACCAAGATTGGGGACCAGACGCGCCTCGCAAAGGCAAAGAAGGAGACCTTGGCATGTCGGTGAGCAATGTGCCAAGCAGAGGCCCTTTTTAGGAGTCCTTTCCATTTGCGAACACTATTCTTGATGAAGTCGGCCCATGCATCCCAGTCACTGACGAAGTCCCCCCGATCACAAGTGGAGGAGATAGCCGTATAGAGCCATGCACCAGCTTCAAGAAAGGCTTCCCGAGCATGTACATCATGCTGAAGCAGGGCCCACGCCGCATCCGGCCCCGTACGTAGGAGTTGCCCAAGGAAACGAAGGCGATCCAGGCAAAGAAGATCCTGCGTAGAGGAGACACCGCAAGCAGAAAAGATGGCATCCTTCGTCCATCTTTGAGAGGATTGCCGAGGAATACGAAGCAATTGCCGGCAAAGGGCCGTGAATCCACTGTCAAGAGCATGCCAAGCACCCTGGCACAACAAGGGCCAAGCGCCCGCGCCAGCAAAGAGCGTCGCAACAACCTGGGCCCTGAACAGCTGTACCCGCTTTCCAAGCTCAATCTTGGCACAGCAGTAAACCTTTCGTCTGCCTTCCCCGAAGGAGGAACGTGCCAAGGCAAGACGAGCCTGCACCTCAGGAAGCAAGGATCCCGTGTACACCAGTGTGGAACCCAAGTGTCGGTACTTGGGAATGGTCTATTATACTATAAGAAAAATAAGGGACCACGAAAACCCTATTCTAACTGTGGTGTAGGGTTGTAGTTAGATTTCGGTTGAACCTGAACTGTTAGGATCCTAAGCCCTAAACCCCTAAACCCCAAACCCTAAATCCTAAACCCCAAACTACAAGGGAGACAATAGGCTTTGGCCTCTTACGCGCACTTGGGCAGTTGAAAAAGGGGCCACACTGACTGCAACAGGGCTTTGGGGTACATTAGGGGTTTAGGGTTAGTTTGTAGGGGCCATCTGTTGTGACCGCTGTTGGGGCCCGTAAATTACAGGTCCCAGGCCCCACTTTAGGGATCAGGCAACTGAGCAAGTAGGGTTGCGCGTAGCTGCTTTATGTCCGAGGTAGGATACTGACAAGCAGCTTCAGTACTAAGTCTCATCATCTTCTCAGGGTTTCGGGTTTAGGGCTTTAGGGTTTTGGGGGGTTTTGGGGGCGTAGAGTTTAGGGCTTCAGGGGTTTAGAAATTTGGGCTTATAGGGTTTGGGCTTCGGGTCTAAAGCTCCTGTCCTTCCACTTGAGGTCCATACCGCCGGTGGGAAGCCGCGATGCAAACACCAGTCCGTCGCATCGGAAGCCTCGCCTGAAGGAAGGGCTGAGGGTTTAGGGTTTATAATGGGGTGAAGGGTTTATAGTAGGGTTTATAACAGGGTTTAGGGTTTATAATAGGGTGAAGGGTTATAGTGGGTTTATAATAGGGTTTAGGGTTTATAATAGGGTGAAGGGTTATAGTAGGGTTTATAATAGGGTTTGCGGTTTATAATAGGGTTTATAATAGGGTTTGGGGTTTATAGTTTAGGTTAGAAGCTGCCCCCACCCTGTAATAGTGACTATAAGGAGTATATTAGGGCCCTATTATATTCCTATTATACCACTATTACAGGGTGTTGGCCCCTTCTAAGGTTTAGGGTTTAGGGACAACCCATACCCGGTACCTCACCCTATACCCGACCCAAAGGCACTGCACTAAAAGCTTTGCCGTTAACCCTGCGCGTGCCCTTCGCACTGAACTCCCCACCCCAAACCATCACCCTACATCCCAAATGTCTGAACCCTACATACATATAGCTGCAGCTCAAACCCAGAACCAAGTACCCTACGCCATTCCTGGGATTGGGATGCGACTTTCGGTGTTGGGTGGCTTGGAACTTGGACTACCCTAAACCTTCCGATCCTCAAAACCCAACTATACCCCCCTTAGAACCATCACAAAAACACCATTGACCATATTCTCTTGGCTTTTATATATGAACAAACAGGAAACTTATTCCCAAGGAGACTATACCTAAACCACCAAAGGTAGGTAAAATAATGGCCCCAAACCCATAAAAGGCCATTATTCTACATACTTTTGGGGTCCAGGTGGGAATTTCCGAAAATAGGGGGCCCTAATATAGCACCTTAAATAATAGGACCCTTACTATAAGGACCCCAAAATGAGGTACCCCTAATTATTTTCGGAAACTCCCAGGTAGTAAAAACCCAACAGCAGCCCTCCTGCCTCGGACCACCACTTGGCTCTCCACAGGGCTGCCAGGAAGCGAGGGGCAGGAAGCCAGGAAGCTCAGCCAAGGGCCTGGCAGCTTAGCCCCGAAACTACGGTTGATGATAAACATCCTGCATGACCCATAATTATAAGGGATGTACCCAAATTCCCCTAGTTTAGGGTCCTTAAGGTAATGCAGGATTTATATCATCAACACTGCTAAACCCTTCAACTGCCCTACACCCTCAAAGCACGAAGCCCTAATACCTATAAGCTCCCTAGAAAGGGCCTTGGGCTGTAGCGGTTTGGGGGGTTAGCATTTCGGAGACTAGAGTTTTGGGTTTTGGGAGTAGTTTCGGGTGCGAAGTGACTGGTCACAACGGCAGGCAAGCCCGGCAAGCCCGCTCCTTTCTTCAGGGAGATTAAATCGGGGCTACGCAAGGCGGTATGCTATCACGGTCTGATGCGCGCTGTTTGGGTTTGAGGTTGGTGGTTTGAGCCTCTGCCTTTCATGACCCTATACCCTAAACCCCGAAACCCCTAAACCCCGATAGCCCTAAACCCTAAGCCTCAACCCTAAACACTGAGCTACTAAGTCCTGACCCTTTCAGTAGCTCGCGCCTGTAGGGCTTTGCCTCCGTGTCCAAAAGCAGAGGCGCGCCCAGCAGACCTTCCAGTGCAGCCCAACGCTCCTTTCTTGGAAGGCTGTCAAAGGGTTTAGTAAGGGGTTCAGGGTCTAGAGTCTTCGGGGTTTCGGGTGTTTGAATCTCTTTGAAGAATTCTTTGCGGGAATGGGTGGCAAGTTATGTGTCTCACTTACAGGGCGTTCGGAATTCGACCACCACTCGTTTCATGCCAAGGTCCTTGGGCAGCACCTTGACGTTGCTGTTGAGCTTGTCCTGGGAGCAAGTCACAGGACAGCTGGGTGTAGGTTATGTTGTCAGGTCTCCAAGGTCCCATTACGAGACATATGCTTCCAAAGGCTTTGCAGGAAGATGTGCAGGTTGGCAATGCTCTTCGACGCGCCTCCAACAGCACTCTGTCAAAGATGCAGAAAACCCTAAACCTTCAACCCTGATGTAACCCTAAACCCTTGATGGGAGGCCAAACGGGGGATTTAAGATTCTTGGGGTAGGGATTCCTCAATATGAACCCTAAAATGGGAACCCTATAATCCCTACTAAACCCCCATAGTCTAAAACCCCTTTTGGCCTCCTATGAACCCCGATCCTTGTAGCCCGAGTAGAAGCGAACCCTGGAAAGCGCGGCCGCCAGCTCCTCAGGGCCCAGCACGAATTTCTATCCTTTTTATAGCCTAGTTCATGGTTGGGATAGGATTAAGCATGTGCATTTTTCCTTATTGGGTTTAAGTACCCATAAGAATGTAAAATGTTACACAACTATGACAAACATACTAGTTTCGAGTAGCCCCATCACAATGGGGGTGCCCTTTGTCCTGAAATAAAGAGGGCAACAAGGTACCACCCAGGAAGCTAGAGAACAGCCAAACCGTAAATTGGAGGCTTCTCAAACCTAAATCTCAAACTCTGGTTTTCCAAGTAAACTGCCGCGGGAGTTGTGACTTGTCGGCTGGCCTGGTGCAAAAGAAGTCTCCTCTTGACGAAGCTAGAGGCCTTGACGATCAGACTAAGGCTTTAGGGTTTAGGGCGGTTTAGGGTTTAGGCTTTACATTGGGACAATGAGGGGCTATCAATGTGAAACAACTGCTTCCACAAATTTGCCTGCTGAGCTAGCCCTGCAAACAACTAGGAAAAGTACAGGAAAAGCACCTGCTGCAGCGATGTTCAAGATTCCTATCAGCAAGATCTTAGGGTTCAGGGCTTGCCCTAAACCCTAAACAGCCCCCTTAAACCCTATACCTGTAGGGCTTTAGTATTAGGCGTTCAGGTTTCAGCTCCGCCGCCGGCTCCAAACTCCCAAGACCTCAGAACTTACCTTCGGTTAGTAGGGAATGGAAGAATGGTAGTAATAGTAGTTATAATTGTACCCCATCCCTACTAACCAAAGGTAAGTATAGATCCCTTATCGTAACCCTAATAGGCCCCCTTGAAGGGAACCCTACCATTCCCTACTAGGGATTACTAGGGCAGGAGAGCCTGCAGCCGCGCTTGCCGCGCCGCAAGCAGCGAGGAGGGGGCCTTGCCGAAATCCAACAGCCTCGGCTTCAGGGCCGGTTTTTGTGCTGCATTGTTGGGTTTAGGGTTTAGGGGTTTAGGGGTTTAGGGTTTAGGGGTTTAGGGTTTGGGGGTTTAGGGTCTCTCTTGTTTGTCAGAGGCTTCTGGGGATGAATGCCGGGGGGGGGGGGAGGAAGTCTTTTCAGTGCTGCCCGTGAAGGACCATGTTGAGGGCTGCAGCAACCGCAACAGTACCGGGACCTAATGATGAGCCCCAACAATAGTACTCATGAGATATTGAGGCAATTCAAAGGATTCTGTCTCAGGTTAGAGTTAATGTGTAGGGGTTGCTTGTTTGGGGGAGCCAAACATTAAACGAATCCTTCAAAAGCACCTTCTTGACCGGCCCAGCTACATACACGCAGACATACATACATAGCACAGACATACATACATAGTACATTGTATGTATGTATGTATCCATATACGATGGACGGTTGCTCAGCTGGGGCGCAGGTCGAAGGCCAGTAGACCTCGCTGAGATCGAGGCTGTGCCGGACCAGGACCTCGGGACGAGCAAACTCCACAAGCGCTGAGAGCAGCAAGGGCTTGGGGTTCAGGGCTTGAGGGTTTAGGGCTTTAGGGTTTTTTAGGGAGAACATGCAACAAAAACTTAAAGCCCTTCTATGCATTGAAACAGCTCTCATCACCCCGCCCCCCACACAACCAAACACACACACACACACACAGACACACACACACACACACACAGACACACACACACACACACACACACAAACACACACACACACACACAGACAGACACACAGACACGCAAACACACAGACACACACACACACACACACACTGCGAAGAAGGGAAAACAGAGTATCCAAGTGGCCGGGAAGACACTTGGCGGCCTCCTCAGCGGTGATGAGTGGCACCTCCTCTGGGGCCAAGGCGGCAACTACTACCGTAAGGGCTCCAAAGTAGGCCTAATATAAGGACTTAATAATTAGAACAGGGTTTTGGGGCCCATTATTCTGTAAGTATAAAAAACAGTACAGGTAATTATGAAGGCCCCTAAATTATGCGGGTTTCTGCAAAGGGCTTCTAAAGAATGGGTTTCGTCGGTACTTAAGGTGTTGGGTTTAGGGACTTGGGCTCCTGGGGTTCGGGGTTTAGAGTTTGGGTCGTGGGGCTTTCGGAGTTTGGGATTAGGGTTGAGGGTTCAGGGAGATGCATCGTTTCGGCTGGTCGGTGGTGTTGCAAAACCTTGGATCCAAAACTAAGGCTGTCATGTTCAGCACGCAAATAAGGCAACCCGCAACCTTACCATTTGAATCTTGTACCGTAACCCCAGCCCTAAACCCTGAACCCTACACCCCTAAACCTTGGACCCTAAACGCTGGACCTTAAACCCTAGCCGGCTGTGGTACAAAATACTACAACACGCAAGTCCTGGACCCCAACCGCCCAAACAACCCACGAACTACTCAAACCAGCCAACTGCCCGTACTTTAGATGATCATGATGAAGGCTATTATTGTTGTTGTTCCTCTTCTCAACTTAATGTTTATGATTAGGGCCCGATGTTGGTCTTCATTTTCTGCCTCCGCAACTTTACCTCCCCAAATTGTTGGCTCCTCAGCATCGATGATGGAAAGGCCATTGGGAAAGGTGGGCTGCTCCTGTCCGAACCTGGTGTGGGTGCATCATCACACTGGATGCTGTGGCTACTTTCAGGCTGTCAGCAGCATGACTAATTGCGACTCATCGCTTGGGCTGTTGGTCCAGTTTATGCGCTAGCGGATGGGGTGTGCGACTTGGAACCTGGGCTGTTCGGGTGAAATTTTCATCAGCTCCGGAGAGAACATGCGCAAAGCCCTCAGTAAATGCTGAAGTGTGCCAGCTCCCCAGGCCTTCGATTCATAGAAGGACCTGTTACTTCCCGGATTCGAGAGCCCCCACGAGCCCCAAAACCCTCGATCCTGATCCTGACTTGACAACCTTCCCTTAAATCTGCAAGTGTGCTTTCATGCAGGCTGTGCAGGGGTTTCGGGCGGACACATCACTTCGAAAAACCATAAAGCCTCGAACTCAATAAGCCATAAGAAACCTACAGACTCGCATAAACCTTGGGTACGGCCCCCACTCAGTAATAGTTGACTAATATTCATAATATAGATATATTAGGACCTTAATAGTAGCCCTATTATAGACTCTTACTGTAAAGGGGCGGTACCTAACATAAACCCTGAACCCGAAAGCCCCACAAGCACGCCCTAAACGCTAAACCCTAAACGCACGCCTCACCAACAAAGGCTCCACATGCCCGGTCCCTGGTTGGACGGTCCACGCACCGACCTCCAGATTCGGGATCCGCAAAAAATTGGCCCTTTGGGGTTTAGGGGTTTAGAGCTTAGGGGTTTAGGGTTTAGAGCTTAGGGGTTTAGGGTCGAGGGTTTATGAAAGAGCTTCCCCGGGATGCCTCTATACAGAAATGGCCCTGCATCAAAAGCGCAGCGCCACTTACAGTGATCTTTACAGATGCCCATATAGGGGCCCTTGTAAGAATCCTTCCTGGAAATCCTGAAAGGAGCTTTTATAGTAATCCTTTGAAGAAACCCATTCCGAAGGGATTTTGGGATTTCCCGGAACTGTGAACCCTGGTTCAGGGTTTAGGGTTGAGGCGCAGGATAACCCTAAACCCTAAACCCCGAAACCCTAAACGGCCCTAAACCCCTTTTTACGTACTCTTGGTTAGTAGGGAATGGAAGAATGGTAGTTATAGTAGTTACAATTGTACCCCATTCCTCCATTCCCTACTAACCACAGGTATGTCTAATCGGGTTGAGGGTGAGCTCCTGCATCCCTTCCCGCCTTTGCAGAGCCGCTGGCCCAGAAAACGAAGAACTTCCGCTCACCATCCGCCTGCCAAAGTGGATTTACCCATAGGCCCCAAAGTAGTTCCCTTTTTGGGATTACCTTGTAGGATTCTAAATGTGAACTCCAAAAAGGAACTCTTTTGGGACCTTAGGGTAGGGATGGTTCCCAGAGAGCAATGCTCCTCAATAAGTAAGCTTCTAAGTAGGTATACTTATAACCCATATTAGGTGACTTAAAACCCCACTATTAACTACCCATGAACCTCCAAGCATTATCCCAGAGAGCCCACTACTCCCTAAATAAGGAATATTTAGCTTAATTAAACCATAATATGAATCCCCTTATAATTGAAGGTATATTCCTTAATTAAGGGGTATTGGGCTCTCTGGGTTTCGGGCTGGAGAGCAAAGGGCTTGCGTGTCAGCTTTGTTTTTGTTGTTGTTTGTTTGTGGGCGGGGCCCAGAGCCTCCAAAACCTCTTAATTAAGGAATATACCTTAAATCATATTATGGATCCTACTATACTTTAAGGTAGATTCCTTAATTAAGGGGTTTTGGAGGCTCTGGGAGGCTCCTTTTGGGTTTTAGGGATCAGGGCCTTGGAGGGCCTTGGGGTTTAGGGCTGAGGGTTTAGGGTGCTTTGGCTGTCAGGTGTTCAGACTCTAGGATCTGGCTAAGAGGTATAGGAATGTTGCGCATCTGTCTGGGTATGGGCTCGGGGTTTTAAGGTAACCCTAAAATTATTAAAACGCTGGGACTTTCATGGACCCTGCGCTGTTGGCAGAATCATTTTGCAAAAGCCCACCCCTGCAAGAAGTTAACCCTCTCAGAAACTCTTACCCCCTGATATCCAAATCAGAAAGAACACTCCTGGTTGAGCCCCCAAGCACCATGACCCTGAGCTTTAACCCTCAAGCCCTTCTAACCCCAACACCTAAACTCCAAGGATTGAACCCAAACCCTTAACCGCCTTAACCCCAAGCCCTTGACCTTCACCCCTAAACCGTCCACCCTACACCTCCAACCCCCAAACCCAAAGCCCTAGACCCAAAAATGCGCGTTAAAATCTGACCCCAAACCTAGGGACATGAAACTCACGTCCCAATCAACGGGCGCTATGACGAGCTGCAACAGGTCTTTAGTTAATCCTTCCTCTTTTTATGTGTCTACTTTTATGTCTACCTCTACTCCTACATCTACTCGGACTTGTACTTCTATGTCACATGTCTTATTGGACTTCTGGTACTTCTTCTATTACTACTGCTACTAGAACACATCATGGCCGTAGTAATAATAATCGTAGTAATCATAGTAATAGTAGTACTAGTACTAGTAGCAATAATAATAGTAATAGTAATAGTAATAGTAGTAGTAGTAGTAGTAGGAGGAGGAGGAGGAGTAGTAGGAGGAGGAGGAGGGGGAGGAGGAGGCGGAGGAGGAGGAGGAGGAGGAGGAGGAGCGGCAGTGGCAGCAGGAGCAGCAGCAGCAGCAGCAGTTCTGGAGTGGAGTTGGAGATTGCGGGCCGGTGGAGTGGGGCTTTCGGTCTAGTCTTGATACTTGGCTCGAGGGGCGCTCAAGAATGTTATTACGTTACAGGGGCCCTTATATGAAGCTATACATGCACTTCATTGCAGCAATCACCCAAGCTCCCACCTTGGACCTAGATTCCCCTCCTTTGAGCCTGCTTGTCTTTAATGCAACATTGTTGGTCGTTTTGCTCAGCTTATCTATGTTGTGTTTCCTGGAGATGTGCCATCTTGGATGCCGGCTTGCCTCGAGGCAACTTTTTGTCACGAAGCTGTGCCTCACTAATTCGGCGCGTGTTGCGCGCATGCAAGATTCAGTCTTCCGTCATCTCCATGGTGTAACTCTTGAAACGAAACCTACTTGGGTTTTGAGATTGAGGCCAAGTTTAGGGCTCTTTCAAGGCTTTAGGCCTTAGATTCAAGACCAAGTCCGGGTGTATGGCTGAGGCTAAGGCTTGCTACCTGTGCAAGTTTTGGGTTACGGCCAGAAAGGGTCAACCCTGATGACTATCACCTTGATGAATATGCAGTCAGAACCCTAAAACCATAAACCCCGAACACTGAATAACACGAAAACCCACACCCTGAAGCCTAAAACGTAGCCCCCACAACATAAGCAGCTAGCATCTCACCACAGCATGAAGGACAAGGAGAGGCAACAAGCCTTAGCTCCCCTCCCAATGAATTGAGCTTATAGGGCTCAGAGTTTGGCTCAATTTCTAAAAGGCCGGGGCGTAGGTTTGGGTGTAGCGTGTAGGGTGTGGGGTTTTAGGGTTTAGGGCTTACGGGCTTTAGGCTTTAGGGTTTAAGGTATAGGGTTTAGGTATGTTTTTCTTTGAATTCCGAGGTAAAAGGTTTAGTCGTTAATTGAGTTTTTGGGACTTAGGATTTGAGATCCTTGCTGTCTTACCGCAGGGTGGTGTAAAGTTCAGGTGCAAACTTATGGATTAAAGCTCTGCCGTTCCAGTGGTTAGGGCTGGGCGGTTATCATGCTTCACAGAAATCTTTGAAAGAGCTGCATGCTTGAAAACCTGCTACTGCCTAACGCTGCTGGGAGGGTAGGCATTAAGATTCAACTTCAGGCACCTCCGACTCAAAATCCCAAACTCCTTCGTGGACAAACGCTGTTGCAGAAACTACCATGTCTCTCGTGCAGGGCCCATTTAAAGCATAAATACCCTAAACTCTAAATACGGAGCAGAAGCCGGAGAATCCTCAAACAACCAAGCCCCAAACCCAAAACTCTACAGAAGCCCTCCACCAACAAACAACTGCACAGAGACAACGGTAACAGAAGTGGGGCTCAACACTAACGGTGGGGCCCAGGCCCTGGATCCTAAGCCTTACATGGTCTAGGGTTTATAAATTCTATACCCTAGCTCCTAAGACCTTCAACCCCAAAATTCACAAACCCCAAATCAATGATCTTTCGCTTACACCCTAAATCCCATAAGCTCCTGAATTCTATGCCCCTAACAGAACAGCGTGCGAAACCCTCAACCCCATATCCCAGGACATGCAGTATACCAAAACAAAGAACAAACATCAGAAACGATTATCCTGAAGTCCTAATATACTCAACATCCAATGCCCAAACACTGAACCCTAAACCCTAAGACCCCAGACCCTAGGTGCGCTCAACCCTAAACCCAAATCCTCGGCCGCGCGACCAAGGCAGCATTGAAGGCTGCTGCAGCATTTGAGGCTTGGCCGCCCGCAGATAAGAAGTCAGCGTGGGAGTCGATGGTTGTATCTGCCGGCAAGCGGCGCACCTGCAGAGCCCGATTAGGGTTTAGGCCGGCTGCAAGGTTTGGATTGTTTGGGGTTTAGGGTTTTAGGGTTTAGTAGTTTAGGGTTTTATGGTTTAGGGGTTAGGGTTTAAAGGGTTTAGGGTTGTAGGATTGTGGCTTCTAGGTTTGAGGATGAAGGGTTCAGGGTAGAGGGCGGAGGTTCTGTTTTTACATCTGAGGCGCAAGGAAAACACGTACAAGGAACCGTGTTGCAATAGGAACTGTGATATCGGTGGAATCCGCGCTGGACCGTAAACCCTAGACCCCACATGGACCCCGGATGTCCTTCCTTTTTGTGGTTCTGTCCTGTAGTATTTTCATAGGGTATATCCCAAAGAAGGTAGGACATCTACGGTCCAGGCAAACCCTAAAGCTAGCTTCAAGCCGAATCCTAATTCAGAGTAGCACCCAGCCCCATGCCCAAAGCACAAGCCCTCAACTCCCTGAACCCATTAAATGTAGGCCTTTCATCCACCACCCTAAAGAGCCTTAGCCTTTCATCCCCAAAAAAAGAATCCCCAAGAACCCCAACACCCTGAACCCTAAACCCTAAACCCTAAATCCTAAACAGCAAATGATAGCCGCAAAGTCGCCAACCAATGGAAGCGCCAGTTGGCTGCTGCGTCGCTGTCTCTTCGCCATGCTACGAAGCCGCCCCCGAAGTTCCGTCTTAGCTTTGAGGAGGGTTTCGTGTTTAGGGTTTAGGGTTTAGGATTTAGGGTTTGGGGTTGAGGATTTAGGGTTTAAGGTGCAGGTATTAGGGTTTAGGACTTAGGGCGTAGGAATTAAGGTGCTAGGGTTTAGGGTTTTTAGGGCTTAGGGTTGAGAGGTTTCGGTTTAGAGTTGTGGGGTTTAAGGCTTAGGGTTTAGGGCTTATGATCTATGTGGGGTGTAGAGTTTAGGGTTTTAGGGTTTTGGGTCTACGGTTCAGCTAGACAACCAGAAAACTGCCATTCTTGTACACACTTTGGTAGGAGGCTTTAAGTCTCAGAGTGATGCGGCCTAGGCTGCTGGTGGTGAGAGTACCAGCCCTAATCCTTAAACCCTAAACCCTACACTCCATACCCTAAGCTCTATAACCTAAAACCCCATAAAACCTCTAAACCCTAAACAAGCTAACGCTTAAGCTACTAGTGCGATGGTTTAAGGTTAGGGCTCAAAGTTCCCGAAACCACGATGTAACATGTGTCTAGAGCTCTTTAAGAAGAACATCCTGAAGCCCTGCCACCCTAAAGCCAACACTGTTGACATCCTAAAAACCACTAACCCCCCTAAACCCTGAAACCCAAACCCTATAGCCAAACACCTCTCAGGGTACCAACCGTAAACCCCTCTACCCCCTAAACCCTGAACCCAAACAAAAGACAGGGCTCTTGAAGAAATACCAGCCGTTCGAGTTGTGCGTAACGAAGGCATTGCACTCCGAATGTGCCTCACAGCCAGCCTTTGCCTCGTTCCAAAAGGCGATGCTGGGGGTTGGGGTTTAGGATTTAGGGTTGAGGGCTTAGGGTTTAGGGTTTATAGGTTAGGGTTTAAGGTTCAGAGTTCAGGTTTTAGAGTTTATTGGGTTTAGAGTATAGAACTTCGGGTTTAGGTTGAATCGAACCCCCCCCCACCCCCCGAGCTCCGACAGTCTGAGCCCCAAGCCTAGTGTTATAGCAACTGCGGCACTCTGAACAGAAAGGCCTACACCCCAAGAATTAAACCCTAAACGCCATAGATCCTGGATTCCATGTTGTAGACACGAAGAGCCTATACCCCAAAATCACGAAACCCTAAACCCCAAACCCAAAACCCCTGAAACCCTAAACCCTCGACCCCTAGACCCTAAACCCTAGATCCTACACCCTAAACCCTGAACCACCTATAGGCCTAAAGGCCCTAAACCCTGAAATGGCGATGCCCCCCCCTTACATGGGGCCCAACCTAATCCAGGCTTGCGATGCTTCCCTGGATGACGTCTTGAGTCACAATCTCCTTCTGGGGCACGGTATCGTTTAGGGTTAAGGGTTTGGGGTTTGGGGTTCAGAGGGTTAGAGAGTTAGGGTTTAGGATAAAGGGTCTGTTGACTTTGTTTTTGTTTTGTGTGTGTGCGCTTTGGGTTGGTGAGTTTCGGGTTGGATGTGTGGACAAGCCGCGCCTAGATTCAGAATCTCATAATTAGATCGAACATGCAAATTGAAGGGTTCACGTTTGCAAGCTCGGGGCTGAGGTTTAGGGAACCTTAGGGTGTAGGTTTCAGGATTTTGGATTTAGGCAAGTATGCACTTGACTTTGCAATGCCACAGAAATGGAGGCCCCAGGCCTCAGCAATTGTCAACTCTTTACCCAAGAAGCCAATTACTCCCGAGATGTCGACCTTCTGAAATCCAAGCAAAAGCCACATCGTGCAGCTGCAAAGCTGCATCTGTGACGCCTATTCTCTAAGGCCTGAACCCACATCTCCATTGCCAAAACCTGAACCCTCAAACATAAAACAAGCCAAGCTCTCAATCCCTTGAATCCTGGACCCTGAAATCCTCAAACACGAAAGTCTTGAAGCCTCAAAGCTCCAAGCCCTGAAATTCCCAATGCCTAGTCTGAGGGTTTAGGGTTTAATTAGGGTTTAGGATTTAGGATTTAGGGTTTAGGGTTTAGGGAGCTCTGTCGCTGTCCTCTCCCTCGTTCTCCGGCAGGCCAACGGCAGTGAGCCATCCGGAATACGTCGTGGTGGTCGTGGTCTTAGCGTTGAGCTGGTGGTAAACACAAAAAAGTCAGCCCTAGCCCTTGCATCCATAAGCCCGCAACTCCAAGTCCTAAACCTTACACGCAATTACTCATGATGTCAACATCCTTAACTGTCGCCCTTCGCTTGCCCTCAACCACAAACCGTAGACCATTGTTAACCTTATGCTGCACATCCTAAACCCAAGCCCTAAGCTTAAAACTCTAAGGCTTAAGAGGCATACGGCGGGTTGGAAAAGTAGAGTTATTGGATCTAGGATTTGGGCTTACCTACACCCCGCAATGTACCTACCTCTACTAAGGGCCATATAACCTCTATTAGATGGTATTTGGGATCCTTTAAAGGGTAGTTGGGGGGTACTGGTAGGGTTTAGGAGCTTCGAGTTTAGGCAGTTGTTGGATGTCGCGTTTGATGGTGGGGGATTACAGGTATTGAGGAGGAATGGGGTCTTAGCGGAGCTTTCGAGTTTTCCAGTGGTTCCGACCTCCTTGAGAGCAGACTTGTCGCAAGTCTGCGTGGGTTTCCTGGTGCCTTAAACCCTAAACCCTAAAACCCTGAAACCCTAAACCCTTACCCTAAAGCATTAAACCCTGAATTGTAATGTAGATATGTCAAAAAGCTTCTGCAGCACCCGAAACCTCAAGCCTCACGGTTTAGGATGTAAAAATGGATTTAAGCCTACACCTTATATATGCCCTACCTGAACTCCCAAGTCTATACCGTTGGCAATAGGAGTCCAAACGGTGGTCTTCAAGTAAGCAATATCTAATGCGGTCTTCCTATGTAAGAAGTGCACTTTGAGATTTTGGGGTAAGTGTATGATATTTAGAAGCACTTCAACCTGGAACCCGATATAAACCCTATGAGCACCCATAACCCTAAACCCTAAACCCAAAACCATGCAAATCTGCGAGATTCCGATACATCCACGAGCGCCCCGTCCATCCTGCACAAAGGGAGTCAGGGTGGTGTTTTTTGGGTTTGGTGGTTTCGGGGGTTTAAGGGCTTAAGGGTTTAAGGCTTCAGGGATTTGGGGGTGTATGGTGCAGAGTTTCCGGGTTTAAGGGTTGCGAAATTCAGGGCCTAAACCCTTTAAGCCCTAAACCCACCATGGGGCCCCAAACTGGAAACCCAACGTTTAGGGTTTAGGGTTTAGGATTTAGGTTTAGGGTCTTAGCTCTACAACCTCAGCCTGAATCTTAGGCTCTGAACCCTGACACTGACATTCTGACCCCTCATATTGTGGAGCCTGACCCCGAACCCTGCAACCCAATCACAATCAAACCCTACACCCTCAACCCCCATATCCCTAAACCCTAAACGCTAAACCCTAAACCCTACAACCCAAGCCCCGGAAAGCCATACAGCTCTAGCTATCTAGTCCTCCGCCCGTTGTTCGGGCTCGAAGCAGAAACCGGCCAGAAGGCCAAAACGTGGAGGCGAAGAGATGCCACGGCCATGGCTGTTGGCAGATTTAGGGTTTACGGTTTAAGGTTTAGGGTTAAGTGTCTAGGAGTTATATGATACTTCGGAAGTCCGCAACATAGGGTTGGAGGAGGCGTGGGGCACTCTGAGATTAGGGAATTTAGGGCTTCAGCTTTGTTTCTATGGTTTGGGGACGAGGTCGTTTCGGGCCCGAGAGGTCAGATCACTGACCCACATCATATAGGGCACTACGCCTTGAAATGCTATGCTGCGCAAGAAATACCTGAACCCTATATACCCTAAACTTGAAAATGCCTACACCCTGAAACCTAAAGCTGAAAATACCAGCACCCTGAATCTTAAGACACCTGCTGTTGGATTTATGGTTTTGCGATCATCGCCGCTGTATCGTATGCTTCCTGGGAGCACGGTTTTAGCTGTTGTAGAGTCGACGGTTCAAGAGCATGGGTCATGTTCGTAGTAGTGGTAGTACTTGTCGTCGTAGTAGTAGCAGTAGTAGCAGTTCACTGCAGCAGCTGCAGGAGGAGTGGTAGCTAGTACTTGGAGTGGGGGTAGCCGCAGGAGTAGAGGCAGCAGCAGCAGCAGCAGCGGGAGTAGCAAAACACAACAATGAACGGGAACAAGCGGATAAGAATCATCATGCTTCTAGCAGCCACCATGAAAAGCACAATCGCGATGTAAACTTAACAGTCAATAGTCGCCATAACCTCAATCTCATCGAACATCAGGTCATGTGAGTGAACCGTTTCAAGCCCAATGCGTGTGATCAGACACTCAAAAGCCAGCCGAAACCCTAAACCCTAAACCCTAACACAAGCGACTGCTCTTGAAAGCACTGATAGCGTGACCCGTCCGCCTTGAGCGCGAACTTGCAGGAGTCGCACCTAATTCGAGGGTTTGTTCCTCTAAAGCCATCTACTAGGGTTCTATAAAGGGGTATAGGCTTAAGGCTTTAGAGTTTAGGGCTACATGGTTTGGTGTGCAACTTCATGGAGACTGCAGGACTCCGCTTCTCGTTTGAGAAGAAGGGCTGAACCCCCTCTTGCGAAGAAACGGTAGGGCTCAATGTTTATGGTTTATAGTGGCAGTGCTCTGGTGACCCTGCGCAGGTATTGCTAATTTCTGCTGCTGCTGACGAGGCGACTGCTCTTCCCCAAGACTTTCTTAAGCCTCTGCTAACATGTCTATAGAAGCCTCAAAGGAAGCCAGTCTATACCCCCCTCGTAGAACCCTCAAAAACCCTACAAGATCCCCTTAGAGTATCCCGAGCCCTGAACCTAAAACCTATAAAACCCCACGATGCTCTTTCAACCGAAACACTCTCAACTACAACCCTTAAGAGTACCAAAGGGTGCTATAGGGTACTGCAAAGGGTACTATACCTAAAGGCTCCATAGTAGTTCCTTTTGGGGGCTCCTATTTAGAATCCTATAAGGTAACCCCGAAAAGGACCTACCATGGAGCCTATGGGTAGGGTAGTACAATAGCGCACCTTGAAAGGAAGCCTTGAAGGAACCTCCCAGAGACTCCAATATCCCATAATTAAGGAATATACCTTAAATCATATTAAGGGATCCTGCCATAATTTAAGGAATACTCCTTAATTAAGTGATATTGGAGTCTCTGGGAACCCTTGAAGGAACCTTGTGCCCTCCAGCAGCTTTTAGAGGCTCTCCGAGGCGCCTGAATAGCATAATGTAGGGGGTTTAGGGGTTTAGGGGCTTAGGGTTTAGGGGTTCAGGGGTTTAAGGTTTAGGGGTTTAGGGGTTTAGGGGTTTAGGGATTTAGGGGTTTAGGGGTTCAGGGGTTAGGGGTTAGGGTTTAGGCGTTTGGGGTTTAGGGTAGTTTAGGGGCCCTAAGAATTCGAGTAAGCTTTATAGGAGAAGGCGCCTTAGCTGCTCGAGGTCTTCTGGCTCCAAATGCCGGTTGCTCCGAGGCCCACAGCCCAGGACCTGTGGCTGAGACTTCAGGGGGCTCCTTAAAGGTTCCTAATATAAAACCCTAGATCCCTTTAAAGCAGCCCTATTCAAGGTTCCTATCTTGCTTAAAGGGATCCATAAAAGTTCCGTTAAGGGATCTAGAAGGGCTTCTAAGGGTTTAGGTTTATGGGTTTGGGGCTCCTGAAACGGATCCATAAGGGTTCTATAAAGGGGTTTAGGGCTTATGCGTGCTTTAGCTTGTGTTAGAGCTTCAGGAAGGGCTTGAGGGTGGAAGGGCTTCGGGCCTTTGGGTGTAAGGCTGTGGTGAGTGCCAGGGCTCAGGGCTTTGGGTTTTATAGAATTTTTGGGGCTCTTCTAGCTGTTTTAGTTCTGCTTTCAGGTTTTGGGCCTCAGCACAAGCCCGAAAAACCACCCGAAGAAGCGAGCACTCGAGGTGCAGCAAGAAGATGGAAGCCCTTGTACTTGGAGGATCATGGGACTTCAGTAAGTCAGGATATAAGTACCTTAATTGGGGTTACAAGTAGTTATACGTACAGTGTCCCTACTTATAACCCTAGTTGCTAAGTCCCATGATCTTTTAAGTAAAGGCCCTTACTGAACAGGATGCTCAGGATCATTTAATTAAGGACCCCAGAAATCCACCGTTTAGAAAACAAGCCCGAGACCCTAAACCCCAGGGAAGCCTAATTCGGGGCCCAGGCGAGCCTGCAGCAAGATGCGAAGGTCTTTCGCAGCATATCGCGGGACGCCGACCTGTTCGGCCGCGGTGGCCTCAAAACAGAGGCCGAACAAGCACACAGGAACATACAAGATTGGGGTTCAAGGTGTGCGGCTCAGATTTCAGCGTTCAATGTCGAGGGCTCAGAGGTTTCGGGGTAGGGTTAGGGTCAACAAACTTTAATTTCAAATCACAGCACGTGACATGGTGGTGAAGAGTAGCATCACGCCACGAAGAGGTTCTTGATATGCGAGCATAGTACAGAGCGGTAAGCCAGCGTTCGGGTGGGCGGTTCGCCACACGACGGCATTGTCTCGTGCATCATGCCTATGAATGACAAGACCCGAAACCCCAAACACCGAAACTGTAAACTAGAGTATAGCCTAAAGCCTAGAGCCTGAAAGCCAAGCACTGCCCGAAGGCCATGCGAGCGGCGGCTCTCAAGTGCATCTAGGCCACTAGAATCGCCTCCAACTCCTGTTGCATCGTTGCAAGGGAAACTAGGCCTCGTAGGGAGCTCATGCAGGTTGGCCGGTTTAGGCTTCATCCGGCTCTTGGCGAACCCATTGTCACAAACAGACCTAAGCGGCCCAATACCAATTACCTATGGAATGGCCCCTAATTAATTGATGCTAACAAGGCCACGAAAGCCAGCCCTGTTTAGTTTCAGGCTCTTGGGCTATCTGGGTACTCTAGACAGAAAATGGAGAGTCGCTGCCAACCACCTTTGTCATCCTGACCTTCTTTCCGAACAGCGACGTGAACTGCGATAAGCCCGAAGCATGCAAAAGGGTCTAGGGTGTAGGGTAATTATAGTTTTTAGGGTTTTACGGTTTAAATTTATAGGTTAAAAGCAGAGGGAATGATCTACTACAGCTCAATACTGACACTTCGCCCTTGTTTCTCAAGCGCTCCATACGAAACTTTATGGAACCCGCATAGAACCCTCTACCCCTAAAACCCCAAAGAGCTACTTTTGAGGATCTTCGGGGCCCCCAATTTGGGGCCCCACTGAAACCGAGACAGAACCCCTATGAAATCTTTTCGCCCTGTAAGCTTTCGGGTTTCGGGTTTAGGGTTTCGAGCTTCGGGTTTATAGGGTTTCGTTTCTCTGGGCTCCTTTCCTCACTGCTGTTACGAGAGCGACGTTCAGCCTATGCTTGGGGTTTCGGGTTTCTTAGTGGCTGAGTACACTAGCCCAAAAAAGGCTAACCATTTTTTCAGTTGAAGCCCTAATTGCCAAGGCTGGTTCCGAGTAATAGAGGGGCTCAAATACTTACTTATAGGATTTCGGAAAACTCCTTTAAAGGGTCTAGAAGGGTTACTATAAGCCGCCAAAGGTCACCTACTCAGCTACTAGGGTTTATCAAAGGGAGCCCACAACCAAAGCCTATCTCCTTGGCCGAGGCAAAAGCGCCGAAGCAGCCGAGTCCCAGAGATGATTTTCCAAGATCTCTGGATCTAGGAAAAGCCATGGCGAAGAAACGCTCCTATGGGGTTGTAGAAAGGTTTTATACAGCTTCCAAGTTTCTACAAGGGTTCCTATGGGGCTTCGGGAATTGGGTTTTAGGCTTGGAAAGCCTCGCAAGCAAGTACGTACATGAATAAGAACGCGACTGAAATTACTTACAATCTTGGCGACAGCATGCCCACTAAGGTCCCTATGAATGTGAGCTGATTAAGTTTAGCGAAATACACCCCTAAACTAGCAGTTAGCACAAAATGTTGGCAGAATTTGCCCCTAAACTCCTAAGTATTAAAAGGCTCCTAAACTCCTAATTATTGAAAAACTTCAGCGAAGAATCCTTGGGGACCCCATGTTACGAACGGTTGATCTGGCTCTGGGCCAGCCAAGCAACGAGTCGCTCCTTGGCCAGCCTACCGTAACCTTCGAGCCATGCAGACACCCAAGTGACCTGGTACTGACTGCAGCCCTACACCTCAAAGCTAACTTGAGGGGCCTAAATCAACTAGCTACCAACACTGCTACCAATAATACATCGTTTTTGTTGTTGGGGGGGGGTCCTTATTATATTCATGGTATACTGGGCCCCGAAACCCCATTCCAACACGCAATAGAAATGTACAATAGACCCCTTATAGGCCCCTTTAAGAAACCCTTTAAAGAATAGGTAATATAAGATTGATTCCAGTATGTATACATGTATAATGGTTATATGTAGATATGTATGTATGTATTGAATATATATATATATATATACATTCATATTCATATTCATATATATATATGTATATTTGTATATATATATATATATATTCATATTCATATTCATATTCATATTCATATTCATACATACAAATATATATATATATATATATATATATATATATATATTCATATTCATATTCATATTCATATTCATATTCATACATATATATATATATATATATATATATATATATATATATATATATATATATGATTACATATGTATGTATATATATATATATGTATATATATATATATATATATGTATATGGATGCGTACCTAATCTAAAGCTTTGCAACTCGTAGTGTCAGGATTTCATCAGAAGCTTCTGCGAGGATCCTCAGGAAGTGTTAGAGGCTGTAAAATACTTTGGGTCTGCCTCAGGATCTCACTGCAGGTTACCTCAAGATAAATATATTTAATAAACCAACCGAGATATAGAATATACAGTAATATATATATATATATATATGTATTCAGGCAATACAAGAGTAGAGGTCAGCGTTGGTTTAGGGCTCCGAAACCTAACTCTGCTACCGGTAGCAGCATCTTTTGGCGCCTTGTCTGCTGAGACGTCTCAGAAGGCTCCCTAAGTCCCACTCTTGGTGCCACGCGGAGTGGCAAACGCCCTTCGCGCTCACCACGTGGCGGTTTAAGGCTTCTTTGAATACTTTTCCAAAAGAGCTCTTTAAACTTCTGGGGTTGTCCGCCGAGGTCGGCAGGGCTGTTGGGGTCCCAGGTCTCGGTAAGTTGTGCCAAGCCAGCACCGAGACAGCGGGCATCGCGGTGTCAGAATGGGAGCGTCAGAGGGATGCCATGGGGGTCTTGTGGATGCGCTGCTGCATGTGCAGATGACTCGAAGAACGTGAGCTGTTCGCGGGAGGACTCCGCTCAGAAACAACCTTCTACCGCTACACGCGTCTGACAGGAAGGGCAACGATCAATCCGCCACGGTGCAGAAATCCAATCGCCCAAAGACATACAACCGTGTGCAAGTGCAAAAACTTGCAAAGAGAGAGTGGCGATCGCCATCGAGGCATGTAGCAACGGAGTGCTACTTTAGGGATTAGGACTTGCGGTTTAGGAGTTTAGGGTTTTGTGGGGCATCTCTATTTCGCTCTGCCACAAAGCGGCACAGCGCCGATCACATTCCGCAACTTGGTATCCAAGCTCCCTAAGCCCCTAAACCCCGAATGCAAGATCCTCCTGGCTTTCGTTGTGTCCGCCTACAGCCCCCCAAACGCCCTAAACGTTGAAAGGGCAGCTCTCTGCATAAATCTGGAGAGATGAATCAGTTCACCTCTCCTCGGCGGTCAGCTCCGCACGCGACCTTCGCTGGCACAAGCTATGGTTCAGAGCTTGGGATACGCAACGCCTTCATAGCAGCCCTTATGATGACCCTGACCCTGACCCCCAAAGAGGGCTCAGGCACCTCTAGAAATTTAGGAGTGTTTCGGCAGCTGGACCAGGCAGCCAGGGATATCACAGAAGGCCATCTTGCAGGGAAGGAAGTGGCCAAGAGCTCAGGGTATCTTTGGCCAAGTAAGAAGGGCTCAAGCAAAATGAAAGGTAGAATCGCCTGCCTCTCCGTAAAGTCTTAAGCCGGGCAATGGGCACGGAGCACGTCAAGCTATGCGGCCCCGACGGAGCTCTCAGTAAGCCTTTCGGGGCTTATAAACTCCTGAAGGCCTCACGGTGCACACCCTAACGCAAGGCCTATTACAAGGTCCCACTCGAGGGGCATGAGGACGAAGGCTCAAAATGCAGCCACTCTTGCTCTTGCCGTCACAGAGAAGCGATGCCGGCTGAAGTCGAACTGCAGTGCATGGACTGCTTGAGTTTATAGGGTCGATAGGGTTGAGGGCTGATACGTTTGTAGGGCTTAGGCTTTAGTAGCAAGGCAACAAGAAGTGCATGGAGCAAGGAACCGGGCCTTGCAACGCAGGGACTTCAGATCGTCGGACACACGACCTCACACCGGCATGGTATGCCTCAAGACCTGACAGGGCAGAGATGGGGTCTAGTGAAACTGGCAGCTGAATTTCGCTGTGCCGAGATCCTCGCCTGTCTTTCGGACATTTCGAACATCGATCGGCAAGCAGCCGAATGTCGGTTTACCATGATCTGCGTTCGATGCCTGCTGCGTGCATCTGAACCTCTCATGCATGGCTATAGGCGAAAGTTCAGCAGCGAGCTTTACAGCTCCAGCAAGTCCCGCAAAGGACCGGTGGCTGTCTTCGAGGCGTCTGTTAATGCCCTGCATGCTTCAAGGCTTCCGCAGGGCTTGCAGAGTCATCTGCGAGACTCTGCGGTTCCTTCTATTTAGAGATGTGGTCTCGAGTTGAGGGCCGGATGTAACGCCAGCTTCTTGCCTACATCCTGAGCTGCCTGAAGTCGCAGACCAGGGTCACACGATCCACCAAGTCTCTCGAACACGGCATGCAATCTGCATCTCGCATTTGCACCACACAAGCGATTGAACTCGTTTCGCCCAGAGGCGCAGCCTCTGCTTTCAGGCCGACCCGGACCCTCCGGTCTTTGTAGCTTCTCTCCATGAAGTCCGAACCGAACCGAGCTCCTTCTTCAGAACGGCCCGGAAAATTTGAAACCAAGCCTGAAATCCAGGTACCTGTTAATCCTTGTTTGGGCTTCAAGTGGTCTTCGGAGACCACTCCGTAAAAGGACGTCTCCTCGAATGTCAGACCAAGGACGTCGAAGGTGCCGATGCACCGACGAGACTTTCTGGTATGTCAGAGTAGCCGCTTCCGATCTAGATTGAGGGCCCGAAAGCTCCTATAATCCCGAAGACACCAAACTCCTAAATCCTGTCTCCAAGGCCCGGCAGCCTCGAGACCGAAAGACTTCTGAGGGCCGCGCTGGAGTCTCTGGCACACTGCAGCTTAGCCCAGTTTATCCGTCCTACCGGCTGCAAAGCTGAACACAAACCTGTTGTGCTTGTTCTTGAGGTCCTTTTGGCTGTTTAGGGCTCATGCCTTGGGACTCAGAAGGAGCTCTGAATGCAACTCTTTATGGCAACGCTCTTAGGCGCGAGAGCTTCGGGAATCCCCATGTGAGCTGGGCGTCCAGTGGCATCATGACAGATGTGACTTTTCGGGAGCTTACATCAAGTTCTGGGTTTAGGGTTGAGGAAGAAGCCCCTCCGCCGCAGAGAAACCTTTGATCGAAATTTTGGTACCGAGATCCTCTTCAACACGAGAGCTGCGCCTGTAAGGCCTAAGTCATTTTCAAGGATCCGAAGTCGGTTCCTCGCGCGCCGCTTGCCCGCCGATCTCTCAGCGGCGAAGCCCAGCGCAAGTGGGACTTCGGAGCATCCATTCCGGCCTGAAATGAACATGTTGGGATCGTCGAGGAGCCTGAGCGCTTTCCCGGAACCCTACACGGCCCTAAACCCGAAACCCTCTTCGACAAAGGGAGGCTGTGAGTGGCGCATCCCAGGAACCGCCACGAAGGCCGAAGCACCCCAAAATCCTGAACAAAAAGCGTTGAATAAAATTTTCCCTAAGGCGTCGAAGCCTGATCGCAACGGGAATGCTGGGTGAAAGACATGTATTGCGGCCTAGCTTATCTTAGGCAGAGAGATTTCTGTCTCAACCGAAAGGCTTTGGCAAAGTTGGGCTTGCCAAAGTAAGTCCTACACATCTTTGCGTCTTACGGTCCCCAGGTTGACGATGCGGCAGGATAGCCAGGCCAGGATCAGCATGCTGTCACATTCCGAGATCTGGATATAAGAAAGCTTCATGCTCCGACAACCAACTTGCCATTGGTGACGAAGGGCTGCTGGGAGTCTCTGTTGGAAGTTTGGGGCTTGAGCGACCTCTGCATGATGTAGCAGAGTGGGCAAAACCCGTCTTCCATCCCTTTTCCCTCGTCAGCTCCCGCCGAAGCCTTCGAAACCCGGACGTCGGCTTCGAACCGGGCTGCCCACCGCGGATTCCTATGACAAAGCTCAAGGTTCAGGGCGCTAGAGCCCCAAACGCTAAAGTCTGAAATGCTTCGTAATCGACGGTCACAGCTAAGGACGATGGAAGTGATTACGTGGAGCAAGTAGCACCGGCCCCATTCAACCTCTATCATACGAGACTGGGCGTCGGAGGCATTCACCCTTCCGGAATCCCCGTGCTCATGGCTTCTGCGCATTCAGGGGCTTCATGAGGCTTTCATCGGGACATGCAAGAATATGCATGGGCTCATCTGTGGTTTAAGGCTTCTTTTCTCTTGGCAGC